ATTCTTAGTATAAGTACCATTTATGGTCGCACACACCCATTTTACATAGTATCATCCACTTTTAATACAAGTCATTCCTTTCTTTCATCATCAGTTTCATCATTTAAAAGTCCTTGATATCAGGTCTAATAAGGCTTGATCCAAGGCCAAGACGTCTAAGTCTTGTTCAACATTTTTATAATTTTACTTTAATTAATTAAATAATTAATAATATAATAAATTAAACCTTATATAACGTTTATTTAATACGTATTAATTATGTGATAATAACTTTAACTTTAATTATATAATTATATTTTTAATATAAATATTATTTATAATTGTATATATTTATTTTATATAATATTATCCATTTTTAATACAAGTCATTCCTTTTTTTATTAGTTTTAACATTTAAAAGTCTTTAATATCAAGTTTAATAAAGCTTGATTTAAAGTTAAAACGTTTAAGTTTTATTTAATGCTTTTAAAACAAAATAAAAAAGCTTTATTTCGTATGGTTAAAAAGCAAAAGTAATATTAAATTAATGCTGGTGTATCAGGTGACTTTAACCTTGATCATGTGATTATATTCTTAGTATAAGTACCATTTATGATCGCATACACCCATTTTACATAATATCATCTACTTTTAATACAAGTCATTCCTTTCATTCATCAGTTTTATCATTTAAAAGTCCTTGATATTAGGTTTAATAAAGCTTGATCCAAGGTTAAAACGTTTAAGTCTTATTTAATATCACGGCCGAAAAATACTATAATTATATATTATTACGGATTAAACGATTTTTAAATAACTTTTTTATACGTATAATATTTTAACACGATAACGCTTTTTACCACGCGGTTAAAAAGACTTAAAAATACCTTAATAACTTTAATATATTTACGATAAAATAACCGCCGTATAACTTTAATTTAAACTTTATTAAAAACGTATAAGCTTAAATAAAAAATTAATTAAATATTCATTATAATTTAAAATCGTTGACGTTATTAAGGTTAAAAAAAGCTATTATAGCCGTTTAAAAAGTTGTTTTTAAAGACTTTTTAAAAACATTATTTTTAACGATGTATAATAAAGCTTTAAAATGCCGTAATATTAAAGGTAAACAGTTGAAAAATTAAATATATTAAATATAAAGCTATTCTCAAATCATGTACCCTCCCATAGTAATTTGTATAAAAGTGTACATATTAATTATATTAAAAAATGTTAATGTTTTAATACCTGAGACCCATTAAATAGTGTTGGACATCCTGGTGACTTGTAACACTATACCATGTGACCTAGTAGCCCTGTGGCTAACCTTGTAGCTGTAGGTGTGGCTAATAATCCCTTTATTTTTCGCAAAACTCGATAAGGGTATCCCATTTTTTTTTTTTTTAATTTTTTCAATTATATCTTTTAAAATTAACTTTTTGCAAAAATTGATAGGGGTACTTCTTAATACAGTAATTTCCTTCCATTTTAAGCAATCCCATTACCTATTTTGGACGCCTTTCTCCCATAGAAAAAAAGTCCGCCACAATAACCCTTCGTAAACTCAGGGTATTATACAACCATCAACTCCTCATTTCTAACACCGATCATTACCGGAATCTGCGAAATCCACTTACGCTAAACCGATATGGCTACTATCAGCACCCTCAAGAGGGCCCTTAGACAGAGAGCGACGGAAATAGCTTCGTGTCCCACGCAGCTGTTATCTGACACGCAGTACAGTGCTGCCTTCGATACTATTACACAAGGCTTAGGGTGGACGACGTACCAAGACTTTATTATCCCTCGACTATCTCAGCTACTAACTCCGCTCTTCAACTCGCGTGCCGGTATTTCTGTGCTAGAAATCGGACCTGGGCCGAAGAGTATACTTGGATATTTACCTAGCCCTATGAGACGTAAAATTAAAAGGTACGATGCCTTTGAGCCTAACAACTTGTTCGCGGCCAGTTTGGAGGAATGGTTCAATTCTCCCGCGAAGACGGAGTCCCCATTACCTTACCTAGAAAGCCGACCAAGTATCCATAAAGTCCCATTTGTTCTAGATGATCGCATTGGATATTGTACCGGGACGGATACGGATGATAGTTGTGGATACGACGTCATCCTTTTTTGTCACAGCATATACGGCATGAAGCCTCATCATAAGTTCATTGAAAAGGGGCTGAGAATGCTGGATAAGCAGCGAGAAGGAGGAATGGTAGTAGTTTTCCACCACGACGAGACCCTCGACCTCTCTGGCTTGGTATGCCATCGGACGGCTTCTTACCCCACTGGTGTCATCAGCGTGGCCGACGATGACGAAGCAGTGGACCTTTTCGCTGCTTTCATCGCAGGATTTATCACTCAAGATGTAGACACGGCTATCAGATCCGAATGGCGTAAGGTGTGTCGTATGTTAGGCCGTCGCGACGAAGCCCACGCAGGACATCTCCTATTCAGCTCATCCGACGTCATGGTGGCCTTTAACAAACATGGGACCGCTTTAGCAGATTTAACAGCGCATGTACCATTAGTGAAGGGGGATAAGATAGTCAAGAACCGAGAGGCTAACTCCCACCACCCCGCTTCGATTATCCGACCGACAGAGATCCAACACGTTCAGTACTGCGTTAGATGGGCGTTGAAACATGGAGTCGGTCTGACCGTTCTTGGTGGGGGTCATAGTGGTCAGTGTCTCCAGTTTAATGTAGTCTCGGTGGACATGTCCGCCTTTGATAAAGTTCATATCCATGCGACTGGGGAGGTTAAAGGGGGCGAGAAGTCTGATTTTGGTGCCTTCGTTGTCGCCGAAGCGGGTTGTAAGACGGGGGATATTATCACCAAGGCCATGGAGGAGGGCCTCACAGTGCCCTTGGGGGCCCGTCCTAGCGTAGGGGCAGGGCTGTGGTTACAAGGCGGCATCGGGCACCTAGCTAGGTTACATGGGCTCGCGTGCGATGCCATCATCGGCGCCGTAGTGGTCAGTGTCGATTTTGGCCAAGTGCTCTACGTTGGCCATGTGCCAAGCCAATACCGGCCAACCGACGCCGTGCGCCTGGAGAACGAGGCCGATTTATTATGGGCGATAAAAGGTGCTGGCACCAACTTTGGCATCGTTATCAGCGTGACTTTTAAAGCCCACACAGCTCCAACCTACTTGGCTCGAAGCTGGGTTTTCCCGCTGAAAGATAACATCGAGGCGCGACGAAAGCTCAGTGATTTTGATAAGCTTGTCGCTAGAGATCTTCCTCGGAACTTTTCGGCAGACGCGTATCTGTACTGGGATGCTGATCAACTACATCTTGGTGTAACTATGTTCGAATCTTCGACGGCTATGGTCAGCTTAGAAACACCTACACCCACGCTCAAGTCTGTTAGGGAAATGTTAGGGCCGGAGAAAAATTCGAAGGTAGTGGACGGCGTTGGTTTATTCGAGACGGAGATGTACATGTCCGGAATGCACGGCGGACACGGCGGTGGCAAGACCTCCTCGTTTAAGCGATGCTTATTCTTAAACGATATCGGAACAGTGGACGTCGCTGATATCTTAATAAGGGCTGTTGAAACTCGTCCCTCACCACTTTGCTATCTCCATCTGCTCCACGGTGGTGGAGCGGTTAGCGACATTACGAGCGATGCAACCGCTTTTGGCTGTCGAGACTGGAGCTTTGCCTGTGTGGTAACTGGAGTCTGGCCCCGCGATCAAGATGGAACAGAAACTGCCCGAGCTGCCATGCGTTGGGTTTACAGCGTCGCCGACAGCTTGCTGCCGTTGAGTAGCGGAGTTTACGGTGCTGACCTCGGACCGGACCCCCGGGACGCCGCTCTTGCTACCAAGGCATTCGGGCCAAACCGGTCGCGCCTAACCCACCTCAAGCGCAAATTTGATCTGTGTAATGTGCTATCTTACGCCTGTCCGCTCCTAAAAGCACCGAGGGAACCCCAACTTATCGTCCTAGTGACAGGCGAAAGTTGTGCTGGCAAGGACTATTGCGCCAACATCTGGGTCTCCGAACTCAAGAGCAAAGGCTTAGCAGCGTGTGCAGCTAGCATCAGCGATGTGACCAAGAGAGAATACGTCGCGGCGAGTGGCGCCGACCTAAACCGCCTACTCCTAGATCGTGTTTACAAGGAACAGCACCGGCCAGCATTGACGGCGTTTTGGAAAGACCAGACACGGCGACGGCCTCAGCTACCAGAGGAACACTTTTTAAACATAGTACATGGCGCAGAAGAAATTGATGTGCTTCTAATCACCGGGGTGAGGGATGAGGCACCTGTTGCAACCTTGTCGTATTTGGTGCCGCACAGCAGACTGCTCGAAGTTCGTGTCCAAGCCAGCGAAGAGATGCGGCGGGCTCGCGGAGGGAGTCAAGGCGGTAGCGGTGATGAAAAAAACAGTAACTACCGTCCTAATTTCATATTCAACAATAACACGGCCGGAGATGAGGTAATAAAACAATTTGTAGAATACTCCCTACTCCCGTTCTTTCACGAAGACCTACAGCGTCTAGCCGATATGGTGCGCCCAGTACCCGACTTTCCACGCCGAGATATCAAGTTCCGTCATGTACTAGACATCTCGCAGCAGCCCGGCGGTCTGGCTCTATGCACATCTCTGTTGCAAACGCACTTCACCGGCGATTGGGCTAATGTTTCTGCGGTGGTGAGCTGCGAGGCTGGTGGCTTCATCTTCGCGTCGGCGTTAGCTGCGCAGATCAATGTACCCTTGGCGCTGATCCGCGAAGCCGGGAAGCTTCCCCCACCCACCATCTCCATCGCCAAGTCCTCGTCGCATATTTCGTCTTCAACATCCAACGGTTCGGGCGAGAAAATAATCGAGATGGAGCGGGACGTGATCCCCGAGGGCGTGTCAGTAGTAGTGGTAGACGATGTGCTTGCCACGGGGGAAACGCTTTGCGCGATGTTACAGCTGCTGGAGAATGCCGGCATTAGAGCTGAAAATATCAGCATCATGGTTGTAGCCGAGTTCCCTATTCATCGTGGCCGGGAATTGTTACGCCGGCGTGGGTTTGGGACAGTCGATGTTCGAAGCCTTCTGGTTTACGATGGTGCGTAAGAAGGGGACGAGGAATAGATGGAACTAACCTGACTATGGAAGTAAGTGTCACGTTGCTCTCTCAACGAGGTCTCTCTGAATCTTAAAATATGTACGAAAATCTCTTAGATGTAGGTACATGTTATAACAGACGTTAAGTTATCATCGCATCGAGCAGAAGCTATCCCTAAGACACGGGCCTCTAGTTTCTAGGGGAAGATGTTAGGGGTTAAAATACCGCTACGGCTTGGCGATTACTATCTACAACCACCTCTTCAAATATTGAGTTGATTGGCATAAAAGCAAGCTACGACTCATCGCATATTCTTTGCCTACTACATTTAAATATGATAGAGACTACCTAGTTACACATGCAGCCCATTACGAGAGTAGTACCAAGCAGTTAGTCGTAGGCTAGGTACCTATTCATCCGTTATTGTATTGTACAACTATACTTTCGTAGTCAACTCAGTGAGTTCAGAACTCGTCAGATTTGGACAGGCTATGAAACTCGTAATATTGAGAAGTGGTAAAATATCAGAATCTATTCATCCAAGTGTTCAACAACATTAGGTCGTAAGCCAAATAGTCTTAGCGATAACTTAACAACGCATGTATATGATCACAAGTCGGATTAGCTAGTAGTATTCAACAATTCTCGCAAGAATCATGTATAAAACGGTATACCCTATACTCAAGTGAGCTTCCGTGTAGACCTGTCTTATTCAAGCACCTTTATTCAAACCTCAAGTTCCAGACCAGACCAAGAAGCGAAAGTGGCTGTCGAAGACAAGTTGACCGACGCATGTACGCACTTCTTAACCAATAAACTAACTAATCCTCAAGACCGCCTATCCACCTACCGTACCTAAATAAGCACAGTAGATATATTCGTTTTTTAGCACCAGCCCTCGGATCCCTGCAAGTATGACTTAGGTACTTCTCATCTTACATCTAAGGTTAGATACTAGTAAGCGATCCGCCGCGCATGACTCTAACAGTGCCGCCGCTCGTAGCGTTACCACCGAGCGAACCTGAGGCGCTAAGATCACTTCCAGCATCATCAGTATGTCCCCGAGTCTTTCGTCTCGACAGCTCTAAGGCTCGCTCGCGTTCGCGCTCATTGCGCACGGCTACCGCATCATGGTGTCCGCGGGGTAATCCCTTGCGCGAATCGAGCCGAGCACGGACTTCCTGACGTAAAGAAGACCACGTAGTTGAGAAGAAAATAACGGCGTTCCAGACACCTTGGAGAGGCAGCACGACGGCGCTGGCCAGGTTCAGTGCGAAACTAGCGCTCTCAGCGTAGACAAGGTCATGCACCCTGTTAATACTGCTCGGCGTCCATGTCACGAATACGCTGATCGCGAAAACGAACGAGGTACGTAGGTACGCCAATTTCACCGGATCCATATGATTAAATCGGTTGCGCCAGCGCTGGAAATTCCCCCGAGCGCGCGCCCAGAGGCCTTCTCGCGGCACCGGATCCGCGGTGATACGTGTGATCGTAGTATGGTATGGATTTTGCGACGATATAGGTGTCAGAGGGCTATCCATATTATTCTTGTCGTCGAGTGGTCCGTCCAACCAATTAGTAGGCGTGGCACTGGTCAACGATGGCCCACTGACAGAGTATGCGGTAGTTGAGTTTACCGTCGTCACCTGCACGACCTCTCGATTGATACTGCCCATAATAGCAGCGTTCGTGAAGAGCGTCTGATAACCATTTAGTTATTCACACCTAGGCTATTCAAAACTTTATATACTAATTAAACTACTTACCTTCTCCCCCGAGTCACGCGGCGCCGGGGGGTCGTTAGCAGGATTGCTAAGAGACAGGTTACGCAGTTGGTTGCGCTGTTTGAAGACGTAATAACCAACAGCTGCGTATATGAAAGTAGAAAGGATAATGCAGACCCAAATCGGGAGGTAGTACGTGTAGATGCGCAGGTTGGACCAGTCCTTATCTATCCAACACCATATCTAAATCTAGCGTTAGTATAGATGATCGTAATCGATCGTAAGGGGTTCTATGTTGGACAGTGACATACTGTCGCATTGCCGTATACAATCTGCCCATCACTTCCGCGGACAACGAGTAGCCATAACGACGGGATGAAGGGTATCCCATAACAAACGAGGAAATACGCCCACCAGTATCGAAGAAAGCTTTTGGGATTTGCGGAGAAGAAAAAGACCATGTACACATTGACAGCCATGGCAAAGGACCACCACGGATCCGATTGCATAAATCTAGCATACGTTAATCGTAATTCACTAGTATCTTGCTCTCTACTCTAAGGGGCCGGAGAAGAGAGAACTGTTATTAATGGACTCACAGTTCAAACATGAAGGCCTGAGCCTGGCATAGGTGACTAGTTGATCCTGCCAACACCCCTGAGTACCCTATTAAGCAGGCAATGCTCGCCCCCAAGTTCGCAAAAGACGCAAAGAGAATAAAGGTATTTGGTACGGTGCGAAGTCGTTTGAAGATTGCATAAGCAACGAAAATAAGAAGGACTCCAGTAACAGATAACGCGGCACCCAGTCTCTCAAATATCACGATAGTTTCGATGTGACTTCTTGTAAGCTCCCCCGGGGAAATACTTTGGCCAGTTCCGTCGGGGTCACTGTGTACCGTTTCTTCCATCACAGCTGTTGTAACGCGCTTGGAGCAGATGTATCAGCATAAGGGGGTTACCAGTTACATATGTTACACACCGGGGTAAAGTAGAGATTTGTCTATATGGTGCTGCTCTTCGTTCAAGTTCGAGGCTAGATATGTATCCAACTTCCACGCAAAGCCTATTAGGGGTCACAGTGCCCCCGCCATATATGAAGCGAATTCGATTTTGGAGCTCAATAATGTAGGGTCAATACTGCGACCGTACACGGAAGACCGTCCTATATCTCGATGAGTTGGCGGCTTATGTTGTTTCTGCTACGCAATGGTGGAATAGACTTGATTCGACACAGGCGTGAAGACGTCAACTGTGGGGTGATAAACTCCAGGTGAAGGGAGAAGAGTACAAATAGAAGTGTAAGCCAGTGTGTATGTAGAACAAGACCACCAACAGCGTCGTTAAGTACGGATATCGGCTTCGGCGAATAACAAAAAGGTATTCACCATCTCTTGCTGATATACCTAACAGATGTAACACTGCAGCTGGTGACCTTATGGACAGTATTGTAGGTAGTATGAGGTAGGGAGGGAGAGTGGATGAAAATTGGCAAAGATCGGTCGTTCGAAAGCCGGAACCATCTCCAGAAGATGAGATGCAGGATGTAGGTCGAATTAAGAATTAGATTTGAGTTGCCGAGCGAGTCAGGCCAAAGCGAGTACCCTTAGGGAACGTATAACGTGATGGACGTAGAAGTTTGAATGGGAGTGGAAGTGAAGTCGAACAAGCTTGGGGACGCACGTAGCCGCAGCTTTCGCTTGTCGGTCAGATGTAAATCAGCTCTATGGCTAGGTGTCGCATCATAACAAGAGTAGAGAAGGGGACGAGAGGATGTAATGCGCATAGGTATCCGAGGAGATATCACCAATTGGGTGGATGCATATTGAGATGCGTCCTCAGCCTTGGATACTCGGCTACTTGTACACCTGATTATACACCAGGTAACAGACGGGAAATATGGATGTCTGCACACATGTAAGTTCACATGTAAGTTCGTGAAAGATGGACTTACATATAGGAGACATGTAGGAGGAGGAGTAAGGTACGTGGATACGTCGGGACTATGAGAAAGTTACATGGGTAAGCTGTCTGTCCCTTCCATATGTATGTAAGTATGTATGCCCTATGTATGTATAGACGTAATATACAATATTTGAACCATTGCTACAAGGAAGTTCATACCTCTGAAAGATAAGTATAGGTACATGTACTTTCCTTCCCATTGTCATACAACAAGGAAACGATCTATACATGTAGTAGTATCCACTCGAGAAACCGACTATTATGATGGCACTGATTATGATTGGCATGAGAACGACAAGGTTAAAAAAGGGTACATTGACGTTTGAACGTTACATTCTACCTACCTATGCTGAATACATGTAATTATCTTGGTGTCTCGGGGAATACAGGAAACACTTACATCTAGCAAACGGACTGAGTATCTCCTACATACCTAGTAGTAGTAATGGATCTCAAGTCTTTCCCAAGGTGACAGTCTATCTGTTAAAGGATCTTATATTCCTTCTGAAAAAAAAAAAAGCAGGGTTGTCTCAGAATCTGCTTGCTCGATTCGCTCGAGACGTTCATTCGAGCAGCTTATAAGCAGCTGGACTACGCGTAGATAGAGAGAATACTACCTAGGTGGTAAGATGGGCAGGGAGATTGCGACTCTATACGTAGGTATATAATTCATCAGTCGCAACACACCACCACAGCCTGCATTGATATACGGTTAAGCCTCACTTAATAAGACCAAATCAACGACCAACGACGTGACCCGATAGAATAACGGATACGTAGAAGTGCAACTTAGGATCTCGAAAGAATTTCAAGCTTCTCATATATTGGACGAGTGGCTAGATTCCTCACAGGTCGAGGTAAACGCCACGCAAAACAAATAGCCTGCCTACCTTGGCAGGCGATGAGTGGATGGAAGAATTTGGAGGCTCGAACATAAGGTTATGTATCTCTACAGGCGGGGACCCTTGCGTCGCCCAGCCGGAGTTACAGTCTCTTGTGACGACTGCTCTGAGATGACCCGAAAGCTTCTGGCCGACCTCCGAGAATTTGTAAATAAGTTGAAGCGATGCGCTCGGAGAAATATCTTTCAGCACCTCAACCCTAGGGAGGTCGCAAATGTATTAATCAAGAAGGGTTGGTGGACAGCTGTTTGCTACACCACATGATGCATCCTGCAGTCTTAGTCCAATAGCAGAAGACCCTCACATCTCGATGAAATGCACCGAGGCTAAGTACTGCCGGCTCGAGGGGGGGTCGAACCAACCAGAACGGGCTCTGACTGAGCGTACTGGACGCGTCTCGGTCACAGAATGAGTTGTTCAGCTACGTTTCCAAGGTTACCTACTTCAATATGTATGGAATATTGCAGATAGAACTCAATGCTTCCCGTGACTGTCTTGGACCCGAATTTCCGATTGTATAGGTACTTTGGGTATCTATACCTACCTACTAAGGTAGGTATAACTACCTAGGTACATACATATGGACATATCTCAGGCATCTAACATCTATTGTATAAACCATGCAGACACGTGGACGTTCTCGGACAATAAAGCCCCTAAAGATGCTTTGACGGCTCTACCTAAAAGCTGTGGAAAGACGCTAAAAGCTAGTGGGTGGACTGGATGGACTGGGTGGACTCAATAAAACGTGGGTATCCAATATTAGCGCGGGGGAAGTATATACATTCAGCGCTATGTAATCTAAGACATTACCGTTTGTGGCGGATAGTACCTAGTCTATGCGATATGATTGGCTAACCAACTCTTTGATTTTCGGGGGTAGAAAATGCCATCTTAGATTAAACGGCATTTCTTGCATCATCACTGTTGTCCTAACCTATGTACATGTAGGTGCCTTTGATGCCAGTCATAGGTTGGTATATGTCATGACGTTTGTTTCTCGTGGCTATTTCCATTCACTCCACGAGGGCTCTAAGACCCTTGATCGTACCACGTTGTTTCGGGACCTTAAAGAACCCAAAAGAAAAGCTATCCGAATCAAGACTCGGGTCCCCTGATCCAGCACAATTTGATGTAGTTTCATCTGTATCACTATTACTCTTTGTGTTTCCAGGCAAAGGAATACGTTGCACGCGAAATCTCCGAAGCCCAAATATTTCTAAAGCAAATTAAAGGTTGTGCAACCCAGGATTCGACTTTTCCAATCCTAAGACTTGAACTCAAATGATGCCAACTATACTAGCTAACACTATACACCGTCACTATTAGATGAGCTCGACTTAAGGGGGTTTAAATACGATTATCTAAACTTAGGTAGTCTGATTATACTAGGCTATCTACAGAGAGTCCGCATCATTTTAAATTGAGTGAACAGACAGGCTAGCAGAAACAGATGACATGGCCGAGTACATATGATAGGTTATCGTAATTCGTAGAGGATAGGGGTATATGATTATACCTGACCATAAGTAACTTGGGCATTTGGAGAATCCTAGGTGTTTAGAAAATGAATCTAAAGGATAGGGGTCACACTGAAGCAACTATGATGTTTAGGAATCATATTGGTTAGACGAACATGGCATTGCAGTGGACATTTCCTATTCCCGTCCTCTAGTATTTTTGACACTTCTCTGGACTATGGAAGTAATATGTGACAGTGAAAACCGTATCTCAAAGGGAAGCATTGCTTATATATATCCACCTTGCCTTAATCTCTAGTATCGAAGGAAACGGTGATCTTCCGTTTTGCCACCATGCAAAACATACTGGAGACTAGGGAGATAATGACCAAGAGCCACCCTATATATCCTACGTCTGTCCATATCAATACGCCGGCCACCCCAAATCGCAAATCAAACTGTGTACAAGAAATCAGGCTTGTTATCACCTAAGGCCTCGATCTCCTTTGTACTTTTCCCCTCGATTAGGTAGTCGCGCTTTCCCTGTCGTCGTTTACCATTCTCGATACGAAGTAATGTCGTCATCAGCACGCTGCCACCGAACAGGAACAGTGCCATGTAAGCGATAATGACTCCGTGACCCTCGAGATACCTAGGCGGACTGAAATAGATGTTGGAGCTAACGATACCGTTCAAGTTACCCCAACCGATCACAAAGCCCAATACTACACCTCGCTTATATACGCCCTCGATATTGTTTGCCATCCAGCTGATAGTGTTCGAAATGCAAGGGTAGATACCGAGAGCTCCGAAGAACGTGCCAGCATACTTAACTCTAGGGTCTGTAGAGGCTAGAAGCATTACAAAACCAGCAATGCCAATCAGGCTAACTAGAATGTTGCACAGGCCACGCTGACGAGTTCGGTCGGCGATGAAGCCAATGATAACGGTAAGGGCGGCGGCGGCGGCGTAAGGGGGAACGCTTAGAAGCTGGGATCGGACAGTACTTGTGCTCCAGCCTAACTCTTGGATAATGCTGGGTAAGAAGAGCGAAAAGGCATAGAGGGGCATATCGCAACCCATATAAATTACCATGCCTAACCACATCTTCCAGTCCTTAAGACCGGCGATAAGATAGCTCATTTTCCATTCCTCGTGCTCAGCTGAAGACTGTTGATCCAATTTGAGTCGACGAACTACACGGGTGCGGTCGTCTTCCGAGAGGAACCGAGCTTGATCAGGGAAATCATGGACCATCCAGAAAGATGCGGCGCCAAACACGATAGTAAGCAGGCCTTCCAAAATAAATATCCACGCCCATCCAGGCCGGCCACCAATACCATTCATCAGTTCTATCGCGGCCGCAAGCAGCCCGCCAAATGAACCGGAGAGAGCTGCCGCTGAGAAGAATATAGCCTATAACAATTTAGCAACACGGACGAAAGACTATAGAAAGACCCGACATTTTCGACTTACAGCACGGACACCGAACTCGGAACGTTTGTACCAGCACGACAGATAATAGTTAATACCGGGAAAGAGGCCGGCCTCGGCTAGACCCAGGAACCACCGAGCGGCCATGAGACCAGAATAATTGTAGACGAAGCCCATACCAGTCATAGAAGCGCCCCATAGTATCCTTAGGTTTCACGGCGTTAGCTTGTCGTCGGCTAGGATCCGGAAATCACGGCTGCAACTCACATGATGATTGGGATGAACACGGATGGCCGCAGCTTCTTAAGCAGAACATTTGTTACTGGCTCGAAAACGGAGTACGAGATGAAGAAGATGGTGAGAGTCATATTGTACTGCTCGGGCACTGTCAAATGCAAGTCGTCGGTAAGATGCGCAACCTTCGCATTGCCGATATTGGTCCGGTCCAAGAAGGCAAGCAGATAAAGGATGCAAAGCTGGGATCTAATGTTAGCTACGTGCGGCCTACGGATCGCCACATTGTTGCTAACATACCCAAGGTATTAGTATCCAATCCAGCCTCCAAACTAGCTTGCGGTCCTAATATAACTGTTAGCACGAAAGGATCTCGGCTTAGATCTAATAGCACCGTATTGCGGCGGTGATACTTACAATCTCATCTTTCTCTTCTTGGCTGAGATGAGCGTCGGGGTCGGGTGGGAGTCCGTCGAGAGCCCTGCCTTGCCCTTCATCTTGAGAATCGTGGGGTGAAGAATGCTTTTCAATGTCGCTCATGATGGTATCCTAACGTCGTCCACCGTACTGAAATAAGAAATACCTCGTCCAGATCTGCTACTTTGACTTAAACAAGTCAAGTTAAACAGAGGATGTAAGATAAGGCAACACCTCTAGGTTAGAAGGTATTGAACTGGCGCAAAATATCTTCCTTGCTCTCTAACCAAACTTAGGACAGCGAGATTAATGCTGATTGAGGATAATCAAACTGAAGACGCCCAAAACAATTGAGTGGGTATCAATGAAATGAGGCGAAGGAAGGGAGCGGGAGATATGTATATGAAGGTGTATGAAGGGCTACCGAACACACCTTGCATTATATAGAATTATGTAGGTGTAGACGGAGGTGGGTAGAAAGAAGCTGGCCGCTAAGAAAGTACTTAGCACAGCGCGCGCGGGAGGCGTTATTAGCCCTAATCATGTATAAAGTTTAAAGGGCATGTACGTAGTCTTAGAAGTTGCGTTGTAAGTTGACAAATACATAGGAAGTAGCAATGGAGGTGACCAGGGGGGAAAGAAGGAGGAAGGATCGGCACTTTGTTAAATGGAGATGACATGGGGATTCTTTTTGGGGGGGGTAGCTAAGCGATAACTGGCTGACATACATGATTCTTTATTCATATGGAAACGTGGGCGCTGAAAATTGTCTAATACAGTTGATTACTTACACATGTCGGTTTTCGAGTTGGTATTCCATTAGTCTATGAGACAGCTCGCACCTGGAATGATAACAACAACGTGGACTACGAGAATGTGTCATGTACCTGAGGCATGGCAATTCGTCCAATGGAATGCCATGACATCCATTGTTATCGCAGCCACGATATTCTCAATATCCCAAGAATAAAAGGTTTGCCATCCGGTCAACCGGATTTGGAACAAAGGGATACTAAAAATCCATCTCGTACGATAGGACCTTATACTTGAGCAACAACTAAGACGAGAAGGTTAGAGAATACTCTCAGTGCGACAACAACTAGTTCTCGAAAGGCAGCCATGTTACATTCTGCGGACCAAGGGCTACCATGGACCACAGCCAAGATGCGGCGTAGGACCCCTGTGATGTACGTTAACTAATAAGGCTTGCGCCGATAAGAACACTAGGTTAAGGGATGGGGTTTTGGTTAAGTCGACTGGATCGGGTGTGCCGTAAACAAATCCCAAGCTTGCCAAGGGGTTAATTCTAGCGGGTCCATCGTATACATGACCTCAGACAAGTTTTGGTTGGTTAATAGCTAAGTGATATCAAACTGATATGATGAACGTGATTATAGAAAGGCTACACGGTAACCTAGCTAGAATAGTAGAAAAGTTCCGTGCTTATGAGACCGCTGAAGACATCACGTCCTACAACCTTCCATTACATAGGAAGTTCTTCTGCCCTAAATACCCAGCTGGGGGTAACCAACATCGATATATCACAACATTGTCTAACATAATGTTCTTGGGAAATCTTGTCTCAGATGTTTCAGCCGCATGGATAGACTTTCCGATCTAGTTGGTCTGTATGACTCTAGACCGGCGTGTGGGATATTTTGTCAAATGGGAGCCACGATTTTCGCCGCCTCGTGTTAGATAGCATAGAGCACGGTTTCACAGGGTCATGTTGTAGTAGACATTTTGCGCTACCTATCAATCAAAGGGGAGATGATACCGGGTCACGCGTCTCTTGTGTTCACCGCCAACGAGGTACACGTAAAAAGATGACCTGGTGAAGTTTGTCCACGCCAACTGTAAGTCAATTCGACCTTACTTCCTTATACCGCCAATGCTCACAAGACAATTTCTTCAAATGAATTCGGTGTGCTGTGGTTACAGCATAGTGGTAATTGGGACTAAAATAGTTCGCTGTCGAACAAGACGATAGCCAATACCGAAGGCAAGAATTAATGACCTTACCGAGCTAAAGACCCGAAGTTACATTTTCGGCCATTTACATCGTCATTCGGATCCACCGGCTTTTGCGTCTTGTATTGGTCTAGCAACTCGCATTTGTATTTTTTTTGTTCAGTTGTCCAGCTGCCCAGACATATTTTGTCCTTGTATCCTTGTTTGTCCTTTACCAACTTGAACAGGCGGGCGAACTTCCCCGCGTTGAAGGATCCAGTGAAATGGCGGGGGTCCCCACCTGACCCCATCCGGCGGGATCCACAGCGGGACTAACGGACGAAAACTTCTGCCGAGCTGCTTGTTGAGCAGTTGGGGTAGGAGTCTCGATTATTGCATATCTCCAACTTTTCAAATCATCATTTATAATCAGAGAATAGGTAGCGGTTTCAAAGGAACCCCCGAATACAACAAGATTAAAAAAAACCCTTTGATCTCTAGACATGAGGTTGGTCTTGCTGGTGCGCTATTTCTTTCTCTGTGCTATTTATCTTAAGCATAATTGGCACTCGGTCCCAGCCTTGTATGCACGACAATGGTAAGCCTGCATAGCATACGACAGCGAACCCGTCCCAGATTTCTGGTTCCTATCACAACATGAGGCTCCTGTCGCACAAGTAAACCGATTTATATAATTTCAGCTGGCGCATCCTCGTACGAGTCCTTCTTTAATCTGACTATTGAACACTGAGACGTCCCTGGATATACCATGCTTCTTTACTCTCAGGCATATATACTGTAGGACAGACCGGGACTTACGCAGCTTCCCGTTCGGCCAATTCATCTACTCCTTTATTAGGTACTTACGAAGGGCTCGTAAACAATTTGTAATAAGATATGGGTCTGAGATATTGTAAAGCCGCAAGAGAAGCGCCGGTCCTCTCCGTTGAGCCAGTTCATGCAGTTTGCTTTCTACGTGTCCACGTAAAAGTAAAGAGCACTAACAGTTCTGATAGTTATACAAGACTGGCTACTTGTGATCGCCAAACTCCGAATTCCAATCTATGAACTTCCAGGGATGAACCACGGCTCTGGGATACCGAGGGTCCCTCGCCTATTTTCAGCAAAGTACTAAAATTAGACTAGTCTAAGCACCTCTATCGTAAGCTCTATCGTAAGGGATGATGTTGTAGTTTATTATTATATGAGGGTAAATATCTCTGAATATTTGAAGTCAAGATATACGGTGGGCCTAAATATGGTATATATTGTAAATCCTTAGAAACCTTCGGATTGCTCGCGGCATACTGTTATACTTGACATAATGAAGTAGATTATGTCGAGCTTCATCGAAAGGTTCATCACAATTGGAAGTGCAGTCTACTACATGGCGCACGGTAACTTGATTGGGCTTGCATGCCTTGCCTTCGCGCATTGAGGGAGAAACGGCCGTGTTCCGACGAGCACGTGCCGATCCTGCGAGATGCGGGAGCGCCTGCGAGACCGTTCACATCTGAGGATCTTATTCTAGCCGGGTGGGTGTCTGCTTCTTCCTATGTTGTCTCCCGTTATTGTTCAGAAGACAGGGTCAACATGTAGTTGACCGTTAAGACTTGATTAATACGACCCCGTCTAAGACTAGGATCAAGTCCTTTGATGGTGGAAATAACTGCTACGCTTAGCGAGATGTCTCGGGTTGGGCGTTGAGTTAGATGTTCGGCTTTTGACACGCAGCAGTCGAAGACGCGACAGACCTGTTGCGGACAGCTGCAATAGACATAAAGACCGAGATCTTTTCTCGCATGACGAATCGTAATTATTATATATAATCATAAGTAGATGTAGGGTACCTTAGGTACCTACCTAATGTATGCAATGAAGAGGAAATTGAAGGCGGTTCACAAGTGAAAGTTTTACTGTGTAAATTGTCCGTTGATTTTATGCGTCAATGGTAAGATTTGCGCCGGCAATCGGCGTTTTATTGATGCGCCACCTGGAAATCTAGGTTATTTCTACCTTTAATTTACTTTGCCCACGTAAGGTAGGAACTAGTGAAAGTGACGCAATATTCATACATGTATACGAGTATCAGCTTTCGTTGGGACCTGGACCAAACATTGAATCTCATCATGATTAGTTTAGTGCTAACTGAAGCCAGTTGCAAAAAAGCCACCTATTAAAATATTCTAAGAAATAAGAATAGGTTAATCTACCTAGGTATTCAGCTTAAGGTTTCGCAAAGTCCGATACATTATATTTATTCATCTCGTTTATTTTCCCGAAGCAGACACCCAACGATCTTTACTCGATTCCACCGTACATCCCGGACCCTGGTTCGGGTCTGGATCATGGCTAAAACTGTTTGTATCGTTGGTAAGACAGTGAATGCTTATTCACCCATTCTCCTTCTCGGACTTTAGTTCTTGGCTTGCTCATATGCGATATAGGCGCTGGCCCTTCTGGTCTTGTAGCAGCGAAGACCTTACTACACGATACGCCGGGATGTTCATTCAAGGTTACCATCTTCGAAGCCCAGTCCCGAATCGGTGGACTGTGGCCCATAAGAAAGGATGATGATGGCGGTCTTGTACATCCGCTTATGGTAACCAACCAAAGCAAACATACCGTCCAATTTAGCGACTTCGCATGGCAGGACTCTGTTCCGCAATTCCCCAGGGCATGGCAAGTCGGCCAATACCTAGAACGATATATCAATGAGTACAGCGGTGCTGATATACGGCTCGGACATAAAGTTGTGAAAGTCGACTTACAAGATGATGGCTCGTGGAATGTACAGACAGAGTCAAGTGAAGGATCAGAGACGGCTACATTCGACTACTTGCTCGTCACTACAGGATTCTTTGGGAAGCCGATATGGCCGGATCATGTGCCGAAAGAGGCGGACGTACCCATTATCCATAGCAGCGAGTACCGAGATCTTAAGGGCCTCCTAGAAAGGTCAAGTAATCCTAGTGGAAAGATACTTGTCGTCGGTGGACAGATGTCTGGAATTGAGACCGCCGCAACTATCGCGACACATCTCTCATCTGCTATCCACTCACCCGGAAAGAAGATAATCGAACAACTCCTCCAAGAACCTCAGAGCTACTCTATTCATCACATCACGAACCGACCCTCATGGGTCTTCCCACTATTCACATCTCCAAAGGTAGGCAGACGTTCTTATGTCTTGGACTTCCATGGATGAATATTGAATAGTAACCAAATAACAGCCGGCCGCGTCGGCGCCACCGTTTCTCCCATGCGACTTACCCTCATATAATCTAGCCAACCGGCCACACCCCCTAACAAATAGTCAAGGTCATATAGGCCTCGAAGCGGCACAGACCTCGAACTCGATCTACCAATCTGTCTTGGGCACCGATCAGTCTGAATTCTCGCCGAAGACTAAGATCGACGGCCATTTATTTAATGAGCAACCATTCGTAGCTATGAGCTCATACTATATGAACTTCGTACAATCTAAATTTATACAAGTCACCAAAGGAAAACTGTCATCTATAAAAGGGGACGTTGCTATAATTTCTCCGGCGAACAGGAAACTCTCCGACATTGCCGCCGTGGTTCTAGCGACGGGTTTCGACTCCTCTTTATCGCTTTCCTTTCTTCCATCATCCGTCCTTCAGGCCATTTCATACTCCCCTGAGAACCCTAACCTACCCGTTGCGCTCGCCTTCCATGGAACGCATCACCCATCGCTGCCCACTCTGGGCTTCGTAGGCCTGTACCGTTCGCCTTACTGGGGCGTCATGGAGATGCAGGCTCGATTCGTCGCACGGTTATGGGCATCAAATGACCCGCAATCCCGAGCCCCAGCCCTCCGCCAGGCTCTTGCAGAAGACGACACTATCGAGCGGACACTGGCCTTACGCACCGACTCGCGTGTATCGCAGTTCCCGATGGGAGATTACTCCTTCCTGATGCAAGAATTCTCACGCGCTCTCGACATCCCTATTAGCCCTCCTGTAGGTAATACGCCACCCCTTGCCACAGGTAAGTCCATGGATATCTTGACGCCGGCACGATACCCCTCTTTCTCCGCAGCTACCGCTCAGAACCCCCGGGCTGCTGAGCAGACAAAGGCAAATCTACTAGCGACGCACGAGACGGCGCTAGCTGGGCTATCACGCGGCCGCTTTGTCGCCGGCGCTATATTCCGCTCGTTGCTAGGCGAGTGGCGGCTCGAGCGTAAGATTTCTTCACGGCTACCATCGCATCCAAGCGGGCGGTTTTCTGGCACAGCGCGTTTCCTACTACGAGATGGAACCGAGGATGGGCTATCCCCGTCTCTCGTATCCAAGGCAAATTCGGATTCGGGCACGGGTCTCGGACTTGAGTATCTATACATCGAGGATGGCGTATTCACGGCGCGGGCCAATCCTATACTAACGTTCCGTGCGACGAGACGGTACATATGGCGATATGATGAGGCGCGTGATGTGTTGAGCGTGTGGTTTTCGCGGATGGATGACCATGAACGCGCGGATTACTTGTTCCATGAGGTGGAGTTCCTGCTTCCGGTTGATGAGGCGGACATGAAAGTCCAAGGCGAGACTACGCCTATGACTACAGGTGCCGCAGCGGAGGATAAGGAGAAGGGGAAGAAGGGTTGGTTAGCAAAGGCGAGTCATATGTGCATTGATGACTTGTACGACGTGCACTACGAATTCAACTTCAAAGCCGTGAACTTGAAGGAGTGGAAGCTGGGGTACACGGTGAAGGGTCCCAATAAAGATTATACGATTGATGGGGTTTACAAGAGATAGGATGCCGGCCCTAGATACGTATAGCATAAGTATATGGACCCTGGCAAGCGAGTTCGGTATCATGATTAATACAAGCAGTCGGAGTATAGGATAGTTAGGATTAAGACCAAGGCCTCTTGTACTGACGGCTTATGGAAGCGTCTGTTATAGATTCATTCATAGTGATTTATCTAATACTATTAGCGGTAGCTGTTTTGGACTCGACACCAAATTTCTTGAAAGTCTATTCAATGCCGCCATGCTTGTATATGAATCCTTCACGCACCCTTACTTAGGCACTCACAATGACCTACCTACAGAATAATCCCTTGTATTTCTAGATCCGAATCGGTACGGAGGCTTTTCTAATAACCTCCGACCCAGCTTGGTCTTGGACGAGAGCATTCTTGCACTGCCTGTCATGCAAAAAATCGCTCAGGTTACGGATAGTACCCTCGGCAATTTCGCGCAGAGCTTCCTCCGTAAAGAAAGCTTGATGCCCGCACACGAGGACATTATGAAAGGTAGTCAGACGCATGAGCTCGTCGTCATCGATAATATGGCCCGAGTGATCATTGTAGAACAGCGCCCCTTCGCCCTCGTACACGTCCAGCGCCAGGCCACCTAGGTGCTTTCTCTTCAAGGCCGCAATGACAGATTTGGTGTTGATAAGCCCGCCCCTCGAAGTGTTTACTAGCATAGCTCCGTTCTTCATCTTCGACAGTGTCTCGTCGTTTATGATATACCGCGTCTTCTCCGTCAATGGGCAATGAAGGCTAACGAAGTCGCTCTCGGAGAGCAGGGTGTCGAGGTCCGTGTACGTGCCGTACTTTTTGAAGTCGTCGTTTTCGAAGACGTCGTAGGCTAGTAGTCGGCACCCGAAGCCGTTCATGATTCGGGAGAATGCAACACCGATGCGACCCGTGCCAATAACACCTACCGTCTTTCCGTTCAAAGTGCGCCCTAGTAGTCCCTGGAGGCTGAAGTTTCCTTCGCGAACACGGTTGTATGCGCGATGGGTATTTCGATTCAGCGTCTGGATTTGGGCAACGGCGAATTCAGCGACAGCCTCGGGAGAGTAAGACGGCACGTTGGCGACGAAGAGACCCAGACGTTGGGCAGCTTCTAAGTCGACGTTGTTGTATCCGGCGCAACGCAATAGGATTGCACGGACACCACTCGCATGTAGCGACTTAAGGACGTCGGCGCCGAGATCATCGTTCACGAAGACGCAGACGGCGCTTGCTCCCTTTGCTAGAGGAACTGTTTCGAGAGACAAGGCGAATTCGTGGTAGACGACTTCGATATTGGTGGCATTATCGAGTTCTGTCGCTCGGGTGCTCGTGAGGTACTTCTTGTCGTAGGGTTTAGCGGAGAAGACGGCGAGCTGCATGGTGAGGTAATGAGGGGTTTGGTTTACTTCAGGATGATCTCAATAGGTTGGAATAGGAGAGGTTAGGGAGAATGATATCAAGAAAATGATTACGGCGATGATGTTGGTGGTAAGTGTTGGCTCAGATAGGTAACCTAGTTGATTTCACCTAGAGGTACGTGAGAAGGCCAATGTTCTGGGCACAACTATCGATGTTAGTATCTAAGGTTTCTAATAAGCATTCTTGGTTTCTTGGACGGAGCTTGGTGCGAGGATTCCCAATCATCTGTAGGCTCATTTTGCATCTTGGCAGCTGAAGTTTCACAATATTGATGTCATGGGTAGGAATATGAATAATAGCATATCTCGGAGTATATAGTATATTTCTGTGTGCTGTAGCTTGTAGAATATACGAATAAATCACATGCGATGAAGAATGTGCATCAACAAGATTCCCATATTTTGTAAATTTTGTGATCATGAATTAAGAAGTGAAAGCTCGAAATGAAATGGGAAATGGGAAGGAAGTAGTCTGGAATTTTGAGATTTGGAATTGGCGGGGTGAGCTCCGGATAGCGCATAGCACTGCCTATTGCGATTATCGATATTCATATATAAAATATATCTACATATCACATATAAGGTACCCCTTCATGAACCCTTCACATGTAATCCAACATCTAACGTTATCTCTATTGGATGCCGACCTAGGTTAAGCATTGACCATTAAAGCTAACATTCACACGAATGAATGTATAGGTGCTTGGGGTATCACGTATTAATATTTACCTGTCTTAGGCATGTGGTTGAGGTTCCGTGCACTTACCTATTGTATGGACTCAGAGACAACCACGAAATCATGTCTGTCGCCAACGTGCTGCCACCTCATCACATTTTATATGAACTACTGTCTTTCTCGCTCATATTAGAATAACAGACCGTAAGAATACGTAATACTCTTAAGCCCAAATCATCCAAACTATTTCACTATTGAAATAGGAGTCTTACACCTTGGTAGATACGTGGTTCGGCTCCGTGGTGCGTATTTATGCTACACAGCCGCATATTGCATGTGATTTGCAGTATCTCATGTTGGGTCGACATCAAATACCCACCTGAAACTGTCCAGGTTCATCTCACTTTTTGGGAAAAGACATCAATCTCGATTCTTTCCCGAGTTTGTCGCATATATAGTAATATACTCGTACGATAAATGCAGGTGCCCATATTTAGAACAGAGTTACAATTCCAAAAACCAGGTATTGAATGATTATATTCATTCATATCAGCAACGACTAGTTCGCAATGAGAATCCCACCAAGCAAGGCTGGCGAGGTCCGGAACGACGGGCGTGGTCATGGCACACATGGAGTATCCGACAATAACAACCTCAAAGTCGAGCTAGACCAGCTCTCTGTGCAGACTCGCCGCTTCATCGATGTGGCTAGTGGTCTTACCAAAAATGTCGCCAATATTACTGCCACACTCCAGGAGACACAGGATGCCCTTTCATCGATCAAGACCGAGCTTTCCTCACTCAAGCTCGAGAACGAACAGCTACGAAGCGAACTAAGCGCCCTACGTCAGGAGAAAAACACCAATAGTATTCCGCCGAAAATAGAAAACTTCCCGTTGACGAAGCTTCCCCCTAATGTTCGTCACAAAATCTGGCATCTAGCTGCCGGGCCGAAGTTGATGGAGATATTCGAGATTCGTTGGCGATCTCCTATACCTGATACGGAGCCACGCTCGATGGTTACGATGGATAAGAGACGTATGAGGGTGTCGCATGCCTGTCAAGAATCGAGGAGTCTCTTGTACCCCTCGCCACGATGCTCTGAGTGGCTTCATACCCCCGTACAGACGTACATGGACCCAGATCGCGACAGCGTCATGATTAACGGCAACTTCATGATCGGAATGAGCTTCGAGGATATCTTAGGGCATGTACAACGACTCATCCTAACACCCGATCACGGCAGCTTTCAGATTGTAGAAGAGATATCTTTGAGCTACGGTCCATGTTGGAACATGCAGCAGGTCAGCTTCGTGCTCGAGACTTGGAGTATTCCGGCCCAGGCGAGCACCTTAATCTGCGAACGGTTATCCGCACGTATGCCAGTCGTGGTTGACCTAGATGATGATCAGGAGATGATTCGGACGATGAACCAAATCGTAGATGGACCTTGGCACAGTCAACACCACAAGCGCGTAGATACGCTCTCTAGCTTCTACAAGCAATGCCATATAACACGAACAAAGAAATCATACAACAGGATGACAACCTGTGGAACTAGGTTATGCGATGCTAAGTACTGGGAGGGTTTCTGTACTGCGTTCCGTGCAAATTGGTATGAGCTGAGTCATAATCAGAGGGTGCCAGATATAAAGAGAGTAGCATTGTTAGTTGAAGGAGACGAAGGGACCCCCAAGATATCGCAGCACTTACCATGGCATCCGAAGAGTTCGTCTCAATATTGAGGCTGGAAATATGTATTGTACATAGCTTTCTTTTTACTATTCTGTACCCATTCGGCATTAAATCAATAGATGAGAACGGTGTCCAATCAAAAGTTGGATTTCCGAACTTGTCCGGGAGTGCGTAGATCCAGGTCTGAGTCTACATAGGAGTCACAGGATGGCTCGTTGAATTAATCTTCCAATTTTACTTGAACGATATCGCTGCACTTGGTGAAATCTCGTTACATGCTTTACCTCTCAACAACTTCTGTCGGCCATACTAAACTAAGTTAGGTCTCTATTGACGATGAAAAGTGATCAACATTGGGGCTGGTCTAAGCAGCCTTAGCACCGCCATCGCGTTCCGCAAATTTATCCCTGCCAGTCAACCCCTTGAGGTGAAAATCTATGATAACATTAACCCGGCTACCGTTCAAGCTACGGAGCAAGCCACGCCGAAGGTCAGCACCAGTCGGCTAGGCGCCGGGTTGGGGCTCCAAGCTAATGGACTTCGTATCCTGGAAGATCTCGACCCGGCGCTGAGGCGGAGGGTTTACGCGGCTAGTTTCCCGTGTACGCGCTCCACGTAGAAGACGATGCTATCCCTCGTTCGATTCTTAGGCTATTCGAGGTCCGCGCCCCAAGAGTAACGTTGAATACTATTGTATGCTCGCTCCGGCTGTTTAGATATATCGTACGTAGCCAAGGTCGCGTTTTCTGAAACGGAGACACATGGGTGAATTAAGAAAGATACACGGAAGCGAAGCGATTGACTAATAATAAAAGTTGGCTGTGCAAAAACAAAATTGCAGGAATATTCCGTAAGTTAGAGAGGTTGGCTTGGTTCAAGGTGGCTTAGTTATTAGCCAACGAAGAAGTGACGTCATGTAGGTACCTCTTAGTTGATTTTACGCGCAAACATGAACTTTTACCTTGCGCATTCATGCATTCAATACGAACTCACCGCTCACCTCACAAAACATACATAAGACTCAAGCTTTAAACTCATCTCATATTTAAATTTTGAACCTAGGTACCTACTTTTCAATACTTTTCAACACTGCTCAACTACCCCTTTAAACCAACCAGTACTAGTATTTCTTCCGTGTACGATAACGCAATTACACCTCGAATATGTCGCCATCGCAACCCAGTCCCCAAATGACGAACGACCAGGCCGCGCAATCCAGTGCGCCGACGGCTCATCAGCCCGTCCAGACGACACAACCCGTCGCACTTCAAGCAATGGGTATGTCCGATATATATCCTCCATTGCTATCCGACCATAGTAGCATTGGCAAAGAATAAAAAGCTCATAAGACGAATATATTACTAACCCTCAAAACAGATCCTCAGCGCCCTCAGCCTGAACAACCCGATTACGGAAACTTGCGCGGCGGAGATCGTAGTTCGTGCTGTCCGGGCCGTTTCTGCTTCTGTATCCCCTGCCCGCTACCATGCGATTTCTGCATCATTTAAGCACATATCGTTTATCATGGTATCACCACGGCTGTTATAGATGACTTGATGACTTGGTCGCGGGCGTTGGTTGGCTTCTCTTCAGGCTCGGGTATGAACTGGAATCATGATGTCTTATTGGCTTAGGTTAGGGGTCCCGACGGAATGAAGATTCTATTATTGTCACATATTCGGGAATTACGATCACCAGATATGATAGATCCTTCATAGTTATTATATATAATTGCCCATTAAAAATCATCTTATGTCAATATCTTCACCCTCCAGCAACGTTGATAGGCAAGTCTCCCACAGGGGCCGAGCTCTAAATATCTTAGCGCCGCTTTCATTCGATAACATATCAAGCAAAACTTGTTGAACTATCATATAATTACTTGGCCATGCTCACCTTTACTAGGTAGTTTCCTCTGCTTCCTTGTATATTTCCCTGGCGCCACTTCAGAAGACCCCGAAAGATGAGGATGGTTCATGATATCTACAAGATATAAAATTATCGGTGGCTATTATGCAGGAATTCTACTTGGTTACATTCTATCAAAGTCGCAAGGATGGCTGCCAAATCATACCTACCTCCAATTCTATGCCTAACAGATAACACGGGGAATATTAGGTTAGCCAACCATCACACTCATCCATACACACACGATATTAAAGATAACAACAATGGCGATGATTAACATGCATATACTGGTTTTTCTTAATGAGCTCGCGTCAATAGTTCTGTTATAAGTTTCGTTGTCAACCTAATACTCGAGTTCAGGGCTACAATATGTTTATTGGTTATTGGTCCAACTTATAGGCTTCAAGCTTTATGTTCATCGTCAGGCTCTATGGTACTCACGTTTCCACGTCATAATAACACAACAGGTGCCAGATACCAAATGCAACATCTTGAATACGTACAGCTCGGTTACGATTGCCTCCACTGACAGATATCGCGACAGGAATTTCGTTGATCTCATTATCGCGCGACAAATCATTTGGGAAGGATAGCAATGGGTTTGGCAATAAAGGCTGGGCTTTAGCAATGCATCTAATCGATATGGATAGCCTAGAGCCAGGATTATTCTATTCCACATGGTTCAGCTCAGTTCCCGTCTAGACACCTCCCATCTTCTCATCACCTTCACGTCCGCCTTCATTCACGATGGGCATCTTCGAAGATACGCGTGATGGAAAACTGGATCAGTACAAGCTGGACCAGTATAAAACCTCTTCGTTCGATATTGACTCTATAGACCCGGAGACGGGACTGACTCTACTTGCTACGGCTTCCTTGAAGGGTCATACCGATGTTGTTAAGCTACTCCTACAAAATAATGCATCGGCGACTAAGCTCTCCCAAGGCGACCGCACCCCCGTATGGTTCGCCGCGATGGGTTCAATGAAAAAGAAGGACCGCGCCGAGATCATCCGTCTACTCCATGCTCACGGCGCCGACATCAACAAGCCGTCTTCGGGGGACGCCAACTATACACCTCTGATGAAAGTTGTCGCCGAGTGGAAAGATGTCAATACCGTCCGCCAACTCATTAATCTCGGTGCGGATAAAACCTTGAAGAATTCCAACCGAGAAACGGCAGCTAGGATCGCTTTTGAGAAGAAAAAAGACGCTATGATTGATGCTCTTAATAGTAGCTCTCAGGGGCGACCAACTCTCATGGATATCATTTGGAAGATTATTGCCTTCATCCTTCATTTAATAGTTTGGCTTTACATTGTTACATCAAGCGTATTGAAGGGCATCATCGAATCGAGCCAAGAGTCTAGCGAGATCAAGATTCTAAGTCATTCCAATGTTAGTATTCCTACTCTGGATATTACCACACCTTGTCTTCTAGCTAATACTCGCCTGCAGGAAGCCCAAGAAAGCAACATAGCGGAGGAATATAAGAGTGAAATTATCAACTTCATTTTAAAAAATCGCATGGATGGTTTCTTCAAGAATGACGATCCCTTTCTCGATACACTTGTCGAGAAGGCGGCCAAGATGAAAGCGAACCCCCCTGAATCGACGCTTAAGTCCGACAAAGATATCCGTGATCTTATAAAAGTGTCACTATACCAACAGGTGATCCTTTGCGGTAGGCGAGCACAGCATTTATAAGTTGGCAAGGCAAAAGTTAGAGCTAACGCGCAATTCTAGACGACAGTATATCCATGTCCATAGGCAACCGTATCAGCGCCCAGCAACATCTAGCCAAGAGAATTACAAAGTTTGCCACTTTTATTATACCCGATGAAGATGGTGTCGAGTTGCGTTTCACCAATAGCTCCGTGTCTGGAAGCCGACTCCGCGAGGCAGAAGTTGAGACCGTTATGACCAACATGCAACCAACTGGGGATACAGACATTGGAACGAACCTAATCGCGAAGATTCTTAAGCCGCTAGTGTACGACAAGCTAGACAACAAGCAACTAAAACGTCCCTTGCTGGTGTCAATAATTACCGATGGGTGCCACGAGTCAGAGACCTTAGATACGTTGAGAAATGCAATCATAGGGTGTGGTAAGAGGCTGATCGAGGCTGGCTATGAGATTGAGGGTAAGTGCTACATATTTCTCACCTATCCTAATAGCAACTGTCGCTAACGTAGACTTATAAGCCGTGCTTTTCCAGGTTAGCCGAATCGGAAACTCCAAAGCCTCGAAGAAGTTCTTCGATGGTCTACGAAACGACAAGCAGCTGAAGAGAGTCCTCTACTGCTCCAGCGGTAATGCGCAACCCGCATACACCCACCATCCATGATTAAAGCTAATATCCTCGTCATAGATCGGTCAGATAAAGAATCTGAGGACTTCAAGCAAGATGAGGATCAACTTGAGCAATGGGTATACGTTACCATCGTACCCCCTGATGAGTTATCAGTGGTTGTATAGTAGATATGTACTCTTGAGGCTTGGCTTCTAGAGACTCCGACGGGATCCCATCACAGAAAATGACGATGATGGGTAGATGCAAGCCTTGGAATCTTGATGTTGTGGGGTTCTACATAACAAAAGCTTTCTATTCTGATTCATAAATGGAATCATTAGCAGACCAATGAACTAAATTGTAATTGTTCTAAGTGAATGTAAATAAAGCTTCTCTTATTAAATTGATTTCATCACTGTGCATAAGAAGTGCCATCCCGAAGAATTTAAATATGTGACATTATATTTTTTAACCTATATCCTCCCTCACCCTAGGGCGCAAACCGAGAAGAGCACATAGAGAGCTTTGTTATGAGCCAACGCGATCAATGTGTCTTTTACACTTCAACAGTCTGGTTCCACTTAGAATAGCCGCCCCGGAACTTACTATTCACTTCGAATAGACAGGCAGGTACTTTGGCAGTCTCCGCATATGCTACGAAGCGTGCGTTCGGCTAAACCACAACGTTTAGTGTCTCTCCCCAACTGACTGTATACCGATTCACCTCTGATTTTGCGCCCAGATTTCCTGCATTCCGAAGGAAATTCACGAACGACTATTGCATGCTGTAGAAGCTTCACGACGTCCACAGCGAGATCCGGAATATTTTTCAAGGTCAGTAGAAACCGGTCGTGCTTGATAATTCGATATCCGGTCATGACTATGAAGTCTTTGACTAAATCTTGAAGAGGTGCATATGAGGGCAAGTCTGAGGTATATGAAGTCTCGATCGCTCGGAATATATACCCGATTTCCTCGTCATTAAATACCATTCTTAGATCTATGGGTTGTTGAAACACATTTTGTAAACGTGCTACCGCATTTTCAAAACGCGTTACCATCCCTTCCAGCTTAAGGTCGATTATTGATATGATCTCTTTCACCAAACTGCAGATTTGAAAGAAATATGCCAGTTCAAGAATGTCGCAATGACGGGATTCAACTAGATTCGGCGAAACTAGTTTGTCATCGTATATTAGTCAAGTATAAAACGATAGCTTCGATGGATGGACACTTTTTCCAGTGTATAGAAAATGAATAATATGATCTATATCATCGGGGACTTGATCCTAAAGGGTGATTTTGCCCGTGGAAGCTTCCTGATAATCGAATATTAGCGTATGTAATATTATAGTGTGGGATGTATGTTAATTATCCCATGATATATTGTGACAGTGGAAGTGGTCTAGTCTGGTCAAGGGCTGGTGATTTACCTTGAAGTGGCCATTGAACGCTTTATTAAAGTAGGGGCATCTTGGGCAGATAATGGCTTTATGAAGTTGTCAGACGCGGTCTTCACACTCGACTCTCACATCTGAAAACATTCCAGACTTTAATAGCCTGCCATATCTAAGTTAGAATCGTAGTTAGGCGGGAATGGGGAATTTTCGGTCTGTAATTTAGACTTACTCCTCGCCGGACTCAGAGAGCATAGCCTCAGGTGATAGATAGTATCGAATTCTAATTGACATGGTGAGGGTGTAGAGTGGTTGGTGCTAATTAAATGTCTACTCATCTATCTGGGTATAGATGGATGGTGTTGATTAGGTTAAGTTGAAATATATTTTGTTTTGGCAGTCAGACTTCCCAAGTACTCCTTTGTACATAGCGTGATGTCGTACATGTACATAAGGTATGTACCTGATTCTGTAGGTACCTAGGGGTGGTAGTGATTTCCTTTCCTTTTAATGACATAGAAAGGTACCTCTTACCTAACTTATTGATGTAGGTAGAAGCTATAATTTTCGTAACTGCCTTAGATAAGTCTGTACCTCAGTGGTGACTAACTTTATTATTAGGTTCTATTTTTGCATTTTAAGGGAAACAGTCTTAAGTACATAGGTACCTAGAGGTACCTAATATATAGGTAGGTACCTAGGTCAGTTCGTATTAAATATTGCTTTGAAGTTCTGCATAGGGGCCTCTAAGCATTAGGTACCCAGAAAGTCTTATTCTCGCTTTTACTCGTGCTGTTAACTACCTACCTACATACCTAGGTACCTACCTGCTCAGAGGAGTAAACTACTAGATTGACCTAATAACAAATAAAGGTTTTGATAACCAGAGAGAAGCCTTGAACAGTATTTATATCTAATAATACTACTACAACCAATACATAAGTCGAGGGAAATTGTATAGTTATTGTATAGTTACACACGATTGAAAGAATATAATTAAATTCCATTCCATATATTATCAGATCCCGTCTTCAGTAGTGAACACAGTAATAGCCCGAACTGCAGCCGTCAGATCTACATGAAAGTTCGGATAGTTGATACCATGCGTAACTGCCAGTTGTCCAGTACTCATCGGGGCTGCTTCAATACCAGACTGTTCATTTTCTGGATTTTCCATAGTCGTAGCTATCCTCGAAGGTTCGACAAGGGATTCTCCTAGTGCTGTACAAGTCGTTTCCATTGCTTTCTTCTTTGCAAGACTGAATACTTGGTTCCAGGGAGTAGGGGCTTCCAACTCTCTGCCCCTTGGATAACCGAACCCGGCTACAGCTAACGCCCTACGCACCCAGCGGTCATCTACGCTTGCAAAATGTAACTGGACAGTTTCCGGGGATGACCAGCGCTCTAGTTGCTTGCGAAGAACAATCAATCCATTTATTGCGTCGGCGTCGATGTTGCTCACAGTAGAAAAATCAAAGACTAGCGCCTTGAGAGTTGGCTTGGTAGTCTCTGAGCCAGGCTGGTCTGATGTTTCTTGAGGACGAGAGGGACACTCATTCCACGGTCGGTCCTAAGCCATAAAAGTCAGTAAATACTGTTCCCTTATTAGATATAATCTTACTCACACCGGGGTTCTTGTACTCAAGTACCGTAGTTCGGCAGGTTTCTTTTGTTACATATGCCAGAAGAAACTCCATATGCTGGGATTGATTTACATAATTGAAACCTTCAGGGAAACGGTAAATGAATACCCCTGGACGGGGAGATTCAACATATATAGATGGGTTAGATGCATCCTTTCGATCAAGCCGGAAGAAAGTATCTCTTGGAGGGTCTGCCCATGTAAATGGTGCACCAACTGTAACTGAACTTCTTGTGCGTGAATTTGGGTATTGTTGAACTTGAACGCGTCCAAAAAACTGCCCCTGGCTACGAAGAAGCCGGACGAGAATGAGACACGCAGATAAGGCTGTAGTCAGGTAGATTCCGTTCTCAAGTGTACTGAAAATAGACGCCAGGAGTCCGACAATGTAGATGACAAGGTCTGGTGGCGATATCAGCCATAATTTACGCAGCTCGTCAAGAGACGTGGGTAAATTGATCACGGCATGTATTATGAGAGCCGCCATAGTAGCAACTGGAGTCCAGTATAAGACCTGACCTAACACATACAAAGCAAGGACGAGAATAACGGCGCTGAAAGTCCCGGCCAAGGGTGTTTTAACACGGACCTTCGATAACAAAGCGCTACCGCCGAATGAAGCCGTTGAAGCGTAGGCACCAATAAACGGGCCAGCTAAATTTATTGCGCCGATAGCGACTAGTTCTTGTGATGGTACTATGCTGTAGTCGTTCTTCTGAGCCAAGGATTTGCCAATTGCAATATGTTCAACGATGATAACAATTACTATAGCCGGAAGCTCAGATAGAAGACTTTTCACTAATTCGAGTTGAAAAGTCGGAGGCCCAATGTGACCAAAACCTGCCATAAATAAGCTAATAGCTACCTACTTATCGGTTAGGATGGTATACGTACCTGTTGGGATGTGTCCAAGTATGCGGAACTTGAACTCTTCTTGCGGGGCATTCCTATTAACCAGATAACTGATAAAATTGTAAAGGAATGCAGTAAAGGACAGTCGAAGCGAGGCAAGTGTATTCCACATCTTTTCCTGATGAGGCTTCCGCACCGCCAAGTATTGGAATAGCCACTTTATGGACATCAATAGCAACAAGGCTGTAAGTCCCACCACTGCATCTAGTTTGATTCGGCCGAGCCCTTTACATATATCAATGAAGATTCCATAAGCAGGACCCCTCGTATTGACGTCCCTAATCCCTAGAAGGTTTGGCACCTGACCAAGAGCGATAGTAATTGCGGCGGCGGTGACGAAAGCCGAAATAGCCACATGAGGTATCAACTCGATGATCCACCCTAATCGTAAGAGGCCAAGGATAAGAAAAACACAGCCGGCGAGGAATGCGTGAGTTTTAGCAACTTCTTCCAGAGTAAACTTGGGGTGATTCTCGATAACACTGGTTCCCGTCTTGCCAACGAGAAGAGATATTACGGCGGTTGCCTATTCAAAGATTAGCAAGGTATTACTCAATCGCACACACTTAAAACGACATATCTACATACACCAACACAAATATCCTTCGATGTTCCGAAAACCCAATATAACGAAGCACCCGCAAACGTGGTAAAAAGCCCAAATTCAGGGCTTAGATTCGTTAGTATCGCATTAGACAACCCCTGTGGGATCATCACGAGACTAAGTGTACAACCTAAGTATGGTTAGATCATACTGGAATATACTTGGAAAAGGGACCGGAAATTACCAGCAATGAGGTCGGCGATTAGCCATCGCGTATTATATCGTCGGACCCATCCAATGAAAGGGAAAAGTCTCTGGAAGTATGAAATAGGGTTGATTTGGTTCGAAAATTGTTCTAGGATCCATTCTTTCGTTGTTGGGATTTGCTCTATGAATGGTTCGAATGGGGAAATCGCTTCGCTACTACGCTGGATAAGGCTATCTGGGGTTAAATGCGCATCAGCATTGCCTTTTACACCGAGCATTTTCACGGTAGCCAAAAAATTCTTCCCCATCATTTTGGCCATGAGTTCTTGCCCTGGGAACAATAAACCCCTAGGGATAGAGGATGGAAGAATGAAGAAGACGCTGAAAAGATAAATTTACCAGAGAACAGAATACAATAAGTATGGCATGCAGGATGGTTACCATTACTTACTAATGGACATTGTTAGGAGTAACAATAAGTGATAATGGAATATCTATCTATGTCAACAAAAGAAAGCTCCGCGACTCACTCGTTTTAAATGGTGAACCCATTTGTGTTACTCGTAAACGAAAACCATTAACTGGTCGGAGCGAAGAACTTATATCAAACTACCTGATATACAAGACATAAGTACCTAGTTACCTATAAGAATAGAGGTAAGTAAAACCAAGTCATGTCTACCTATATGTCTAGTCATGTTCCAGTTTTAACTACTCGATTGTCTCTTAGTTAATATATTCAGTAAATAGGGGCTTTATCTTCTACCCCTTAACACGGCTTGCTCACGTGATTTTCTAACTATTAGAATACATGGTCTGTGCTTTGGCACTACTTCCATCTTGTGATGTACCTAAAAAAGGTATGAGGTCTTTAAGGGTTCTAAAAAACATTTTTCTTCAAGACCGTAAACCCCTCTTATTACCCAGGGAAATCTTCATCGCAACGTATTATAACAATCTCACAAGATGCAGCTGAAAGAGATTCAACGGCTCGAGCTGCCGGCCGCAGCAGATATGCATGTGCATTTGCGACAGGGCGAGCTAATGGAATTAATGGTGCCTACCGTGCGCCAGGGTGGTGTTGACACTGTATTTGTGTATGGCCTCTTTACTTGACTTCTTCAAGGGAAATATGCGAGCTGACTAAGGAGTACAGCATGCCCAATCTTGTACGTAGGCCTTATTGAATCCCACTGGATATATTATAGAAGACCTGAATTTGTACACTCTAATACGATCAAACCTAGATACCACCCCTTACGACTGTTAAACAGGTGTGTATAAACCGACCGTATAGAATTACTGAATACTAATGATTAACTGCAATAAAGGTGCTAGAATACCAATCTAAGCTACAAACGATAGCCCCAGATGTGAACTTTCTTATGTCACTCTTCGTAAGTTCCCTGCCACTATTTACTATGTTTCTATAATAGGGGTCAACCTCACTAATTCTTTCTTAGCTTCACCCCTCTGTAACACCCGATGTCATTGCCCAAGCTGCAGCAGCTGGTATCACAGGTGTCAAGATGTATCCTCAAGGTAAATGTGATTCTCTTCGTTCCCAAACATATGGAGCTGACGAATTTCAGGGGTAACTACCAACTCTGAATCTGGCGTCTCGAATCTCGAGTCCTTCTATGCGACCTTCGCCGCCATGGAACAGCACGACTTGGGTACACAATACCATCTTCTAAGCTCTGCGTTTCCGTGTTTACTTTCGACTAGTTCTTCACTTTTCTTTCAGGATAGACCCAACTAACAAAGCTACCCACGTGCCTCTAGTGCTGAATCTTCATGGAGAAGTCCTAGAGTCCCTTGCACCAGAAGGTACAACTCTGGAAGAAGCGTTCCTTCCAACCCTTAAGACGCTGCATGAGCGTTTCCCAAATCTACGCATCGTAGTATGTTTCACACGTATCTTCCGAGCTCAGTTTCAAGTAATCACTAACGTACGCCCTAGCTTGAGCATTGTACTACTGCTGCGGCTGTTGAAGCTGTGCGGGCTTGCGGGCCTACCGTCGGTGGTTTGATATATCCTTTCTCTTCACTCTTACAGTGATTAATGCTAATATGATTCTAACTAGCTACAATCACTGCCCACCATCTATATCTCACTTCCGATGAAGCCCACTGCGACCCCTTTGCCTTCTGCAAACCAATCCCGAAGAAGCCTACAGATAGGGACGCACTAGTCAGAACAGTTGTCAGCAGTGATCCAAAGTTCTTCTTGTAAGTTACGCCTTAGAAATTCCTGTGCTTATTGCTTTGTCAATGTCAATATTAATTGTGACTGTATCAGTGGTAGTGATAGTGCCCCCCATCCCCTCCAGTCCAAAACGTCTGCTGAGCAAGGCAAAGCGCCAGCTGGCGTGTACACACAACCCTACGTGACGCAACTCGTTCTTCTTGCTCTCGAAGAGGCTATTGACCGTGGTGTGATTACGGAGGCGGATGTCACACAGGAGAAATTAGCCGGGTTCCTCAGTCAGTTTGGACGGCGCTTTTATAAACTTCCAGAAAGCTCGGGTAAGAAACTCGTGCTTGAAAGAAAAGGAGAGAAGATACCAACAAGTGTGTCGAGCAAGAATGGAAGCATTGAGGTCGGAATTTCCAAGGCGGGGACTGAAGTATTTAGTTTAAGTTGGGAAGAGGCGTGATGACTGAGACCGGAGTTGGGACGGGGGGTGAGAAGGGGTTAGGGACTAAGATATGAAAAAGGGGAAAGGTAGTAAAAGTCGATTCGTATCTCCAATAGAAGGTCAGGTCTGGTTTCTAAGATGCCATATTCTAACCACATGAAAATATAGCTTTGCAGGTATGTTTAGCATGCATCAATGAGGCTTTAGGTGTATTAGGTGCCGATTCCAGTCTGCTTTCCTTTCAACTATAGTTGATCAGATACATAAGCCTGTTTAAATATAAATTCCTTAGCTCGTCTTAGATGGGCTTGCCTTAGAGTGTGTATCAACGTCTGTTGGTGAAGAAAAGGCATCATAGAAATAAATGAGTAAATACATAATATATACAGACGTTAGTTATAATACAAATATAACGCCTTTATCGACACATAATTACTGACTACTGCCCAAGAATCCCCTGGGGGATATCATTACAGCATCTAAATAGCCCCTCTATAGAGCAGAACGCCTCTAGAATCAACATCCCGTAGATATATATTATATAGTACTTATTCCCAGTCCTTTTCAACCAGCCACTGATCTTCCAACTTCAGTGCTGTCTCCTCGACCAGATTGCATTCGCGGTGCCCCCACTTCTGACGGAAGACCTCACGCCCAGCCTCAGCCAAGATCCAGAACGACGCCGCGAATCCCTCCGGGTTATAATAGTAGGGCTCACCCACTCCGCCGTGCTGGCTGTTTTGCCACGAGTTTCGAGAATTCTTCTTGTCGCGATACTTGTACGCGCCCATGTCGTTACCAACATTAACCAGTTCCCGGAAATACTCTATCGACCTGGCAACACTCATACTCTCGGTACCATTAACCCCGTCGTCCCTTTTCTCATCCGCCTTCGCCCCTTTCCTACCTTTTCTCTGTTCCTTATTCGTCCAATTTTGTTCCCCTTTCGGTGGCTCCTTCTGCGCCTCCTTGGATTGCTCCTTTGGCGCAAAGGCCGGATTCGGATCGATAAATCGAGGGATCACGTTCGGATCACGGTACAGTGCAGCCAGATCCTCCAATACCGTTGATACGTCGTTAATTATACCCACACGACGATACCTCATAGTCCATCCATCCATTTCCAACCTCGCGTTCATGTCGCAATCGCTGCCATAGTACGGCATCAGCGAATCCCATCCGCCTACAGCGTCCAGCGCTGCTCTGTTTACTAACGTAAGATGATCATACTGGAACCAGCGGAAGGCCCAGCGCTCCTCCCTCTCCAAGGTTTGGTTTAGCTCGCGCAAGCAGTTCTCATAAATAGTCTTATATCCATCCTGCCCAGCCGCTGCTGGGCGCATAATATCCGCTTCTTCTTTCTCATCATAAAAGAACCAGTTCCTATCGCCATCACGCTCCAGCGTGTCAGGCCCATCCTCGAACGAAAATACTAACACATCCTGGTGCGAATAAAAGTAGTATGGCCAGGACCGGGAGAACGCGGTATTCAGAAAGAAGTTCTGCATTTGCGAGAAAGTCAGCAAGACAGGCGTCTGTATAATGTTGACCCCGAGCTTGCGTAACGTTGCGTGATCGAGATAAAAGGGATTTTGTAGACTAAGCTTTCCCTGCGCATTCGCATTTTGTACGCCTGTATTTTCAACTACAAAGATAGATTCAGGTGGCCAGCCCGCGGTTAAATACCCGACCACGCACTGCAGAAGCATTGGCCATTGCCGGGTGAATCCAATGAAGAGCGGCGGGGTATAAGAAAGGCCGTACTCTCGATGTAAACCAGGACGGGGGATGTTGTATTCTGGAATAGGTGGAGGTGTTGCTGTCGACTTCGTGAGAAGAGGGAATGGATCGGTCGCAGAAGGGGACGCAAAAGTTGGTGTTTCCTTGTACTTCGGAGGTGCATGGGTGTTTGTCGGACGGTGATTCTCGTGGGTGCTAGCTTGGTTTGTTTTTCCATTGTTGATCATAGAGAGATTTCGTAGAAAGCCATTGTCGCCCCCTATACCACGGTATAATGCCAAGGCCACGAGGCTAATAGCAATGAGCCCAATTGGAAGAACGAAAGATCGCAAGCCTCGTGGACTACCGATGAGCGTCATAATTATCACCTAACGGAGCTATGTAGTAGGCAGGCAAACGAGAAAAAATCGGGTAATCATTCTAGTCTTGGCTGGTTCAGGTCCTAATATTATTAAGTGGACGGTGGGATTATTTTTGTTACTATTCGACCATATACCACTACCACACACAGGTTTTATTTTTCTCGTGAATTGTTTGAAAAGAATTTGTTGGATAGAAAAGGGGAAGTCAGTGACGCGTACGGAGTTAGGACCAGGATACACCAGATCGCGGGTCCCATCATGATCATCATGATCCGCATGAGCTCAAGCCATCCCGCCCTTGGCATCTTTCTTAACCCCTGCATTAGGCCCAGTTAATTGCAGTTAATTGCCGTGTACGGCGCAGACCCTGGCCACTATGCTACCCTACCTCATTATGAATTGCGGCTGGAAATGTTTCAACTATGACGGAGCAGCATTACGTCGTTAGGCAGCATTTTTGTTAGTTATTCATGATGGGAACTATGTATAAAGTATGATATATCATAAACATTACTATATATCCCCATGGGAGGTACTTAAAAGAAGTTTTTTTTTTCTCGTTTTCTTTTATCTCTGCAACCATACGCAGAATGATAAAATATCAGTTCAAAAAGCCCGTAGATAATGTCTTCAACAAAAAAGTTTTCATCTCGGAATAGACTAAAAATAGCCAAGACATATGTACAACGTAACGAAAATGTTTAATACTACCTATTTATATTAACAATTAAACAGAATAGGACAAGATCTTTCAAAGTTAAATTATTCAGATTGAGCTTTGCTGTTATATGACGCACTTACAGTGAAAATGGTAGCTTAAATGGAGCCTTTTTAAACCATATCCTCCCCATCTGCAAGGATCCGTAAAAGTTTTTCAACTCACATATTTCTTATGCGCATTCCCATTCTCGCTTTTCCAAGAGTTCGAGATCATAATAGGAAGCTATCAACCTGGTAGTTTCAAATGAGTGCATTATAAAGTTCTCGCAGCTGGAGAACATGAGTTTGAGAAAATAGCAGGAAACATGAGGACTTTTCCAATTTTCAGGCATGTTTGCCTTCTTTATCCAGGTATTAGCTAGAGTTAATAAGATACAATGTTTAAGTCAGTTCTCCTTACCTCTTCTAATCCCTAGCTACGATATTTATATTTCAATATCTGCACGAATCAACCTACCAAGAAGAGTTACTAAACCACCCAGTCCTACTTTTCTAATTTAGGAATCGCCAGTCATGAACTCTTCGGTCCCGAAGTCAGCATACATTATTCAGCGTGTCTCTGCTAATAACTTTGTCGTGTGCCCACTTCTCGGTAAGAAGGCTTATTGAAAGGCTATGCTCTACTTAGCATGGCTTCTCATTCTTGTTTATGTGGATACGTACTCAGCATACCCTTCCCCGGGAATATGGTAACCAATGAAAAATCTTTACTGGCTTAGGAGTAAACTAGAAGTACGAGTCAGGAGGGTAGAATATTCGACCTGGGTTTAGTTAGCTACCTATCTAGGTAGTCGACGGTAGCATGACTCAGTCATGATATTACAAAGTCATAGGATCATTCCCCTTTCAAGGTCTACACTATTATCTACTTTAGTTTTCAATCTCCTCACTTCGTAGATTTCTTGCAAATACCAGTCCCATCTTGGTATATGACCTAGCTCAGGGGTTAGACAATTATCTACTCCCAGCACAGCGTTAGTCAAAGGTTAAAACACACACGATCTCTAGGTCGGTAATACCGTTGCGCGAGCATTGTCTCTCTAACAGACGGCCGCACCACATAGATATTGAGGTTACCTCTTATTAGGACCAAGCGAGACATTGCGGTATTCACTAGGATCCTCTGGCCCGTCTAGCGGCATAGGTCCAAACTACCGACTGCTTTAGACCGCAGAAATAATATGTCTTAAGTATCCCCACTTGAAACTAGCACTTTCTTCTCAGAGTCGGTGTCTTAGAGACATTTCGTAGTGTTTGAAATTCTACCTTGGCCAGAAGAGGCAATGGAAGCGGCCTGTCCTTGTGTGCTTACTCGCGCAAGGTGTATAGCGCACATATGCTTTCGAATCCGCCCGTTCAGAGGAAAATCTATAAGCAGAAGGATCTCTCGTTGAATATGTAAATCTTATTTCACAATTAATTATTACACTATTGCCCGGCATGACCAACTCAAGAAGGGTATTACTGGGCGTGTTAGCGGCGTCATCTGCATGCTTTCACAGCGTAGACGCCTACTGGCGCATGTCCTGCTCTATTATCCAAACTGGCCGACTGGATCCTAACGTATCCCCCGGCACTGTTTCAGCCCATGTACATAAGGTCTCCGGAGCAAGCAATTTTGGTCTATCAAACACGTATGAGGACCTAATTGCCTCGCAGTGCACCTCGTGCGAAGTGCAAGACGACAAATCGATCTACTGGACACCGCAGCTCTACTATCAGCATACTAACGGAAGCCTTGAAGAAGTTCCCAATGGCGGGACGGTCGTCTACTATCTCGGGCGCGGCGAAAATCGGTCTAAAATTGAACCCTTCCCACCCGGATTCCGGATGGTGTCAGGAGACCCATACCTCCGATCAAACGATACCACATCTTTTACTTACTCGGCCGGTGGAAACTCTGGGAGCCGTCTGGTCTCTGACCGCGTGTCCTTCGCATGCCTTGATAGTTCGGGTACCATCCCGGAACAGAACCACATGTTCCGCACCGATTGCAGCAATGGTCTTCGTGCTCAGATACAATTCCCATCGTGCTGGAATGGGCAAGGTTACCAACTTGACCAATCGCACGTAGCATATATGTCCGGTATCGACAATGGTGTCTGCCCGCCCTCGCATCCAAGACAGCTAGCGCACTTATTCTTCGAGATCATCTACGGTGTGAATGATATAAATAAGGAGGCCGGTGGGCAATTCGTCTTCGCGAATGGTGACCCTACGGGATTCGGTTTCCATGGAGATTTCATGAACGGTTGGGATATAGAAGTTCTTACCGATGCTTTGGACCAGTGCGTTAATGACGACTCTTCCAACGGTCAGATCTCAAAATGCCCGCCGCTAGCCAAGTCTCAGACCCCTTATTATGCCACCAATTGCCCAGAGCGTAAACCGATTGTTAACGAGCAAGTCAAGGGAATGATTGAATGTCTCCCCGGCTGTAACGTAGTTACACCTGGCCCAGATCGAGCAATTCAGCTTGCATGCCCAGACGACACACCCTCCGTTAATACTGTCGATGATGGCGAGTCCTATACTATGTTTAACCCTTCCATAGGGCAGAAGCTTGATGGTAGTAAATTTGCATTCGCAGGGTGTGCAGCTGATAGCGGTAGTTCAAGGACATTGAGTGGGCACTCAACTGTAGCCGACAATATGACCATTGAGTACTGTACATCAGTCTGCAAGTCTCAAGGTTACCCCTTTGCAGGCCTCGAGTATTCGAGGGAATGCTATTGCGGGAGTTCCTTTGGCAGCACAACTATAATGAATTGCTCAACAACATCCCAGATGATATGTGCCGGTAATGCAACACAGTGGTGCGGCGCACCAAACCTCTTGGCCATATGGAACGACACTTCCTATTCGCAATCCATAACGACGCTTTTAGTTGATACCACGACTATTAACAACGGTAGCGCCACATACATGGGCTGTTTCAGCGACCCAGGTGGAAACAATAGAGCATTGAGTAGCGATAGCCTGTTCGACACAGTAGCAATGACGAATGAGAAGTGTGCATCATACTGCAAAAGCAAGGGATACTCGTTAGCCGGGACGGAATATTCGCAGGAGTGCTATTGCGGCAATGTTAATACAGGCGCTCTCATCACAGATAGTAGTCAGTGCGACATGAAGTGCAAAGGGGATTCACACGGATTCTGTGGTGGCAGCCTCAAATTAAGTGTTTGGAGTCTTACTCAAGCTTCGCCGAGTCAATACCAACCTGCTACACTACAGCCCACTCAGACAGCGTCGGTTCAGGAAAATGCTGGCGTACTGAGAGCAGCAAATGGGACCGCTACCTATCTCGGATGCTACACTGACAGCGCCTCGGATGGACGTACATTGGCCAAGGATTTCTACTATAGCGACTCCATGACAGTAGACTCATGTGCTTCGTATTGTCAAAGCAAGAACTACGCTCTCTTCGGTGTTGAATACGGCGGAGAGTGCTACTGTGGCAATTCCCCAAAGGATTCAGCGACGGTTTCTACCGAAGAGGGTTGTAGCATAGCATGCAAAGGCAATTCAACTCAAATCTGTGGTGGGAGCTCCAGAGTTTCCGTCTGGAATAACACGCTATATGTTCCCACGCGTAACTTAGTTGCTATCAGCGGTAGCGGATATACCTACCTTGGCTGTTATACCGAAGGGGTGAATGGTAGAGCATTAGGTAAAGGAATGAGCACAACCAGCACGAGCTACTCGACCACCGACAGTACGTTGACGGTTGAGAAATGCGCAAGTTACTGCATGGGAAAGGGGTATACTTATATGGGCGTTGAGTATGGTCAAGAATGTTATTGTAATAACGAAGGTCCTCTCAATGGAGCAACGAAGGCTGCTGAAGGCGACTGTAGCATGACCTGTGAAGGAGATATAACGGAGTGGTGTGGTGGCAGTTCCAGGGTCAGCATCTATAAGGCTAATAATGTTTAGATGTTTCTGGTATTAAGTCACAATAATGTCCCTGCGAGTTCATATCTAATGTTTTAAGAGAATACCCAGGCTTTAATTTTATTACAACCGAATTTCAAATTTTTTATATACCAGAATCAGATAAGAGTCAACATGCTCGCTAATGCTAGTTAACTACGTCTTCTATTAATATTTCATAGACGAACACAGACATCTTCATTACATAATATCGTAACTAATATACATATATCTATCTTCGGGAAAAATATATTTCTTCTCGCAGGCCTTCAAGCCTTGATACGCTAAGTGCCCCTATTTAGCGAGGGCTGATGGCAGGGAAGAATTTGGGCCCTATTCGATCATTAGGCTCCCTCATATCCAACTTATGAACGAGATCAATAATAGTAGCCGGTTCACCTTGGCTTTTCTCTCCCGGGCGAGCATATCGTACAGCTCGAGGCGTTACCGGGGCACTGTCACCCCAGAACTTTAGGTATGCTGCCACCGTACGAAGCCTGCGTTTTTGTGTAGCAGTCAAGCCCTCAACGTCATTCACAGCAATAATATCTTCTAACCTACATCGGCTTACATCTCGGGATATGTACGCCTCAAATTTGTTTCTTAGTTTGATTCTCATCTCACCATCCGGCTTGTTCTCGTATATTTGATCAATAGCATCTGGTCCACCAGTGAAATCCTTTTCAGTAGGTCTGTTATGTACCTTTTCGTCGATCATAATCCAATATTCCTGCATGCGGACATATGGCCGCGCAAAGAATCCAAAGAACCTCTGCATGGCGTCTTGACTAGTCTGGTCCATCTGTACCATGGTGCGGTATACTTCCGAAAGGTACACTATGATGTTTGGCCACCAAACTACTGTATCCTCTTGAGGTACCTCAATATCTGGCATTTCCAGTTCTCGAAAATGGTAGTTTATCAGGAAATGGAAATCTATAGGCTTCTCGCCATCATACAGTGGGTAGAGTTTCGCAGTTCTACCAATTATTGTCTTTTTCCTTGTAGGTTCTAGCAAATGTAAATGGTCTTTGTGATGTACGTCGTACCCAAATGTGCCAAACAAATGCCAAAATACACACAGAATCTGCGATTTTTGATGTGTATAGGGTGCTCTTTCGGAACCTAGGGCAAAATTCTCTATCTCTCGTGGGAAGTCCGATTTAGGGTAACATTGGACATCAATGATAGCTGGACGTTGAATAGCCTCTTGTGGATCCAGACGTCCCACTAACCAGTCTTGAAGTTCATTAATTTCCCTATCGATCCTACTCCTCATGAAGTCCGGTTCGTTCATCGTCATCATGTACTTTTTTAGACGAGAAATATCCGCACGAGATGAATAAGAATAGACGTAAAAGTAGCTACGAATCAAAACTACCTTAGGTACTCTGTTAAAATATTGCCCGTTCGATCTTATTTTAGAGGTATACTTATACGGCAATTATGTCACGTACGTAACAATCGTCTTGCACATAACAATGCTATTATTTTCAAGGTATAAAACAGTAGTAACTCGGCATCGTTGCTTGTCCTTTATATTTCACTGATCGATTTCTAATATGCAGTTTACCTCTTGTTAAAAAATAAAAGCAAGCTAGGTGCTACATGATTCAAAGAAGAGAGGCACTTAATTACACGTAGTTCCGAAATACATCAACTTTTCACTGCTATATCTAATAAACCATCCCGTAATACATACTATAAACCCCTTCTCAATAAATATAACTAATTTACATACATTTTACCCTTTAGCACCCAATTATATACATGATTATAGCCAATCAGTGCATACCATGGCAAGTCTGTTTAAAAGGTAACTTAGCCTTGGTCAGGGCAATCCAGCCACAGCTCAGCTTGGCGTGGGGCAGCTGAAGCATAATAACCTGCCCATCACTACACTCTGCCAGACCCAACTTCGCCGAATTACCCTCTCTGCGACCCGTATATCGTTGCGGTGTTGCTTGCCCTGGCTCAGGCCCAGAAGGAACGAGAGGACACCTCGAGATCAAACTCAGCAGCACGTAATGAGACTTTTCCTGTGAGTCGAGTTCCCCATTCCCCCTCCCTTCCTTTCCCGCAGTTGTGACAAGGCCTACACCTCGATGAAAAGGGCCATTCTCACGTGCTGCTGCCGAGTTCTCCGTCCCCATCCTTGTCGCATGTCTTTCTAAGATCAATTACAAACACTAGCCAACCCTCTTTTTCTTTTTTTTGGAGATTCAGCAGGCTCGATTGATTGTCAGCGACGTAAAGGACGAAACCAACGCAGCTCTACGTGGCCGACATTCCCACATCGCTTCTCGACAAGCTCGCACATCCCAGCCTCAATGCGTCCATGTCTGTCGGCCGCGACGGCGTCGCCAGCAGCGGCAGCAGCGGCAGCATATTCCAAGTGGTTCGGCACGAGATAAGCACGACATCATACCAATCACTCCGCGATCGACTCCTGCAGCGCATGTTCGCGTCCATGCCAAGAACAACCGAAAAATCCACATGAGTCCTGTGTACGCCGGGGCAGCGGGCGGTTTTTTGTCAGGGAATACATGGCGCACCACGCAATGAGCTACCTAATGTCGGGAAGCATGTATGAGTAGCGTGTGTTTGGTCCCGGGATGAATCTATCCATAAGCAGGCGTAAACAATCGCAAAAAACTTAGCCTTCTGTCAGTCAGAAGGCGGGCCCGCAGGGCCTCTCAGAAGTGGGTATAAGATGATATCCGCGAACATTACAATACTGAGTCCTGTCCTCTCGTCCAGATTTGTTGCCGCGTGGTATTACGAGCGCCAGTTCTGCCAGGTGCGCCCCCGGCTATCGTAAAGGCTGATGGAGTACCACCTGCAGCAAGGGGGTGGGTGGCTCGTGCTGCCACATCTTGAGCAAGAGGAGGAGGAGGGAGAATGGGTGAGACTTGCCGTGTTGAGACTAGAAGGTGTCACAGGACAGGCCCTTTAGAAGCCATGGCGTTACCCCTGGAGACTATACCGAACGCGGGGACCGCCGGGTAGTCTGACGGAAGACCCTGAAAACTCTCCACGAAGGACCACTTTCTCCTTTCTTTCTGTAATTTTGATATACTTGCTTGCGAGTGATGTGACCCTCTCACAGTTTCTTAGATTAAAATGTTGAAATGATTATCTTAAACCTCAGATAGCACTCTTCCGAGACCTCTTGCATGAGGTTGTTTTTAAAAATTTCGACCTTTTTAGATTTAAAGAAAACTTTTACAAAATCAAAGCCTTTGATTTCAATACACATCTTCTTGCAAACAAGTCCTTGTACAAATGTAACGACCACATTAAACCCTATATAAATAGTTTTACATATTTTTTTTTATTTCAAGTATCTAAAAAGCAATAGCTTTGAAGTGGATGAACTCGCCTTATTCCTTAGCTACTACGTAGATCAATGTCATCGAGTTCAAACTCTTCTGGGTGCGCAAGTAACTGTCTTGTGGACCTTTCCCCTTTGGCTATGTTGGTAAATGAAGGTTTTCTTCGCAGCTCTGGGGTACCTATCCCATCATCAACTGTCTGCCGCCTTTGCATAGTCGGGCGACCATTAGGCTCTTGCGCAGGCCGATGGGATGGCTCAGGTACAGTAGTTTGATGATAGGGACTGCTGGAAAAGTCGAATCCTGAGAAATCACCGGCGTAGGGTCGCGGTGGTGGTTGCGAAGTCTGCTCATGGGCTTGCGTCTGAGTTTCGAGGTCTCGCGTTAACCGTTGTGCTTGAGCTGTCCTCTTCAGTAGTTTAGCGCCCTTGTGGATAGTGTAGCAGTCGTGAAAGCACAGTATTATCATAAGACAAATAAGGATACCTAGCACAGTCCTACCGACAATCAACCCGCCTTTCAACATATCATCAGTATGGTCGCAATCAACAGACATCTTGATTGTTGGTTTGTGGTTTTGCTTTGATAAGTAAGACTTTTGGAGTATGATATGGTATGTTATTCGTTGTGGATGATATAATATAATGACAGAGAATAAGCACTTGCCAGTAGATCGACCTATATGATATACTCGAACTGTACAAAAGATATGTTTTGTATCAACTCAAATATACACGAGGTTCACAGTTGTTTTAAATCAATGTATGCGTTTGGAAACATGACAGAATGTATACAAATCTTGATATAAACAACGATTGTATAGAGTTTACATGAAGTTGCTGGTTGTTAATAAACAAAAGCTTTGTTCGGGGTTTGAAACGCGGCGATTTCTATATAACTATTAAGTAAGAGTTTAAGAGTAAATAGTTACTTTTGATGCAATAGTAAGATCTTGCCACTCGCCTCCTTAGTTGCCCCCTATATGATTTTATTACATTGTTCAGCACGTGTGTTGGGGTAGGTTCATCTAAAAAAAGTCTCCCAACTTGACTATTATCATATCTACTTGTGCTTCCGAGGTACGACAGGGTCTGAGATAATTATCCACTATAGAGCTGCAAGGAGTAGCACCAATCAATGCTCAGCTAAGACTTGGTAATTACCTATCATGGAAAGCTGCAAGCTACCCTGGCCAGTCAGGTCAAGTTTATTAAAGATGCGCTTTGTGAGACCTTGTCAGTGCCATCGAGTTATCTTCCCACCTCACATACATGCATGCAATTCATATTTTTGTCTTTCACGTGAGGTCGGGCAACGTTCACTTCGGATGCTACTGACGTTGTAGTTTAGGCCTGTGCCTTATCTACTTTGATGCAGTTAATTCCGACTGTCAAAACCTGGTAAGACAAAGCACCCCAAATTACCTGCCATCTCCTTGCATATATTCATACTATCATTTATGCTGCTAAAAAATATCCGAAGATCGTTAGTAGTTATATTTTCTTCCGTCCTGTATTAATAGATATTACCACTAGAGAAGTCATATATAATGTAGAATCAAGACATCTTGGAGGAGGCTTACACATGTAAATAGGAATAGCCTCTTCTGGGCTACGAAGGACCATTCTCGCTGATATGAGAGTATACCTACCTAGATAGGCAGAAGTAACAAGACTTTGAAACTCTGGGCTTCAATGCATTATCATGTGGAACCCGGCCGGCCTTTACCAGATGCACGATAAGAAGCGTCTCTCCCCGACTTTACTCAATAGTAAACGTAATAGCTCGGTAAACAGAGGAAGCACGGGATCACAATACGTAGCATCAATGTAAGTTAGCCCGACCGCTGTGGAACTACCAACTTCCTCGAGTCTATGTGAATAGCATCGTTGCATCGGCTGTGTCGGTAGCGACTAATCCAGTATACAAAAAGACTATACCGAACATTCGATGATGGCATCGGTGCAAAAATTTGGCTTGAATTACAACTAGCTAGTGAAAATGTTTACCACCTAGGTACCTACCTACACATATCGAACTATATGGGGTGCGCTAACATGGTGCTGGGTGTTCGACCTTATTCGGGAAGGTAGCGGATCGTCGGCTTGTGATCTGTTTGGATCGATTGGAGATCTAGGCGCGCACTCGGGGTTACGCTGCTGACTCGTGGAAAGCTATTCTATTTTCCGATCGCTGGAAAAACAGGGGAAAGCAGGGCATCCCGAGAGCCTCGCTCCTGTAATTTTAGGAATAATGATGCACGTCAGACGGGTCCGTCCAACGGTGATATTCTCCCCCCTAACGGATATGAATTGGCCGGAATTAGTACCGAGCCTTATGATGGTAGTTGATGCATGCGGCGGCATTTAGTACGGCGCTAAGTATCTAGGCCAGGAGAGTATATTCGAGCTAACAGAGATTTATTCAGGGCCCGTGAAAGCCCGTACTTACCATAGCTATGATGGCATCTCTTAAAATTATTGTGGTAGTGTAAGTAGGCAACGCCGAGTTGAATCTGGACCTGGCGGCACACGTTGCCGGATACCGTTCGGACTGGAGACGGGTTTATGAGTTTACTTGAAGAGGGTGTGATCTTCACTCAAATCTTTACAGGGGGGACGGGCTGGGGGCTGGGGGCCGGGGAAAAGAAGCCCTGCTGGAGATTTCAGGGCTAGTCGTCCAAAGTCATGTATGTATTGTCACATGCGCTATCAACTTATGTACCGCACAATACCTTTCTTTGGTACATGAATGATGCATTGCATCTGCAAGTTGGCTGCGAGTTGTCTCTTAAACGCCTCAGCGTCTTATACAGCACCGTCGTAATGCGGGGCAGGCGCGGTACTTGTAAGTGATCGCCGAGGGGGCTCCTCCGTAGTTTTCGGCTTAGTCCGTCCCGGCATTCTATGAGTAATTAGTTTCTGGTTCGGACGGGGCTTTATATAAGCTTAATTTAGAAGATGCGATGTACCAAACTCAGCGCTCGGATAGGTCGGTGAAGTTATGTAGAATATATTAGAGATTGATCACGTTATATATACCCGTGGCTTGCTCATTGATAGAGGCTATTTATCAACTTACACGTTTCTGATCACTCATAATGAATACGAATAACGTTATACTCTCTGAGGTATAGTATATATATTTCTATATATTTCTATTCCGTATGTGTGAGAAAACCTGCAAACAGCTGCTGTCAATGCCGACAGCTCGGTAATTGCGGCAGCGAGAGTTGATCACATCATGTCGTATCACCTGTAATATAATATAAAAGCCTGCTGGACTAGCCGTAGAATTCCACTCGAGATACTATGTGCAATCTGGAACGAGAAACAAGCTCAGTCTTGGCTTCTTGGCCCTTTATATATTCTGGGCATTGATAAGGAGAACATAAGGGAGCATAAGGGGGGCTCATTACCGGATTAGGAAGGCCGCCCATTGGGCACCACGCGACGTGAGCTCAAGACTACTTCTCGCAAGAAAAGCAACGGCTTGGCGCAGATGTCCGATACAACATCATGATACTGCCTACTAGATTTTCTCTCTCCACGCTATTGGGTTCGACTCTTAGCCTGTGTTGCAACCGGCCGCCCGAATCCACCACATCCCTAGGGCTATGTACTTGACCTCATCCTTGTTCCAATCCCCGGTTCGAATCTAGGCTCTAAGTCATGGGCTACGACCTCAACTCTGGAAAGCTTAGAGGCCCCAGACGTCCCAAGAGCTTACACCCGCCGCCAATTCCTCCTAACAATGCGGACAAGTCTTCATCCCTACGAAACAAGCTCTACTAACTACCGCGCTTCCCCAGCCCATAATAACGTTAAGATCTCATCCTGAATGTCACGTTAGCGCTGCAGGGCGGTTGAAGAACAAGGGTCCTTGATAAGGTACAGACAACTTCGTCTAAGTCATCAGGGTCCCTCGCTACGGCTGGCCAATACTTCCTGGAGGGCCGCTTATTATAAACTACATCGTCATCTAGCATGTCCGACTATATCGCCGAATAAGACCCTAATGCCGTATAGGAGATCTGCGAGTTTCCTACCCAGGAAGGTCATGATCGACGAGCACGAGATATATCGAGGCTCAGATGAAGTCGTCACCTTGATAAATAGTCGTGATGCCCTCGACTTAAGGAAAGATTCTGTTCCTCATCACTCACAGACAACTCAGCTTCAGATCATTACCCCTTAGCACTTCCACCTTGACTTGCTCCAACATGCGTACCGCCGCCTTCTTTGCTCTCCTGCCTCTGGCATTCGCTGCCCCGGCTAAGCGATCCGCGCCAGCTCCCCTCATCAAGCCTCGAGGATCTCAGCTCATCCAGGGCAAGTACATTGTCAAGCTCTACGAGAATGCCGCTATCACGGCTCTCGACGAGACCATGAGCACCTTCCAGGGTGATGCCGACCACGTCTACAACGTCGAGGGCTTCAAGGGCTTCGCCTCGTCCCTGACGACCGATCATCTCGAGCAGCTCCAGAACCACCCCGACGTAAGTTACATATTAGACCCGTTTATCAAGACCCACTCAAGATCTAACCAGTCCGCAGGTTGAGTTCATCGAGCAGGATGCTGTCATGAGCATTAACGCCTATGTCACCCAGAGCAGCGCCCCCTGGGGCATTGCTCGTCTATCCCACAAGACTGGCAGCAGCAGCAGCTATGTCTACGACTCCAGCGCCGGTGCTGACACCTGTGCCTACGTCATCGACACCGGTATTTACACTACGCACTCGGTATGCATGACTCGTGAGATTCTTATCGATATTTACTAACAACGCTTTAAGGAGTTTGAGGGTCGCGCTACCTTCTTAGCCAACTACGCCGACAGCTCTAACGCTGACGGTAACGGCCACGGCACCCACGTTGCCGGCACTATTGTAATACGCCCCCCTTACCCCTAAGCCAAACCCATTCGGCATGCTAACCGTTTTCTTCCTAACAGGGCAGCAAGACCTACGGTGTTGCGAAGAAGACTAAGCTGTACGCTGTCAAGGTTCTCGACTCTAGCGGTTCTGGCTCTACCTCTGGTGTCATTGCTGGCATGAACTTCGTTACTTCCGACGTCAAGACCCGATCCTGCCCGGCCGGTGCCGTCGCTAACATGTCTCTTGGCGGTGGTTCTTCGTCCTCGATCAACAGCGCTGCCAAGGCTATGATCAACGCTGGAGTCTTTTTGGCCGTCGCCGCCGGTAACGACAACCAGAACGCTGCCAACTCCTCGCCTGCCTCTGAGCCCAGCGTCTGCACTGTCGGTGCTACTACCTCGGCTGATGCTCGTGCCAGTTACTCCAACTACGGATCTGTGGTTGACATCTTCGCCCCTGGTATTTATCCCAAACTTATGGTCTAAATATTAACTCTGCTAACAAATTAAACAGGAAGCTCTATTCTCTCCACCTGGAACAACGGGAACACTGTGAGTTTATTTATTAGTCTAGTCGCTACATTAGGCGCTTGAACTGATTTTTATCTCAGAACACCATCTCCGGAACCTCCATGGCCACCCCCCACATTACTGGTCTCGGTGCCTATCTTCTTGCCCTCGAGGGCAAGAAGACCCCCCAGGAGCTTTGCAGCTACATCGCTTCTACTGCCAGCAGCGGCATCCTATCTAGCATTCCGTCCGGCACTGTCAACAAGTTGGCATTCAACGGCGCTCCTTCATAAAGGATGTGCAGGGATTTTAGCGGCTATTCTGTAATGGGATTGCTGTAGTGATGCTTGCATGGGACCGTGGTGGTGATAGCCTCATGTTGTTAACCTCCGATATTTTACCCATTTATATTTTCTAGATATCGAGGGTAGCATGTAGCTTTCAGACCTTTAAACAGAACCAATGCTACATAATAGCTCGAAGTCGGGGACCTGTGGGTTTGTTGGGGACATGGTTCGTCTCCACGGCTATTCGTATAGCCTAGGAAGGGTAGAAATATACGCTGCCATTGGTTACCTCTCTTGGAGCATGATTTGCATCTACATACCATACGAATTAGCCGCGACATAATAATTGACTAATACATTGAGAATCTCATCTCATGGCCCGTGTCTTCAACCCCTGAAATATTTATGAGATTCCCCGCACATCGAGTATACATACCTAAATGAGTGGATGTTTAGAACACAGTAACCTAGCAATGTTGCTATTAACACTCTCCAATATAAGTGGGAATCACTCATGCGCCGTTGGGGCCGGCATTCAGGATGCCGCAGCGTATTCGGGATTTCTAGCTCTAGGATCAGCAATCACAAGGAGATAGATATGTTTCGTACAAATTAATAAGTAAGGTAAATCTTCCGCCGGAATATAACAATCCAACGACCCTAGCCATTAAGAGACGTATAATCATTCATTATACTCCATGATGACGCGTTCTCGTGAGCACGACACCCCTACACAGAAAAAACCACACCACGCACATTAGAAAACCTCGCATATTTTACACGGAACTTGCGCACCTATCCATGCTGATTCTTGGCATACAAGGGCATCGCGGATGGAGTGATTAGAATATCCTAAAGTGCTCATATATGAGCAATTGTATTGGGTCGTGTATTTATACCACCAATAAGGCAAATATGGAGGAGCTAACTAATTGTAAAGTCCAAATAAAAACGGCTGTTAAGAAAGATATCGTTAAAGGAATCTAAAGTAATTCTGTGGCTCCTTTTCGAGGGCTAAATGAATATTTCCCCAGACATACTAGCTCAAGTGAAATAGGAAACATACATCACCGTCTAGTGAAGCAATTTGTGTGAGTATGTATTGTTTAAATGAGTGGTCGAGGGAACTGCTATCTGGTATGGCACGAGTCATCTATCTTACCAAGAACGTGTATTATATAAGTCAGGCTTCCCCGTTCATTCATGAAGAACCCCAGTTATCCAACGAAGTCACCTATACTGATTATATATTATATTTTCTAGCATGTATTATGAATATTACCGGTAGTGTGTTACGAGGTGAGATCAAGATGCCATTTTAAATTGTACTTAGGCATCCTTAGTAGCTTATTCTACACCAACAAATATCTGTATACGAGACACTGATTATACTCACTCTTCACTATTCAATTTTCAAAGTTTATGTAATATCATTCAAAATATCTAAAGACGTCGAGCGGACGAAACCAAAGCGCTCTTGGGTTACTTCTGTTTGGACGGGACTGGTAGCTGTATGACCTATGTTATGAAAGAAGGGATGACATTAGGGGTGTTATTGTCGAGAGTTGGACCATTATGTTTTTGAGCAATTCAAACCTCTGCAAATATTTGCGAGACATTAAAATAAAAGTTCCTTTACAACCTAAAGTACCTAAACATCACGAGTTCGCGGGTTACAGCTTCATCATTCTCTTTCCCACATGTAAACAGGTACATTTCACATTTCACATTTCACAACTGTGGAGACACTAGAAAGTATTCCGTACCCCGGCACTTGCTCGTGCGACAGTGATTCCACGATAGGTAATTCTGTATCGGGTTAGGGTTTCCCACTGGTTCGGAGAGATCCACTACTATGGTAGCGTACCTCCTAGACCCTGGTTGAGGATATCACATTGTCTAACCTAGCCTAGAACAATGACCCTTGAAACCTTTAAACCTCCTGAGTCCTAAATGCTAACACCCGACGTTGATCGAACGATTCAACGATTCAACGATTCAACGTATCGTCTAATGTTTCTTTCATTCACCACATTTCAATATTATTCTTAAATTACTATCAAACGAGTTTCAGTATTAAACCCTTTTAGCTGGAATTTCCTTCTTGGACGGGCCATACACCGCGATCCGCGATACGAATTTCCAGCTACGTCTTTACCTCAACACCCGTCTACCCACGTCCGAAAATGGCGCGGCATCTTTCCGTCATCGTCATCTTGGCGGTCGCGGTTTTCTTGGTCTTGTCTTTCATGACAAGTTTCGGCGGGGAAACCGAGCAAATACGACAGGTGTTACCTGCGGCGGGCTTGACCGAACGGCCGTTAGGTGCTTCAGATGCGATCACAGCAGATACGAAAGCAGGCACAAAAATAGATACGGCGCCAGGTACGAAACCAAATATGGAAGCAGAAGCGAAAGCGAATGTAATCCCAGACCCGAAATCCGACTTCCCTTCACTGTCGAGCGGAATCCTGTCGGGAGGTGCAATTGCCCCGAAGCTTGAAAACGCCACCATCAAGTACGTATACTTCCCAATTCCGCAATGAACAATGCATACGTCATCTAGGATATTATAGCTTGAAATGTGTGTCGTGAATTTTGCTGACTTGTCTTGGTTTTATGCAGAGCTGAACTCGGCCGCTCGACCTGGAAATTCTTCCATACCATGATGGCGCGATTCCCCGATAAGCCCACCGAAGACGACTCCCTCGCGCTTAAGACATTCATCCAACTATTCGCGCGCCTGTACCCATGCGGCGACTGCGCGCGACATTTCCAGAAGCTTCTCGCCCAGTATCCACCTCAAGTCAGTTCGCGCAGCGCGGCCGCAGGATGGGCGTGCTTCGTACATAACCAGGTTAATGAGAGGCTGAAGAAGCCCATCTTCGACTGTACTCCTGAGAAGCTCGGGGATTTCTATGAATGCGGTTGCGGGGATGACAAAAAGGAGGCTGCAGACAGCATAGGAGAGCTGAGGTTGGAAAAGGATGGGTGAGTATTCTCCTCGGTGAAGGCCATACTTAATATCGTTCATATACTAACATTCTGGCTAGATTGACTAGGGGTGGCTAGATATGTAATTACGCAATATCAATACATTGTTTCTGGAAGCATAGCGATTAGGAGTTTCTGGTGGTTGGTTTTTGATCTGAGAATAGGATATACTAGTTAAGCGCTTTTGTGTTGGTTTTTCTTTCCTCTGGCATGGAGAGCACACAGAAAAGACTAGAAAGATCCCATCTGTTTGACTGTAGTTTATGTGCGTTTACGATGTCTAGAATAGCAACATATTGTTTGTTGCATCGCATGTCAACCTATAAATTCTAATCAAATCTCAGTATCTTATCGATTCCAGATTTATATATCTTATCATCACATATGTGTATGATTAAGACCACGTGACCTTTATATGGGGTTTGTGTCCAAGGCTCACAATACATAGCTCCCGACCTCCGACCCCAGCCTTGCGCGTCGGAGCTGCCTTGAGCTTGGTCAAACCCACTCAGCTTCTTCAGCTTCTTCCACCACATTTTCACCAACCCACTCAGCTTCTTCAGCTTCTTCCACCACATCTTCTATCGATAACGACAAAACCTTGTTCTTACAGCCATTCCTCCGAAATTAGCTTGTTGAAATTGCGCATCTTTCTTTATCCCGCCTCCAGTTTATAATATGGAGTTTGGTAACAGGGGTGTCTTAAATGAGGGTACGTTGTGATCGTTAGCTATCGAGACTCGGATCCGGACAGATTCAACCAAGGCGCGCAGAGCTAGACTAACAAGTTGTTAAAATAGATGGAATCCATGTGGATATGGAAAGACTAAAGAAGGGCGAGGTCAAGTAAGTAGCATAAAACAACCCAAAAGAGTATACCAACCAGTCAACTAACTGGTTATTAGCCTCGGAACATCGATGTGAGCTCAACTTTACCGACCTATGACCGGAGAACGATGGTGAATTAACCCGGTGCTAGCATGGCTGTGACATTCAAGGATGGTGTCATTCTTGGTGCGTGCGATAACTTTATTCTCAATAACCCCTTGCGAAACGCTTGCGAAAACACGCTGACATCACCGGCCGCTTTCAGGTGCTGACTCGAGAACTACTACCGGAGCATACATCGCGAACCGAGTTACGGACAAATTGACCCAAGTCCATGACACTATCTGGTGCTGCCGATCTGGTTCGGCCGCCGACACACAAGCCGTGGCTGATATAGTCCAATATCAGCTTGGTCTGTTCGCGATGCGAAACGGCAAACCGCCTACTACCCAGACGGCCGCAGCCATCTTCCAAGAGATCTGCTATTCCAACAAGGACCGTCTAAGGTATGTTCATAAATATAATGTTGCAGCCCATCTGTGAGGCTGGCGCTGACGCCGATACTAATGTGATTGTGTCTTACAGCGCAGGTCTCATTATTGCGGGTTGGGATGAGCGACACGGCGGTCAGGTCTACTCTATTCCTCTCGGGGGTTCTCTACACAAGCAATCCTATGCGATCGGCGGTTCCGGTTCGACTTACATCTACGGTTACTGTGATGCGAACTGGAAAGAAGGGATGGAAGAGCAGGACGCTGTCAACTTCGTCAAGGGTGCGCTGGGCGAGGCGATTAAGTGGGATGGCAGCTCAGGAGGAGTTATCCGTATGGTTGTCTTGACGAAGAAAGGGGCAGATAGACACCTGTACTTGCCTGACGAGAAGTACGAGGTGCGGCATCAATAGACCCCATTAGACATGGAAACATAGGCGAGACCCAATAGCGCTTTGAGGGTTGAGCATGCATCTCCATATCTGTATAATATCACCCGAATTCACGTGTCGTAGCCACTGCGAGCTACGCGGCGATGATTTGATATGAGGTCAATAGAAGCTTTGCAATGGGGTGTATTAGATTTCCAATCTCTTGGGTAATCAGATCAGATAGCCAATCTGTGGCAACACCCCGTGAATGGACAGATGGATTCTCTAATGCTGCAGGGTTGGGGGATTTTTGAGCACCAATCCTTGGCAGCGCGCATACAATCAGGCGGTGAACGAGATATACGTACGATATGGAACAAATCATCTAGCTCGGGTTGTCACATGGCACGATGGGATATCTGGGATATCTGGGATATTGCCAATAGAATGGCAATTTGAGTGACGAGTGAAGGTACCTAATGTAGTAGTTAAGTCACTCTAACAACCGACCTACCGACCTACCGACCTATCCTAACCTCATTATCATATTGCAATCTCGTTGCTGATAGGGTGGAGGTTAATCTCGGGGTGAGCCGGGTTACGTGGGAATTTGATTCGGATTAGACGGCTTGTACTACCTGTTGGCTCTGCGGCCGGATGGACAGGAAATTTTGGCTGAGCCTCCGAGGCAGAGCGATAAATGATGAGAGTATCTGATTCGAAGCTGCTTTGCAATATAACCAACCAGCCTCCCGCTTCGTCTATCGTCATCAGTGCTACGTTAACGATGCCTAACGCACCTGAGGTGTGATCATGATCACCTACCTAACGTAGGTACTCTAAATGAAGCCGCGGGAGTAACTCTTCTGCTTTCCTTCGGGTCGTTATTTAGCCTAAGCATCGAAACCCGAATAGAGAGCAACGTCAAGTCTTGGCAAGTGTTGCTGCAAAGCAAGTGTAGGAATGAACAAGTATTAAGATATTTTCCGAACCCTGCATCTCACCGTATTCGACCTGGGAAGTTCTTCAAGCGGTGGAATAGGGGGAGATGGGCGAGTTCAAGGAAGAGTTTATTAGCCAAAAGGCCCGTCCCGTGTTTTTATTTTCTTATCTCATCACTCAAAAAAAACCCGTGGGGGTAAAGGAAGAAAAAGCCCACGAGCACGATGATGCCATCAAGTATCATCTGCTTTTCAATTTCTGGGACGCTGGATTGTCAGCCTCTCGAGTCGGACAGGGGGGAGCGAGCACCCGCCATTGCCAGGCTCTTGGCACGGGGATAGAGTGCGGGATGATATTAGTTACCTACACACCTAAGTTACATGGGTATGAGTATGGAATTATACTAAGTATATCTGTGGAAAGTGGATTTTCAAGACCAAGAGATCTTAGTCGGAAATCGACAGCAATAAATACCACACGATCATAAAGGCTTAAACTGAAGATGCTCGTGAAAATCATGGGATGAGATCGGCATACGACGTGAAGGGTTAATCTAGAACGAGGTCCCTGAATCGTAGACGCCGAGAATGGGACCGGGCTAGAAGAACGACGGACCCGAATTTGCCGGCGAGCGTGAACTGCTAGACCACCTAGCCAACGTATTTAAGGGTCCTGTTCGTAATTAGTGCGGGATGTGCCCTGGAAACGTTGTTGCATTCCAAGTTTTGATATAAATAAAACCTACGTAACAGCTACTACATACGTACATGCAACTACATAAGTCAGTATCTTTATAGCATAGGTACCTACCTAGTTAGCTGACTCGACTCTTTGAAATTTGAATCGGCGCAAGTCGCTTTTTTCCTAAAAGCATGCCAAGCTGTACCTATGTAATTTGCTGCACGAAACTACTGTAAGTGTTCACTATGTACTAGAGAGTCGAGATGACGTAGGTTGAAGATACAACATATCGGCCACCTCCTATTCACTTACATCAGTCACTTACATCAGTCTACTCCCCCCTTTTCTCCCACTCCACGGTAGACATTGTACCGGAGTATCACAAGTAAAAAAAATCTTAACGGACCAACAAGCTTAGAGCCCAGAGCTTCCCGTGCATTAGCTGCTGACCGCGACTGTGCACCGCCTCACTACTATTCCCCATTTCGTTAAGACGCAATTATTACCTGCAGCTCCGGGGCCGGGCTTCGAGCGATCCTGTCCGCCATCCCATCCATCCCAAGCATCGCGAACACGTGCGAGACAAGTGACAAGAGGCCAAAACAAAGTAAAAGAGAACTTGCCGACGAAAAGTTATCATTTTCTTCTAAAGTATCGATTTTTCAGCCTATCACAACACCATCTTTGCTTATTCCCTCCCCCCCCCTTTTTTTTCCTCGTCCAACTTGAATGTTTTTCTTTTATCATTGATTTATTAATCTACAGCCGCTGTCTCCTTATTAAAATTTGCCTTTTTATTCCTCGACCTCGTATTCTTTTATTGCTACTCCTGCCATCTTTGCTTTTGTAGCTCTTGTAGATTCGATTTTTATTTTTATTATTTGAGGAATGAAGAGAATATTCCTGTGGCTTTTAGTGTTTTATCTGTTTTGATCAAATACATACGCAGAATTGAATTAAAGCGCGCGCAACCGGAGCTGTCATTATTTATTGTGTTATTATTACATTATTCCTCCTTTAAGCTAACTTCTTCAATTCGGTAGTCGGGGTTTATCTTATATTTTATTTTATTCTGCTCTTTTGCTGGTACCGTAGCATCAATTGATTGATTGTTCGGTACAAAAACCCAAAGTGGTCCTATCAGCAAGCAGATAACAGGCAAGCACACCCTGGCTGCACCCCGAGACATTGGATCTGAGGCTTTGACGTATGCCTGCTCTATCTGTCGCATCAATCTTCGCCGCCGCCACCTGCATCTTGAAACTAACAACCCCCCAACCGCTACGGGGGTTAGCCTGCTAGTCCGTTACCTCTTTTTTACCTTACCTGGAACTCTGGACTCTGGACCTGAACCTGAAATCTTAACCCGACCTTACGTACCTAACACTAAACTTTACTACTACAACAATTACAACTACGCAATCTATCCTTCTCAAATCGTCCCCCATTTTCATCAAAAGCAACAATCATCTACGGATCTTGTTACTTATTAGGTTTGGGATAGGTACCTGCGCCGATCAAATATCCCTTCTTAATTTCCGTATTATTCATTGTTGCAAACGGACGCATTGATATCTACTATTATCTCCACTAACGCGCGACTGCGACGCTCGAGCGTTTTTGAGGCTCTCGTTGCGCCCGAACTTTGGTAATCTTTACTGATCTACCAACGGAAAAAAAAAATCACTTTTTGTGCGCATCGCATATTTTCATTCGATAGCGACCGAAAAATAAAAGCTTATGCTTACGGCGCCATCAGTTACTAGTATTAGAATAGGTAAGCATCATGATTTCACATTTCGTCTCGCTGTCGTCCATGTCCCGCGTCCGGGCCGGTGCCTGAACTTAGGTTCGCTGGCGTCTTTCGCGCAAGCACACCGGATCCGTCATCTGGTCTTTTTATTATCCTCCCGTTCCTAGCAATCCGTTACCATTCACGCAGCCCTCTAATCGGGGGCGGAGGCGGTGTTGGCGAATAGGACCAGTAAATATGCTGGAATATGATGAAAGCTGTGAAATGCGCCTTGTTGTTGGTCAGTGAGGCTAGAGTTGGGCCATCCACCTATACATCTAGTCATTCAGTTTGACAATCCACCTCACGACCTAGTCATTATCTCTACTACTGGTCAAGCTTGCCCATATCTTTCATTCATTCGATCTTTGCCAAGCAAATCTTCGGGCACAAAACAACCATGATGCTTTTTTACATCTCGTTGTACCTATGGAACCGTGAACCTTGCCACTTGGAACCACAGTGACATATGGGGCGTTCCACCATTTTTGTGGCCTTATCTGCCTCATCGTGGATCGTTGGGCTGTCGAGATTGTGGCCCGAACACATTTTCTTGTTTACCCGTTTTCCCCACTCGTGGATCCAGAAGTTTACTGCGCGCGAAGGCGAAGCAGAAGAAGGCCAACCAGCTGGACTCGAGTCACCGAACTGCTGATCGGCTGCTTCACTTAACTGGACTGAGCTGAGCTGAGTCGAGTCGGATCGCCTTCATTCTACCTTCGTTCCAAAAACCAGACACGACAAAAGACAACTTAATACGACAACTATAACTAATACATTCACTGACTAATACCCGCTTCTTTTCAGGCTTCTTAATAATTCTCGATTGCGATATCCACTTCGCACATTAATCAACCAACTAGACTTACTACTACACCTTTCGCAAGACGATACGATGGCTGCTATAATCGGAGATTTCGTTTCGGATCATACGCGCCTCCATAATATGATTGCAGCTTCTAGCTTACCTCACGAACACTCGCGATCTCGCGAATCTTCCTATCGGTCAGATTCCAGGAACCGACCGCGCGAAACCCCATCTCAGACGGTTTACTCTCCCACTATCTCAGCCGCGTCTTACCGACCTTCAGTGCCTAGTGCGACACCTTCTAAACGATCTTGGGAATCTACAGAGACGGGGACAGGAACAGGGACGGAGCAAAAATACATCTCATCCACTGGCGGAGCCTCAAGGTTCCCCACGCCGCCTGATTCTTCCTCGCCGAACCCCGCTTCTGCACGCGTAAGAGCACAGAATGCGAGCCCGTCTTCGGAATACATAGCATCGGAGACCCAAGCGACTACGTCGGTAGTACCCAGTAGCTCTACGCCCACACCTACCCAGCAGCAACCATCTCCTGATTCCGACTCATACAAATCTCCGACCCCACGCGTCAATGACGATAATACCTCAACTTCACCGGAAGGGCACACTGTCTATGTGCGCGATCTCGCGCATATCCAGAGTCTTGCTCGCGCTGATCTAATGAACGGAGGCAATGGACCAGGCATATTAAACGACCCACCACTCCAGGCGATGAAGTATGAGATCAGCCAAATGCCGATAGGTGATATCATTGAAATGGTTGCTGCTCTTTTAACAAAAATCACCACCACCAATGATCTTCAGCATGATGCGTTGCATAGAAACGCCACCCACCAGCAGACCGCAGCCAGCCATAACAGCGAAGGCACCTCGATGAGTCCTTTGAGCAGTTCTGTTCTTGCATTCCACGGCAAAAACGTGCCGGCAATCACGATTTTGAGTTACTTGAGCAGGATTCACAAGTACTGCCCAACTACATACGAGGTGTTCCTCAGTCTTCTAGTTTACTTCGACCGAATGACTGAGCGGGTGAATACTATGGTAATGGAGGCAGAAGCAGCAAGGAGACAGTCACAGACTCAACAATCCCTACGATCTCAGGCCCCGGTGGCAGAGACGCAGCCCGGCAGCAATGATGACAGGGAGATGCGAGATGATGACAGTGATGGCAACGAAACTGAATCCGATCTCGTCTACGACGACCCAGATGAAAAAGGGAGAGAGAAAAGGAGTCGAGAGAAGCGAGCAAGGGCGCAACCGCCACCACCCGCTTCACCCGCCACTTATTTTGTTGTCGACAGCTTCAACATACACCGCCTAATCATTGCCGGTGTCACTTGCGCGAGCAAATTCTTCTCGGATGTTTTCTACACTAATTCGAGATATGCTAAGGTGAGTTGCTCCCCCAAATGCCTATTTGCTTCACATTCCAGCTCCCTTTCGCTTATAACCCCTTCCGATGCCTACCTATTGCCTACATCTATACATACCTCTTCCAATATCTTCCATGTAACCTATGCTAATACGTGTGCACCTTTTAGGTCGGTGGTCTCCCGTTAGCTGAGCTCAACCATCTCGAGCTACAGTTCCTTCTATTAAACGACTTCCGACTTGCTGTACCTGTCGAGGATCTGGAAGCTTATGCTACGATGCTTGTCGAATTTTACGCTCGAGAAGTAGTTGCTCAGCGTTCGCGGCCAGTGAGCGGTGCCGAGTAAGCTTACGAGTCGATCATATTTGGGATAGGAAGTTCTGGGACAAGATGAGTGTTGCTAGAGGTATCCTGCTTGGATTACATTTATACCTATTAAATAAGTAATCACTCACGATCCTCTATATGCGTATGCCCCATCTCTATGGCTAGGTAGGGACCGTCGAAGAAGCTGGAATATGCAGGGTTGTCGAGTCCAGGGTGAAAGAAACCTCGACTCCGCCGACGTAGAGATTAATTGGTCGTCGTATCAGATTTGCATGGGGCAAACCCTGGGGATTCGGTTCCGTGTAAGATGAGTTTAGGTCGGTTATGCGCCCCTTATAGGCGGAAACGGAGAGGGTTGAGTTATTGTCACTCTTATTTGATACCCGGAATAGATTTCCTTCGGGCTTAAACTCCCCCTCTGTCTTTACGAGATAATTTGAAAATGTATTCTTCAAGATCCCTGGTTTTGTGATATCACCTCGCGTAATAAAACAATAACAGTAATCGGACAGGTTGGGATAAAAAGGGGTTATAATGGTACAGCTTACATGCAATGCCCGAATTTATGAGGGTTATTGTCATAAGCTTCCTTTTTCGAAATAAAAATTTGTTTGTGCGCAGCCTTTCGAGCTTTGTATTAAATGCATCTGAATTCATTTCCAAAAGCTAATAGCTCAAGCTCCGCAGCATTGTGCCGCAGAGCTTGAGCGGCTCCGAGGCAATGCGCAGGCCGCACTGTTGTTAGAGAAAGAAGACCGACGCACGCTCCAACCGGCTAGCCCGGGGCCGAGCGAGAAGCAGTTGAGCGGGCCTTTACCGGGACCGGATAGCGCCGAAAGCTTCGGAGCTTGGCTGTGGGCCTACTCCAACCCGACAGTTAGTGTTTTTGCAAATATGGATGTAAAGGCGGTTGACTTCAATATAGACAATACGATGATTCGTTTAAGGTCGTTTTACTCTTCCTCAAATTCATAAAACAAACATATTCCTATAGTCCATTTTTCATCATTCGATCCCGCAGTCTGCTCGTGGGCTTGCTCAACTTGGAGCTGAGCTGCATGTTCTCCTTCATCCGGCCACGAAGGTAGCGGATTTGATGAGAGTTTAGAATAAAAATGACGAATTTCATCCATATGTATTAAAATCGATCGTTGTTCCTTAGTTCAGATGATGAGTAGTGTTGCCGTCTGCAGCTAGCGGCTAGCTAGGAGTAATGGCCTACGGCAAAGATTGAAGATATAATGATAGTAATTTGAGACATCGCCCATAGCATTTGGTGGTTACTGTGATTAGACGATGACTGATAAAGGTCGTACATGAGTGAGGAGACGATCGAGTACAAGGGACCCTACGGCGGCACGCTCACTACGTTACCATTTTATGGATATGATCAGTGACTAACCATATTAGAACACTTTCTTACTGTTATTCACATGCTAAAACCCAATTGGCCTATATCCTAAGTAAGAGCGACGTTAAGGTTGTGTGGGAGCGGGTTGGATATCTGCGCAAGTCACCTTAGCCACCGTTTGACCTGTATAACTCCGCGAATTTTGTAGTGCTGTTGATCAGGGTGGCTGGCCGGTCGTATTCCAAAGCCCAACCTGAATTAATGCTTGAGTGATCTCATCGTCCGAGACGCTGTGGAAAGGGTCTATGTTGAAACGAATTGTTCCCTACCCGTAGGATGCAGATATACTCACAAACTCAATAGCACCCATTTGTGGCCATTCTAAAGACACAACAGCTGTTCAGCTCTCGGTATCCTCATATTCTGTGTCACCCAGGAGTCGTTTGATTCGCACAACCGCACCGACACTGGACTCTAGGTTCGTCCAGTTCACAATGAGACTTCTTAGCGTTTAGCTGAAATTGATGACCATGACAAGACTGATGTCTGCGCTACGCTGCCGGCGCTGGATCTGTCATGCCAAGTAACAGTAGTGCCGACTACAACGATGGCGAGCACGGTTACCAAGAGATCAAGCATGAAGTTGAGCCAGTGTTGAATGCAACTTTGCAGGTAACTCGGCTGCTGTAACGGATCGGAGTGAAGATGGATTCCCGTGTACGATATAATAGAAACTAACGCAAACCTAAGAGAAGGTCAAAGGTACGATCGGGACGATATTTATAGGGAGACTTCATCTTACCACGCAGCAGCAGTAGCTCCTAGAGTCCCAAGCACGCCTAGAATGGCGTAAACACCAAGCCACATCCTCATGTCCTGATTTGGCTTTATGGCGTTCGCTTCAGACCACCACTTCACAACAACAGCTGACCTAACAGTTAGCTTGTGCATTTTCGAAGAACGAGGTCGTCCAATCTTACGTGAAAACTCTGTAGAGAACACCCATAGTATAATAAAGACGACGTGCAAGGTGACAGAACTGTAGCCGGCATTAGCAATGCAATATTTGTAGACGGACAGGCATCCATTTTTGCGTCTCAGATCGGTGAGTGCTGTCGTCGATTCCCCTTCCCTGTCCTTGGACGCCCAAGTTGATTCGACAGCAAGCAACGAATCCGGAGTTCGAGAGGTCTGTTCGGCCTCATCATAATTGGCCTCGAATCCAAGCTTGCTGATGTAACCGTCGCCTTTAAGTAGAGTAGTGGGGCTGTCGGTCTCAATAATATGCCTGGCTTCGAGGACAATCATGTTATTGGCAAGTGCCATGATCTTGTCTGTATACTATGAATTAGTTTGACTACCAATAGCACTTAAGATAAATCATTCGTACGGTTGTGTGTAGTGAGGATTACTGTCTTGTGCTGATCGCGAAGAACACCGTGACGGCCATGTAGACGACTAGAGACAAGGTCGGTGGTGTGGCCATCCATGCCGCTAAAGACATCATCGAGAAGTACGATTCCGCATCGAGCGTAGGTAGCTCGTGCTAATGCCTTTCAGGGGAACAGCATGTTAGCAAGCGTCATCGAAGATACAGCGCCACCGGAATAACTTACAATTATCTGCTTCTATCAACCGCTCAGACTTAGTCCACCACTACCAACACGAGTGTGGTCGCCCTTTTCTAGCTGCTTTATATCGGTATCAAGTCCACAAGCAGAGACCACAGTAGAATACCACTGTTGATAATATAGGTATACGTTGATTATATTTTGCCGAATTGTACTGTTCTCAAGTCAGGGCTGATGCGCACAATACGCTATGGGCTCCCTCGTCCATTGTCTTCCCACATCCTTCTCGGATATTACTGGAAGGGAGACCATGTCGCCTAGGAGGCTTTTCAAAAACGCAGACTTTCCACTCCCAACTGGACCAACGATGGCTGTAATATCCCCTCGCCGGATATTAACATGGAGATTTCTAAGGACTGGAGAGTCGGATTTGTCCCAACTGAAGCTATGACCCTGGAATGAGATATGTTCCTTTTCCGAGACTCGGGTAGGCCGAGACGCTGCTGTCACTGGGGACGAGAAATCCGTGTCAGCCGTAATCTGTTGTCCATTGTTGTCCAGATTTTCTTCGGTATCCGGCCTTCCACCATAGTTGCAGAACTCTTGTATACGGCCCAGGGTACCAAGGCATTTAACAACAGGCGGAAGTGCTTAAATAAAGACCACCACAAGTGTTGTCAATAGGGTTATCAAAGAAACGGAAGTAAAGGCTTGAGCAGCTAGCAAAGTCTCATTCTTCCAGAAGACAGCTATTATAACATAGACCGCGAATGTGAGCACGCGTGCAAGGTTGATTGGTGTCAAGGTTAAAAATAGTCAATTTCAAGGATCGAAGCTGATTATAATGAAATTGGATAAATACGCACATAGCAGGAGCATCACAATCATAAGCTTCATGTAAGCACTCGAGGTCTTAAATCTGCAACGGGGTTCATGGGTAAGTGCTGGCAGCTTCAATCAGCTGCTAGAGGTGCTATGTCGTCCCACCAGAATAATAGAAAAGTAATACCTCGAACGTTGGGTAGGTATGGGTAACCCAAAAATTAAGCGTCGTATTACACCATTTTATCCTATTGTACCCAACGACATGGAGGAGAGACGAAACGGAAACACGACAAGTAGGTGTCCAGAAGTTCGACTGCATATTGGGTTGTTTTCATCGCACTTTTCCCTTCTAAACTTACAGGTCCAGCACCCACGTTGGCTCCTGGTACCTATGGGCTCTAAGGATTTAGTCAGTAGGGTTCATCGTTGAACTGCAAGACATGCGAAAGCCTACAAATCACCTGTGAAGGATATGGGCCAAAGCCTATCTGGATGGACAGAGGGCCACTTGAGAAAGAAACAGCGGAAAAGGTCAAGATGGCCGTTACTCGGACTGGTCAGAAGAGAACACGGAGATGCTGGAAGATAAACACACTACCACTTTCTCCCAGAGAAGAACTCAAGGATACAACGGTCAGAAATAAAGACATGGTGCAAGACTTGACAATACACACATCCTCATTACCTTCCGAAAATCATAGATTCACAACCCCCATTCAAAGATCGATTCCCCACAGATAGTTTGAGCTGGCAGAACCTAACACATCCAGGTACAGATGAGATGACAATGTCAAATATCTCTCCGCCAGACATCTTCTCACCGACTGACAGCAGCAAAGGCGCTGCTGGGTAAATTGGTGTGGTTTGATATCTTGGCTAAGATGGCTATATTCAGCGGTTTTTGATATCTTATAGCTTTTTTGGTGTATGAGTGCGCATTGAATTTCGGGGAAAGTGAGCTTATAAGTTCATGCCAAAAGGGCGTGTTTGATTCCTACCTAGAAGCATCTGAGGCCGTGTAACTTAGTGGTCTTATCAAGTACTAATACTAAAAACCCGTTAGTTCAAAGTACCTAATGTAGTCCCCAATGGCTTCTTTTCGGCTTCAGTGTCAACTGTTCGAAAAGTACTTGTGTTCCTGATTAAGTGCTCTAATATACCTAGGTACATGTAGTGTCTTAAGGTATAGATAGGTACGTCATTAACCTTCCTTCTGGATTGTCCTTTGTCTTTATTGGCAGGCTTGTGAATCCTCTTGGCAGCTAAGAAAATAAGCTTACATTTGCTGTGACACTTAGGTAGGTATTAGCACGTGGCAATCGACTTAAACTAAGGTCAGTGCTCACTACATGATCCGCCTGACGTCATACTTGGTACCTATGTACATAGGATCCTGTGATGCCACACGCATTGAAGCTAAGACGGGACTGACGCTAACAGGCACAGAATACATACATGTACCTAATCTCACCTTAATTTGCCGGCGCGCTAAACTTCAGCTGCTTCCGTATGCTGGGGACAACGCCTGCAACGTTAAGAATCCTATAGGTTTGGTGTATTTATATGTATTAGGTAGTGTGCTGTTCACCCTTTGCCACCCCGAAGCTACCTCATATAGACTTCGATTTCTTTCTCCTTTCCCCATTACCTCCTAGATCCTAGATTCTCTACCCAAGTCAATCAGCGCATTTACTACTAACTCCTATGACCGTCTAACTCCTTGGATTTTTAATACTTATCACAGCCAATACATTCTGCGACGCAAATTACAGGATGACAAATTACAGGATGACGTCGCACAGCAATGCGGAACAGGAGGAGCCTACAACGAGGTTTCCGACAATGGACAGCGAATCTGACGTGAAAGAGGATGAGGACAGCGATGTAGATGAGGAGGAGGAGATGAGGAAGTGGCTTTCAACAGCGTATGAGCGCGGCTCGAAGAAGCCCATGAAGAAGCCTCTCACAGCACCTTGGGGTCTGCCCATCAGCGATGCAGACGTGGAAAAGCTCAAAGCCGGGGTCAAATCTCGAAGCATGGACGACAAATGGGACATACTAGTCGAGGATCCGGACGAAAATGGCAACATATCTATTCACATCATTCGAAGCTGGTTGCAGGAGGAGTGCTACATACTTCACATTGTTCCAAAACCAAGCAACGATGATGACGGGAGTGCAAAGATCCAAAGCATCACCTGGGAAGGGAACAAGGCGGGGTTGCAATGTGACGCAGAGCAGGCCCAAAAGGAAGCCGTGATTCTGTCCAGAGGCCACCTCCACTGCGAGTTTGAGACGCTCCCCCAGTACCCGTCTTCAACGTTTTGGAATCCTAGTGCTTATAAGAAGCTGGATGCAAAATAGATTACTAGCGCCCCCAGAAGGCCATCCGGCAATCACAGAAGAGTTGTCTCATATTAGGGTTATTTTCCGGTACATTTAGCTGAGATGATAGTCAATCTTTCCTAATATTATACTGCAACCTGTTATCATTGCCTAATAATGTCGTAAGAATTACAACCTCCCTAAGGCACCCTCGACAAGCTCCGACTCCGAAATACCTGCTACTAGGAGCCCTTTTACACAGAGACGCTTTCGCTCTGCAGTGTGCTACAGACAGATAATCTCGCACCGGATCGTAAGAAGTCTCTCCTCGGTCTCCAACTCCTGCGCCGCAATATTCCTCTTCTCCCGGGTTAACCGACCCACTGTCAAAAGGCAGCTACTGAAGAAGCAACACAGACTCAAAAGAAATGAAAGTTAGAACATGTATTGGAAAAGCGAGTGTTTCTATGAAAAGCAAGTGTTTTTATGCATACACGACGTTCGGAGCTACTTGATATCTAGAGAAAGAATCCGGCGTTGTGAGGTAGGCATCTTAGGACAGCCAGCGCAGGCGGTTTCGCGCCGTAATCAACAAGACGGCTCATTTCAAGCAACGAATGATCGGATGGAACGTCCCTTGGCACTCCCACCCTGACTCTGCTCAAATTCTTCCCTGGTCGTGGTCGCGGTCTTCTTGCTCCTCTTGAATGTGTCCCATTTGGTTATGTGGTCCCAAGGGACAGAGCTCTTTATTGAAATTTCCTTCTCACCAGGATGAGGGTGTGGTTCGCCCGCCTCCTGAAACGCTATAAGAGTGTCAACAGCATCGAGGCCCGATGGGTCGATGTAGTAAACATAGACGTTGCCAGGGGATGTGGCACCTCCTTTAGCGACGTTATAATCGGTCGTGGTCGACACCCATGGGTCATCGTCTCCCAACGTATTCTTGACATGGTCAATGACGGAGCCGTCCCCTTCAGGATTACGGCTCAAAAGGCCTCCATCATTTTTGACCTGCACAGGCGGGCGGAAATCCATGCGATACAGTTCGGTAGTTGCAGCAGGGCCTAGTAGCGCCAGGAAAGAAACGAAGGAAGTGAAATAGGAACGACCGAACATTTTGAGCTGATTTGCTTTGCTGGTTGCAAACGTCAAAGATTTGAGAGGCTCAGAGAGATGAAGTGGCTTGGAGATGTAAAAAGCCTTGGAGAGTTGAAAATTGTGTCAAGATGAAATAGATGGCTTGGTTTGAAGATTGCAAATATTCAAGTCACAGAGCAATAACAACAACTTCTTATACGCTTTAGTTAACTAGTATATATACTTTGATATCTCAGTTACATGTTGAAGAGTTGACAGGGTGTCAGACAGTTACAGCAGTTTTAGACGAATTGTAATGTAGGATGATAAAGCTTGATAGAAGGATCAAGTGGACTAAGCACACTACTTGCTTGAAAGCTACGGAGGTTGGGATAGATTGTAATGTAATATAGTAATGATTAATAGAAGGATCAGGTGGAATATACGGGGGAATAAAGCTGCTGATAGAGACGCTCAATGACGCAATAGTCATAGTGGTCGTCATCGCCAAAGATGTGTAGGATTATAGACTTAGGATGGCGGTAAACTTCGCTTTCGTATAAGACAATGGGTTGTGTATTCAGCCTTATCCCAGGTTGGCTGATCCAGCTGCTGATCAGCAGAAAGAGGCCATGCAGCAGGGAATTGCACAGGCCAAAATTCCAGCACCCGCGTATATAGCAGCTCAACTAAGCGTGCACCGGCAATGCGGTTGAAGAGTTCCGGCGTTTCCTGGAGGAGTAGCGCGGAATGGAGGATCCCTCGCTCATTGGCTACCAAGAATAAGTCTGCAGATCTCATATAATGAGGCTCTGGGGTTTAGGGTGTGCAGTGAAGCCAACCTCGGTACTGACTATACACTTTAATGCTTTGAAATGCATAAAATTTATATATATATTGTAAGTACTTGAAGCGTCTGATAAGGATTATGCGAGCCTGTGTTCGTTTAGTGTTTTTTTATTGTACTGATCAGCGTAGTCGTCGTCGATCACGGGCATTTCGATATTAGCGCGCCCTTGGAGGATTTCGGCCTGCCCCCTTTCCCCAATGCAGTCGATTGCTCACCCCTGTCGACCGTCAAGCTGCCCCATTCCGCCAGGGGTCGCCCGGAATCTCGGTTCCCTTCGCATGCTCGCCTTACCCCCCCACGGGCGTAAGGCTCGAACGGATGTGCCCACTTATAATATCGCCTCACGGGGAGAGACGGCCTCAGCTCTTGCTACTCGATACACGCCGGCCTTGTTGCCGCTCGTGAAGGAATATCGAGCGCGAGAGCAAAGTTAATAGGGTCGCAAACAATATAGTAATATTACATCATGGAATAGAATATAATTTCCATTTTCTGTCTATTATAGACAAGCTTGGACCGCGTAACACGGTTTGAGTAAACTCTACAGAATATCTCAATCACAAAACCTCAATCTTGAGCCGTGGGAAATTGTCTCATTGGTTATTGAATCAAAATAGGTGTTGCATGTATGTTCTCATTCATGTGTATGACCTCTCTGACTTCTCTGACTTCTGTCGAGAGACGTTGAATTAAGCACATCGACCATGATGTGGTGACGGCCCGTGATGTAAGGCAGGGGCGTAGAGGAATACAGCTGAGGTGGCACAGTTAGGTAGTAGGAATATCTAGCAGATCTGGGAATAAAGGTCCATCACAATACCTATAGTCACTGGTCCGTCAATTGCTATTTTTACCGCTCGGGCCTCCACCACTTTGCAACGATACAAGATCGACGTATCGATGGATTCCTATTCTGTGCTTTTTTGGGTCTATGTTTCGTTGATCGCAAACAGTGCCACCATCATGCGAGGGACGCCAAGGTCGGCATCGTCATGGCAACCCGGCGCCATCTCACGATAGCTATTATTACGGCTCAGCAGGATCATACAACCATACGGAGACAATCGACATCACGTCAGTGGTGCTAGAGCAAGTGCCATACTCGACTGGTTTCGAAATCCTAAGACAAGCTACTTTACTCTACGCTTGGCGGAAACGTTCTCGTTATGACAAACCACGGCGAGCCTAGTCAAGACGAGGTGCAATGGATTACCTGCCTCCATTCGAAATATCAATATAAAGGTCGTGTCTCTCCAGCTTCCATGATTCAATTCCCTCATCATCATCATCATCATCATCACCGCCAAAGCTCTTCATTCAGCTCCCTCACACCACTATAATCATCAAATCGTTTTATTCTGCCTCACAGCTCGCGTCAACAACCCACGCTATTAATCCCATTATTACTCCATCATGCAGTTAAACGTCGGATCTCTCGTCCTTCTAGGCATCGCCGCCTTTACCAGCCTTGCGAGTGCCCAAGCAGTCGCCTTCGGCCAGCAACTCCAGAACAACGACCAGACCAATCACTGGGTCACTTGGGTCGAGGGCGAACATGCATGCCCCGGCATGCAAGTCCTAGATGTTCTCACAAAATCCCCTTGTAACCAGGCGTTCAGCCTCGGTGAGGTTATGTATACCTTCACCGGCTGCTCCGGCGACAGCGGCGCCCCCACCGCCATTCTTGACTCCGGCGGCCTCCAGATCGGCGGATGCTCCGCTAACGACAACAACAAGATCAACTGCCACGATGGCCTCCACGATATTATCAAGCACGGCACGTGTGTTATAGTCACTGGCGCGTAGGCCGGATCTGGTCGCATAAACCTACCATCGTCAGCAACTGGGCGACATTCGAACGTAGGAGGATTTTTGTCTGGGTTGAGATGCCACAAAGACAATTCATCGATGGCGTTGGGTTTTGGCGGAAAGAATTCAACTCTCGTCTTTTTGTGGCGTCTCCACGAAGCGTTCCCTTCACTCTTCCGGTTCATGTGTTTATAGTGTAGCAAGTATATGAGAGCATCTTTTTTAGTTAGGGTTACAATAGATTTTCTTCGAACCCCTTTTATTTTCATTTTTTATTGGAAGTTTGTTACTATATCGTTGAAATTTGTAGCACAGATGACAGTACCTCATTCTCTCTGTTGTGATTCATTGTATTTCCTTATATAGAAGTGCCTGGGAAGATCTAGTGCTATACCTTGTGTAAGGACGCAACTTCTAACTAAAGTGATATTCATAAAACTTGGGAATCAAAAATTGAAATATTTATACACAATAAGCATCGTATCTGAGACTATTCATTGTGCTCCCTAGACTAATTGTACATATGCCCTAATTTACCACTTATATCTGGTGGGTTCGACTGCTAGGATTTACTTCTCGGATATTTCCTAACGCTCATCCACTACATCGAGTAATTCTCCAGTTTCTCCAACACAAAGTAATATATTGTCGACCCACTCCAAGCGAAGGCATAAAATAGCACCTGCCTGACGATCACCTTTCCATGTTGAGGATGTTTTCCATAGCGTCTTTTCAATATTATGGCGAAATTCTCCCGCTTCTGACGGTCTCGGATATGCCAGCCGGAGAACAAGCTTTTGACAGCCATCTTGAAGGCGTAGAACACACTGGAATCGCCCACTAACATCGGTCTTCATGACGTCGCTGGTGATATCCTTCAATGTAGACCAGTCCAAGATGGTGTTGGCAATCCTGATCTTGGTCGATGCTTTGCCGCAGTACTTGAAAATTCGAGAGCCATAGTCCACCCATTCCGCAACGTCGCCGATAGGGTATCGTATTAGAGGTTGCAAGCGACGTATCAGATGCGTGATGATAATGTTTCCTTTAACACCACTTTGTTTAATAACGGCACCATCGTCCGTCACTATTTCCATGACCGCAACATAATCGCATACCCTGTATATTGGGTTAATATCCCGGTCAATCATAGTCGAAATGGCACCTGGAAACCCCAGGGGGCCTAGCTGAGGTTTTTCGTAGAGCGGCGCATACAGCCTGGCATTCGGGAATCCAGAATGCAACGACCAGGTAACATCCCTGGGTACGGCCTCTCCAAGGTATAGAATGGCTCGTACCGATGGCAATGTGCTATGCCCTTCGCTAAGATACTCGCTAAGCCGAAATATGTCGGGTAGCGATCCGAATACGACGCTGGGTTGGAATCTTTCAACTTCCTCTATAATCCTGTCCACTGTCTTTTCATTCGATATAAATAGCTGAACTCCTAACTCTGGGACAAGCATTCCATTGGATGTGTTTACCGTATCCCAAAAGCTGAGATGGAGGTCATGGGGACTCATAATATTTGCAACTCGCTCTACTTTCTCAGGGTCAAGAATTCCTTGCCATAAGATAGACTTAGCCCTGGAGAGCTTGAATTCCTCTCCTTTTGATAGTTGCACAATCTCAAGATTGTTGTCAGGGCCACTTATACAATAAATATTCCCAGTGGTGAATGGTCCGGTCATGACACTAGAAAGATCAGTTCTTGCTGAGTTCCAGTAGTCATCTGGGTATATTATTGGCACGTCCTCGAGATCTGGCTCATCCTGCTGAACCAATTGGTATAGACTCTTGTAATACGTCGAATTTTCGCGGGCGAAGACAATGGCCTCGCGGGCATGTGCGAACTTCTCGCCCATAGCTTAGGGATAAATGTTGAATGAAGATGCGAACACAGAATTGGTAAAATGTAGTATATTAACTGCAACTTAAAGAATACTCCGGGCCAAAGGGTTTTTTGGGTAATCAAATGCAAATGCGTACTTGTGTAGTTCCCGAGACGTGCGCTGTATTCAACCCAGATATCCATTCCGGCCACAGTGGTACCAACAGTAATGCGATACACGTCATGAGTATTTTCCGAGTCACCTTGATTATCAAACATAACAACTCAGAAAACATGACTAGAGACCACCGAATATTTATCTAAATAAATAAATAAATGCTCGCATCTGAATGTCATGACACGTATATATAACAAGTGAGTTGATAATCAGATATTCAGGTAGGAGGAGGTATTACTTAGGTATTCAAACATAGGCACTTTCATCCAGTTTTCCAAAAGGGTTAAAGATGGCCAGAGTTTCTTGTAATACATATCAATGCCCTAGGCGTTGCTTATTTCGTCTCTAGGAATAAATCGGAAAACCATAGCGTGACGAAGAGAGAAGGCCAAGCCCTCCAGCACTAGAATATCAGAAGATGAGAAGTCCTACCCTATGACAAATGAGTAAGGTGTTAGATCCTCATGTATACTAGAAGTTATATCTCAACTGACGTTTGTAGCTTTTCGTAAATATGCGAAGATAATACTTTATATCGTTCTTGCATTGTAGCAACCAACCTGCTATGATAGGTCCACACCCAGAAACTGCGAAGCTATGTGCTGGTTGTGTAGTGGCAATTGTCCGACGATTGGGTAGAACGCATGGTAAATTATGATTTAGATTACTCTTCTCGTTATTCAAATCGGCGACTGAGACGTCGAGCACAAGGCTATCCCTAAATTCATATATCAGGGTAGATTAGATCACAACTGGCGAGTTACTATGTATCCAAAGGTGTGCGAATATTGGCAATGTTGTCTCATGTTTAGGATGACAGCTAATAGAACCTCAATTATCAGCCTATAATGTGACCCCTTTTGGTAAACATATCAACTTAAGCGTACGGGGTGAAAGGGGAACAAGAGGTCGCATAACAAGCATGCAAGTACGAGGGGTCCTTAGCATCCCTACTACAATTCCTCCGTGGATATTTTTATTCGGCTCGAGATTAACAGGCTGTTACGGCAGAACGGAACAAGGCTAATGTGCTCATACAATCCCTTCATAGCAAGTTGAGCTAAAATGCTAGTTAATGATTAAGGATGCTATAGGCAATCGCCATGTAGAACTTCAGGCGGATGGATTTTAGAACATAGCGTTATTTAACCTATTATTGACGCGTAACATGGAAAATCCGTCTTATAGGGGCATTTCATCGCTGACGACTCGGCTACGCACCGTCTGGAACCACGTAAATAGTATCCGACACGTGGTGGAACGACGCGGCACATTGCTAGTTCAATGTTGCGGTCTCGAATGTTGCTAGAGCCTATGTATGTAGTAGATGTCTGTTGTCCCCTGACCAAGTGGGGAGCTGAAATTCGTTAGCGACGCATGAAGGTCCACAGAGTCTAGATTCCGATAGTACAGAATGGGAATGAGGAATACTAGAAATAGACGGATAGGTAGGTACCTATGTAGGTAAACAGAGGAAATTTTCATTGGTTCATTATTCACCTAATTCAGTATGAGAATGAGAATGGGAACGAGTATGAATAGGTATTACAAAGCATCATAGGTGTTAATACGCCCACATCATGAGACGCGTTCCATCTGATGAGAGAAAATAACTGGGGAATCAAAATTCGTACAGAAGATCGTCATAAAAAGTGACCAGTCAGACTTTTTTAGTGACTAGAGCCAGATCAGCCGTCCATCGTACTCGAAATGCCAAGCGGCCGGTTGCCGATTCCCCCACGGAAAATCGAAAGGGAACAAATTCAAGAAAAGTTGGGATACAAAAAAAAAGAGGTCGACTCGTTAAGTGGCCGCACCACTGCCGCTCGGTCCACTTGATACCGCATCTGCGTGCTTTTTACCTGCCAACTCCTTGATCCGCCTCGGCTCCTCAAGCAGGTCCCACGCTCTCTCCCTTTTACTCCTACGTCCTATTTCTCCAGATCGTTCCATATCCTCAAGGTCGCTGATGTCATCGGAGCTGAACGAGCTCGCGCTAGGGCTACGGTTTAGCACCATATTAATCGTGCGGCCTTCCCTCTTCTTCACCTTGGCCTGAGCCGCCTTCAATTTCTGGTCTTCCGGATCATCGCACGCTAGTGCCACGATATCTAAACCGGGGAAGTTACGTTCTAGCAGCTTCTTTAGATCTGGCAGCACCGACTTATCAGGTCGATAAGTACCGCTATCGTTGTCAATGATCAACTGGTAATACTCGGGCCTAATCGGTGGAGGCTCTTTGGGTGGTCCGCCCTGTATGAGCTCCTCCGGGTGAGTAGACTCGCCAGGTTCAGGATCCTCGGTTACCCTAGGTTTTTTCAGCCTACGGATAAAGAACTCTCCGGAGCAAGCGATATATATGGCGGCGTCACTATGCATGGTGTGTTTACTGAGAAGGTCGATACTAAATTCCTTTCCAGTTTCTGTGAACCTCATGATTCCATCTAGTGTAATGACATACGTGAATATCCGCCCACCTTCGTCGTAGTGTGCCATCTTCAGGAATTGAAGGCTAGCTTCCTCTGAGCACGGCTCGAAAGTACCAAATAGCGTACCCCTATCGAAATTGTATATGCGGTGGTGCTGGTGGTGAAGAGCCTTGTTCAAAATCTTACCGCGTAGCCCCCTACTCCTAAACAAGAGGCCAATGATGGGCGTAAATTCGACATATCTATGGTATAGTTTTTCCGGGACCGGACCGGCAAGCTGGATTTCGTTGGCCTGGAAGTCGTACTTTTGAGCCCTCCTTTCCGCCTCCTTGCTATTTTCCTGAGACACAGATGTCGCCGCATTCGCATCAGATTCATGTGAGTCGCTAGTCTCGTCTTTATTCACTTTTATGCCCATCATTCGGCCTATCATGGGTGAGAAGTGTTTGAAGTAATAGGTTGGGCCGACGGTGTATATCTGGCCGTAAGGCGGATCCGACTTGCCCAAAACAACAGCACTTATATATAGCCTCGGAGTCAATGAGACATCTTTAGCGAATGCGCTCATGCAGGCCTTAAGAATGTAGGCACGCTTGCTACCGCTGCGCTTCTTGACCTCAAATTCTTTGGGTTCGAGTCCAAAGCCCTCCCAATCCTCACTGACGCGATTGACTAGAATTGTTACGTTGCCTAGTCTATCGTTGTGGTCCGGCCAGTCCTCGTCGTATAAACGGCATTTCAACTTGAATCCAGATGATGGGATATTGGCTACAATCCATTCCTGTTCCCATTGAGGTTCAAGTGTCTTCCTAACCGTGCGCGTCCGGTAGACGAGGTCCGGGTCTTCCTTATGTCTCTTGGGTAGTGAAGTTGTTAAGGTGGCAGTTAGAAAGGGATCCGACGACCCTGTACTAAGGTCGGCAGCAGGAAGATTCTCGGCGCGATGAAATGTAAACTTCACGGTATAACCCGGGGGAGCATCAGGGATCGGGGTAGGATCAAAGCCACCGGGAGGCTTAGTTTTAGTCTTGATCTTCTCCTTTTGCTCCTTAAATTTGTGCTTGAGTGTGCTGCTACGAGGAAAAGGACCGTCTGGCTTCTCATTATCGGCGTCAGGACGCGGATGAGCTCCGTCTTCAGGGGTTGGATGGTCGTCGGAGACCTGTCGAACATTTTTCTCATCATTGACCCCGTTAGCGCCCTCTTGCGACACCGGGTCTTGGCTACGAGGCGTCGAATCGGCCTCTTCTCCGACGCGAGCAGACATGTCGGGCAACAGAATGGCTAAATGCCAAGCACGTAATGCCGAATGATGTCAAGAGCAGTACTTCCTGTCGGTTTATCTGCAGGTTCCGAAGATAGGAGCGAAGGCGGACGAAACCGTCCTGTTCGTTAGTGGAATTCGCAAGATCCTTGTTATGGTTCGTTGGTTCGAAATTCTGGAAAAGGGCAATCATGGATGCCAAGGCGGCGGTGGTAGTTTGGAGAATTGCTTGGTAGTGACGGTATGTAGGCTTGCGCTTCTCCACACAAGCAGTGATGCGACTCAAATGACAGAGGAGCAGGAACTGATAAACAAAAAGTAAAGGGAGCTTATTTCCGGGTCGCCTTACCTTGCCAGCAGGCTTGGCAATGATAGATAATGGTTATGGCGAATGAAGATGACGCTGGACGACAAAACGCGTGACATGAAATTAATGTGATTCCAATTAGAGAGAAGAGGAGATGGAATTGGGAAATTGGAAAATTGAATTCATTTGCGCGACAGCGCGTCAAATGTGTTTTTTCTCTCTTTCTCGGAATTATATGTAGCAATGCCGCTTTGCCGGTTGGGTTCTGTCCATCAGCATCTGAGCATCTGACATGTACCTAACCCATATATCGTAATTGTATGCGGGTTGCTGTGGCTGTGAAGATTGCGACATAGGTCATAAGCTAACGGATAACTAAAGCTTAGCGGAAGCTTTTGGGCAAATCAGACCAATTCATTCGTAATGATCTGATCAAGATCCATGTCTAGTACCGGGAATTCCGTTGATCCTCTCCGAAAACTCAATGCTTTCAGCTGCATCCATATGGCGTTTCTGGGTGTTCCCTGCCGATGTGAATGCCCGCTTCCAGGGCTGCAGGTGCCCAGATGAGGCCCTGCACCTTCCAAGCCCCCCCTCCCCCCCCCGCTATGCCGACCTTCCGATCTCTTGTCAAATCGCTAAATCGCTAGGTTAAATCGTCAAAGTTGACCTTCACACATCAACTTGTTTAATGAGGACAATATACACGTGATGTCTACATCATGTGTGTCTTACGCGTCTAACTTATGAATATTGCTAGCCTTACTATTTAAAGTTGATAATTCGTTATGAATTAGCTTATTCGCTGTCTAGTCTTCGCTTACATCGCCAATAGTAGACTAACTTCTCTTCTCAGCTTACCCAATTTGAACGCTATACATGACATATCTATGGGAAGAGTTCCGCACGGAAAATAACAAGATGGCACAGAACAAGCTTGCACCCGTTTTGCTCCTCGATGGAGGGTTAGGGACATCTCTCGAGGATAAGTGCGGCGTCAAGTTTGATGAAAATACCCCATTATGGTCGTCTCATCTTCTTATTGATGATCCCGAGACCCTCCGTTTATGCCAGGGAGATTTTGGCAGTATCCCCGTCGATATATTGCTAACAGCAACATATCAAGTATCTGCGGAGGCCTTTGCACGAACTAAAACTCCCGATCACCCGCTGGGTATTTCCCGCGATGATATTGTACCTTTCCTTGATGTTGCTGTTTCCATTGCCGAAGAAGTCAAGGTGCCCAATGCTCATATTGCTCTTAGTCTTGGGCCATATGGGGCAACCATGGTTCCGAGTCAAGAATATGGTGGTAAATACGATACGGAACATGACTCACTAGAAAAGCTTGTCGGTTGGCATAGGGACCGCATTCGATTATTCGACCAGATCGATCGCATTGGATCTCGTATTGGATTCATCGCATTCGAAACTGTCCCCAGACTAGACGAAATCAAAGCTATCAGAAAGCTCTTCACGCGTGCTTCACCAAGTGGTTTTAATACACCCTCACTTCTCCATGGGAATATCCCATTTTGGGTATCTTGTGTATTTCCCGGTGATAGATACACTCTTCCTGATGGTAGTTTTGTCGATCAAGTGGTGGATGTGCTCCTAAGCTCAGACTATTCGGATATTACCCCGTGGGGAATTGGCATCAATTGCACAAAAGTGGCCAAGGTCGCCGAGCTGGTTAATATGTATGAAAGTGCTGTTTCTCGATTGACAAGTACTGGCAAACTCAAAACCCAACCCAGCCTGGTTCTTTATCCTGATGGAACCAAGGGTGAAGTGTACGACACCACAACAAAAACTTGGCGCGCACCAGCTAGCCAACCACTTCCCATGGTAAGTGCCACCAGAAGCATGATTATGCAGTCCTAAGCAAGGGGGCTAATCATTGATTTAGTCCTCGTGGGAGCACCAAGTTGCCGACGTGGTCGTTCACGCTCGAAGTCGACAGTGTTGGAGTTCCATCGTGGTTGGCGGTTGTTGCAAGGCCAACCATGACAATATTAGAAGGCTTCGTGCCATTATTCGCGGTACCTAATTAGTATCATCAAAGCGACCCCAATCAAAACCCTCATTTGCCATTCGGCTATGTTCCGTTATGCGCATTGTTAATAAATATTATGAACATCGGGATTGCTATATTTCCCCCTCGTTTTCTATCCAAGGAAAGAGGGCGGAGCCGGTACAGAGCCGCAATCCAATCAACTGGTAACGGCTATTTTCCTCGAGATATATTAAACCATGTGTCACCTTGTACGGACGAGAAAGTTGCCATGCATACCGCATGGAACACTACCAAGACCGCGCATGCCCTTGTTCTTTGTCGGCTTTATGTTTTTTTAGACAAAGCGAACAGATAGCCGACGGCTACTGACCATCATAAGAACTTCAATCGTGCTGGATAGGTATATTCCATATCCCGATATGCCGTTACTGATCGACAATTCATGATTTAAGACAACTTATCTTATTCGGTACGTGCCTGAGTATTTCCTTATGTTTCTTTTTGTTACGATATGTTTTACCGGTTATGAGCTTCTGCTTCCGGGTTTCGATCTTGATAAGTCGTCTAGAACAATGTAAATAGGTACTGTGAAACACCATGTTTTTGTTTTTTCTGATCGAGGCCAGTCCGCCAGTCAAGTATCAAGCCCGTACCCGCAGCTCCGCATTTATGTGATATTGGACGTAGTCTTCCATCACTTCTACGACTTAGTTGATGTACCAACACTAATGCTAACACTAATCAATGGTAAATCTCTTCTCTTAGGCTGCTATTATTCCCCGACTTGAAATTGGCGTCGAATTTTTATCAATATTCAGCTTCGGGCTTCGGTGTACACATTTTCCCCACGTCTTAGACTAACCCATATCCGTCTGCTCCTCGTAAATTCCGGATAAGCCATGACGAAGACTCTATGTAAATGCGTTAGCTAGAAGAGACCTGCATTAGGCCAGGGGTAATAAACAAGATTTACGAATCAAGATCACGATATCTATGTGTCATCCATCTTGCCATCCTACATAGTGTACAGGCATGTGAGTACACAGATGGGTGATGTACATGGAGGTATGTAATGTATGTATTTTATTTCCATTTTGGATACCAGCTTCCTCTTTAGACAACGAGATATCAGTGGCTAACATTTCTCTGCACAGTCTTTTGTGTACAACCGAGGCCCTCTACTGATGTAGCTAAGATGTAGCTCTCCGTACGTACCTATCTAACCTAACCTTTGTACATAGAGGGGAAGCTTGTTAAGCCAAGGACATTAATGTCAATAGCGCGAGGCGGGCTTGAGCAGCGTGGATAACCAGCTAGTTTATCTACGATTCCGCCAATAAGACGATATCTTCAAAATACACTATTCCATAAATGCGGGTATTTTCCTTCTAGATCGAAAGATATGGCGAGACCGGTTTCTCAGCCTGACTTGCCCAACTAGGTCGCATGTACATGATACATCGGGTTTCTTTCATCGTCGTACTCACCCCTAACCGGTGCCTGTATATCACGCCTCGTGGAGTTCTTTCTCTCGCGGTCCAGTCCTAGCCGAAATTGACATTGGCTATGTCTGCATTGTCAATCCCTGCATGTTGTTCTAAATAAACTGCAATGGTCCGAAAGAGGGACCCGCGAAGAGGAGATCTTGGCAAACGAACCAGGTTGCCGGAACGGTATGAAAGAAGATAATAGCTGACTCCAAGAGTCTAGCAATACTTTTTCTTTTATAAAGCTCATGTTGTCCAACCTGCACCGTTTCCTGCTTCCTCTTCCTCTCCCATCACACGCTATATCGCCTCCTCTTTTGAGCATATCAATCACTTGATCAGTCCAACTTCAGTCATTCGCTTGTACGTGAAGAAGAAAAATTAGACAGTCAAGATGGTTCGCCTATTAAAGTATGCTAGCGCCGGTGCCCTGCTGGTCGCTTCCGTAAACGCCAACTATGCTACGACCTCTTACCCCGAGGAGGACGACTGTCCTCCTGATTCTGAGACCGAGTCCTACAGCGCTACCTCGGCTCCTTACCCTACCAATTCTTCTTCCGCCGGAGGGTACCCCGTCATCACTCCCTCTTCCTCAGCCGGATACCCGGTTGCCTCGTCGACCAGCTCTGAGGAGGATGACTGCCCCCCGGAGACCGAGTCCGAGTCCTACAGCGCCACTGGCTACCCCACGGTCTCTTTCGGCACCGGCTACCCGACCCTGAGCGTCTCTACTCCCTCTTACCCTGTCTACCCTACCGGGTCTAAGAGTGCTCCTGCTCCCCCCTACCCCACCGGCGGCAAGTCTGAAAGTGTCTCTATCCCTTCTTACCCAACAGGTGGTCAGTCTGAGAGTATCTCTACGCCCTCATACCCGACTGGCAGCCAGTCTAAGGGCAGTTCTTATCCCGTTTACCCTACTGGGTCTGAGAATGCTTCCGTTCCCTCGTACCCTACTGGATCTAAGAGCGCTTCCGCTCCCGGTTACCCGACCACCGGTATCAACACTTATCCTGGTGACTCAACCTTGACCAAGTACACAACCCTGATCTCCACGATCACCTCGTGCGCCCCCAGTGTCACCGACTGCCCGGTTGGATCAGCTATCACTATTGTTGTTCCCTACCCGTCGGCAACCTACCCTGCCGCTTCTCCCTCATATCCCGCAGGATCTCCCTCTTATCCTGCGGGAAGCCCGTCTTACCCCACCGAGACTCCCTCTTCTCCGGCTGAGACTCCTAAATACCCTACTCAGGGTAACAGCCAACCGGCTCCCTCATATCCCGCAGAGGCTCCCTCGTCGCCCGCGGGATATCCTTCCTCCCCCGTGGAGACTCCCTCTTACCCGACTGAAACTCCCTCTTCCCCCGCCGAAACACCTTCGTCCCCTGCTGGCTCTCCTTCTTATCCTGCTGGAAGCCCGTCTTACCCTGCTGATACCCCTTCTTCCCCGGCCGAGACTCCTGCGTACACTACCGAAGGCAGCACCCAGCCGGCCGCTACTTACCCTGCTCTCTCTACCAGCCCCGCAACTCTATCCACTGTCTATGGCAACACAACTTTCAGTGTCCCGAGCCAGACTGCTGGATACCCTACTGGAGAGGCCTCTTCGACCTACCCGGCCTCCACTACCATCCCTCCTGCCCCCACTGCTATCCCTACCGCCGGTGCTGCCATCACAGGATCAAGTGCTACCGGTGCCCTGGTCGCTTTTGCCGCCGTCTTTTTTGGTCTCTTTTAAACAGGACTTGGATTATTAATGACGAGGTGATGTGGTCATGTTACTATGCGTATCACGGTATTGAAATGACGGGATTATATTCATGCAGAATACAATTATAGTTGTACTCTTATTCTCTCTGCAAGAGATGATGTTGCCAGCTCCAAGCTATGAATTGCTCTGAGAAGCTCGGGCCCTCTTGCATGACCTTTAATGTTAACTTGATAATGTAAATAATTTATTACTTCACAACAACCAACTGGTCGCTCTTTTGTCGTATGCCATTTAAGGATTTCCATTTTGGCGTGATTCGTTTGAATAGATTTAACAATTAAATGGAATGAACATGATGCGACCTTATTTGAAATAGTATTTATCCACCGTAAGCTCATGTGTAGCACACCCCTTAATTTCTCGTAATATCATTCTCTATTCCCTCGATCAAACCCTACTTAGTCTATAATGTACTTCCCAAAGCTTTACATCAGGTATTTGATTGAAGCGAAAGTGATAATCTACAGGAAACATTAGGTCATATTTAGTAGGTACTTGTGGGTTTACACGAATTTTTTTTTCAGTGGCAAATTATTAGTCTAAGCTATTGTTTAACCCGATTCTAATCAGCCATCAAATGCCATGATCTTAGTAGATTCTTTTGCGTCGTTTCATATACTGATCTCGAGTTGTGGGAAATCAGAATTGATGTGAGCACGGGGTTGTATCGCATATAACTATCCAGAATTCTCGAAGGGATAATGATAAAAGTAATTACTGCAAGTATATAAAGATTAGATCCTTTCTCAGTTGTTAAAAATAATTTATCTAAATATATGATCAAGTTTAAAATAGGATGTAAGGTAGCAAACCTCGTTTTAAGTTGAACTTACCTGTTATGTTTGCCAATGGCTGTTCCTATGGATGTCGACTACTATAAGCTATACTATAATATTAGAGCAATTTCAAAGCCTAGTTGCAAGTCAACAATAGTATCGTATATATGCTGCGGTAAAAAAGGAGACATCATTTACGGGATCGCCGTATGTCTGTGAATGGGTCTAAGGCTACAACTGCTAAGTGCAAATCAAGTGTCACAAAGAACTGTATAATATCAACAAGTAATAGTATTCTCGTATCACTAGCATTCGCATGTGTGTGATATGGCCGTGCGGAAAATAGGGGCATCAATTGTTGGAATGGTATTAGCGGTTTTGCACTCGTGTAAGTTGGATGTTTGAGGAGTAAGAACCTATGTACCTTACTTTCGTACTAGAAGGTATATATATGCAAGATCTATTCTAATATAGGATAAGGGGTTATGCAACTGTGGTATATGGATAGTATTAATACTCGAGTATAAAACCCCCCAAATACATTGCTCACTAAGAAAGGGAACATTGCAGCGGAAACAGTAGCGATCTACGGCCTTATAGTAGCTAAAGGGTCTTTTAAAGGAACACTTAACCCTAAATTCGCTAAATAACCCCCCTGAAGGGTATCTGGTGTCCTTGTGACCTGTTCTATCCCCAGGTTTAGGGGGTGTCAGAAGGTAGGGCTTCTCAAGAGCTCGAAAATAGCCCATATCAGCATGATCATACGATATCGGACATGGCCAATTTATAGCGTTCACAAGGAATGTAAGTAGCTAATAAGTAGCTAATAAATCTTTAATCGTGTTTCCTGGGAAACAAGCTATAAGCCCGGGGAACATGTACGCATATTATCAATTAAGCTTATTATTCTTCGGGGGCCAATACTTTAGATATATATAAGCATAGGATCTATCTCTTACTTACTTTACTAGGTATATACCTACTCTAAGTAGACTGGAACCATGCAGTTGCTCGTGGCATTTACTAAGAGTTTAGTACGAGAGGTTCTAATGGAGATCGATCCTCAGGACCTATGACGTGCAGCACGTTATCAAAACTTGACTCTATCTTCCAATGGAAACCTATCGTCGCTTTCCCTGTTCCGTGTATTCTAGAAACTGGCTCGAGATCCCCCCCTCTACCTTGTTAGCTAAGCCTCTCTAAGCCTCTCGGCAGTTCCCTCTACTTGCCACGCGGCCTATGCCCATCTTGCAGCGGCATATCTCGCATCTAGGGTGCCGATCTGGGTTCGATACAGTAATACGTAGCCAAGATTGGGGATGGGTCACTGGAACTGTAGCAATGCAACCAAAAGTTTAATTCGACGTATATTATAGCACTACTCAAGAGCCGCATGCTCAAACGAGGGCTTTGAGGAGGTTCTTGATTACTTAATTGGTATGTAAGGTGGATAATCGAAGATGTGCCATATTCGTCGAGTTTTAGGCTGGATGGTTGAAATCTCGCGAAGCGTAAACAAATAATATGAACTAGGTAGGTAGGTAGTTTAGACAAAGATAGGTTTAATTCTTACCTATCTAGCTACACGCACCCAAATTCATTTAATAAAAGGTGAAGAGAGATCAAGACGAAGGTGTAACAGAAGGTCAGCAATTCTAGACTGGATGTACGGTTCAACTTCGGTTTACACCATCCAACACGGAAACGATCAGTCGTCCTGCGGTCAGAATGACGAGATCGGGAGTGTCAAATGGAGTTGTAGGATCTACTACGATCGGCATTGAAATTGTTCATGATGTTAGTTGTACGCGATACGAAATGCCGCAACTCTCTGCATGAATGCCGAATGAGTAATAACATCAGCTACTCTGCATTGAACGAAAACGAACACGGTTAATTATGTATGCATCACGGCTCGTGAACTACTCTACCGAAGCACGAGACGAAGAAAAAAAATATTTTGATTTATAAGCTATGTCATGTCGCATGGCCGAGGTTCGGTGGAGATATGATAGGTGCGAATAGGCGGAACTACAAGAGGAGGGAAAGGAAGAGTCCAGGAACAATAGAAGAAATAGTGGGAAGGCGAGGATAAAGGGAAAAAAGCAGGGAAAACAAAGGGAAGAATCGGTCAGTTGACTTAGTCCGGCGTAAGAACATAAGAACATAAGAACCTTATTGAAGTAAGAAATGGCGCATCGGGGAAAACGGTCTGATTGTTTATTGTTGATTTGTTGATTTGTTGATTGTTGTTCGGTGCGATGCCTGAACGGGAACATGGAATTATGGATTAACATGGAAAGGGAAAAGGGAAAGGTGGAATCGAGTCTGAATTGGGGGATTAGAAAGGATTGGCGGTTCGGTTCGATCTTCCCATGTGGCCGCTAAGTGTTCCCTTCTGTTGCTGCAGGTATCCTCTTGTACATGATGTATGCACATATGTAGGTTATGTAGGTACCTACCTACCTGGTACCTACCTATGTATTACAATAAATAAATACAATGGTTACCTAGGGGGGTACATAATCTTAACCAATACATTATGTAGAGGCAAATTCCAATATGCACCTGCACTTAGCTGAACTGGTGATACCGTTCGAGCCGGAAATAATTACCTCTGGTCGCAAAAGCGAGCAGCTCCGACCTGTCCGAGGTGGCAGGTGGGGGTGGGTAAGGAACCGGCCGGAAGGGTAGGGGGTTGGGAGGCAGTAACTTGAATTCGATGGATACCTAGGTACGGTACATGCCCTGTTTGGAGCCGCCTTTAGTTCAGCATGTATTGTACATGCTGACCTCATTTTGGGTCACCACATTACATGTATATCTATATATGTATATACCGTATGTTACATGTATGTTGTTGCTAGCCGCTTAATACAAGTCACCGACTTGCCCCAATCACTTTATTAACCTGGATTGCCTGCCTGCATTAATTCAACTTTAAAACTTGAGATAACCTATGTACCTACCTTAGGAGGTAGTTGACATGTATATGACATACACGTACAGGCCTACATGCAAATCGACGTAGCTGGCCCTGCATTATCTCAAGTAAACCCGGATGCATTGTCCTTTACATCCACTTTGAGCTTTTCAAGAACTTAATAATCCCCCTTTTTTTCCCTATTTCCATTATTATTACATCTTTTCCCCTAGTTCCCCCTTAGCTCACCTGCAGTTCGATACCTAATCTCTTCTACTGACATACCCTAATACCTAAACCTACATAATATTCCTTCGGGTCGTCCGGAGCGAACCATCTCCCAATCATACGACAGGGAGACCCTTAACATTCGAACGGTGATCTACTAACTGGGATCCCGCGAAAGAAAAAAAAATAACAGGCTTGACTCATAGTCGTCATTTCAAAAGATCTCGCAGCGCGTCCGTGTTTTATGTGAAAACCAACACTCATACATTACTTCTCGTTGGCAATCTCTACTAGACTGCGCAAACAGACAGAAATACACACGCAATACCTGGACAACACAAACACTCCCTTTCCCCCTTCGCCCTTCTCACTTATACCTAACCCGTCTTAACGCGTACCTAACCTTATACTCCACTACACACATCAAACCGCACCCACGAACGCAGGTACGGGTACAAGTCCCCTCCATCCATTTCCGTACAACATCCGTCCAAAGTTTATTTACCTCGTCTCTTTGCTTTAGAGTACATATACCAAGTAGTCGTGGTGAGCTAGATATCAATGGCCACCGTAACTGTCTCTCAGCCTGCTATCACTCCTGCGATACCGGATCGGAACGACAGCAGTGATAGTTCTCGCTCCAGCCAGACGAGTACCGAAAAGGTCAAACTCGCCTCCTCGCTCCATACGTCATCGCTACCAAAACAACGCAGTAGTCATGACGGTCAAGGCCAGGTCGACCGCTCTGTTTCGCCCAAGAGGTGGAAGACATTCATCAAGGCCTTCAAGCACATTCACAACTTGACTCCCAAGGAAGTAGATGATTTCATGGCGTCTTATGAGATCTACAATTTGGATTGGGCCAACGAAGAGGAGATGGTCAAGGCCTTTGGTCCCAATTACCAACAGCGTGTCGGAGATTGCCTTTGTGCCTACTACTCGGTGCTGAACCATCTTTGTAGTCTCGGCGATGTGGAGAAGATGTACATCCCACCGCTGATGGATAAGAAGGCGTCAGTCCTCGACAATCAGCTACTTTACGAGGAGTCTGTCGCGAGGGATATCGGATTGAAACCGGGGATGAAGGTATTGGATCTTGGGTGCGGACGTGGGCGTGTTGCTGCGCATATGACGAGCTTCAGCGGAGCTCATGTAACCGGCCTAAACATCGATGCGAACCAAATTGCACAGGCAAAGGAATGGAACGATCAGTGCGGTTTCAGCAACGAGTTCGTCGTCCACGATCAAAATGACTTGCCTCTACCTTTTGCCGACGAATCATTCGATGCTTTCTACGAGATCCAAGCGCTCAGTTTATGCAAGGACCCTTCGGCTTCCTTTAAAGAGATTTATCGCGTACTGAAGCCCGGCGCCAAATTCTCACTGCTAGATTGGGTTAGCCTGCCGCCATATAACCCGGAGGATCCTGTTCACGCGGGACTCATGCGTCGCGTGAAGCCTCTGGTCGGCGCTGTCGGCACTCCGACACCGGCCAGTTTTGAGAAGGCTCTCACTGATGCTGGGTTTTCCGTTTCAAGATCGGACAACCCCAGTATAGGCGGCCTACAGGCTCCGCTCATTGACAAAGTCGATATATACTTTCGCTCCGTCAGGCGCGTCATTCACGGGCTCGTTCGCGTACGCGCTCTACCTCCTCATTTCAAAGTCCTCATCGATAGATTATGTCTTGACGGCCAAGCATTCGTAAAGATGGACAACATGCGATTAATTACTACGACATATCGGATCATTGCGGAAAAGCCGTCAGTATGATGAGATTGGAGAATAGGTACAATAGAAAGGGGCCAAATGACGTTCTCAATTTTATCAGGCAGGTTTGAGGCGCAGTCATCGGCAGTCGGAAGGATCCGTCCATTTTTCTTGGTATGGGGCTCTCCAAACTTGAACGTCATAATCCACACACACACACACATACAACACTCCATCTATCCTAGGTATTCTTCTCGGAGAGGGGCAGAAGTTATTTATAGGCGACTCGAACCTCCACCATTCCATCACGACAAATAGCAATATCCTTCATCATTAGCCTTCCATTCGATTTTCTATCCCTAAAGCAATTTTTAGATTCTGGCAAAGCATTGATCGGCATTTTTATCCTTAATAGCATTCTGCATATTGCGTTGCTTTTTATTGGGAGAGGAGGGGAGGGGGAGTTTTGTTCTGCTTCATCGCCTTTGCCTTATATCTAATACGCTACGCACTACACAGGACAGTTTTATTCTACGTTCACGAATAAAGGTGGCCATTGGAGCAAGAGGGGCAGGTGGGAGTTGGTTTCTCTTTGACTCCTGAATACCAAGTGCAGCCGGAGTTCAAATTCATTTTCAACTGATAGAGAGCGTCGTGGTATTCGCTTCGCTTTAACACGACAAGAGTACATAGGCGATAGTGGTAGTGAATCCAACAAATATTTCTCAACATTTCGTTCGTCATGCATAATATTGGGAATAGGCCCTTGAACAATTTTCCGGTCCGTCGTACCTTGCATATATAATAATAATTGATATTTACCTAGATATTCCTCGAAGAAGGTCTTAGTTCCGCGTTTCGCTATTTTTACACGGATATACTGCATAATTGACCTTATGACCGAAGAGGCGCTCACAAACATACTTCCTATTATGTATTCACAGCTGACCGGAAGAAAAAAAAATCTCGCTTGCAAGAGGGGCAAAATCTGGACCGGAAAGTCCACAAATTGTGCAAATGACCTGAAAATCATTGACGGGTCAATTTCAGTTGATACCCAACCCCCCATATATTACTCCTCTTCCCCATCCGTGCGATTCAATCGTCATGGATCCGCCCCCGTTTGCGGCCGCCGACGTCCTTTGTTGTGGAGTGGTGGCGGCATTCCAGGAGGGGTCCGCAGACGTATGGGGACCACATCTGCGGCGCACAACCGGAGTCGAGAAAGGAAAGCGGAGATAGAGCAGAAAATGTGCAGATGACACTAGGTACCTAGCTAGTTATCGAAAGCTCGCCTAAAGAGAAAGAGAAAAAAAAACCCGGACGCCTTCTCATAGCCTTTCTAAGCTTCGAAAGCTGTTTGGTTCCTGAACCGTTACGGCTTGCTCTTGTAATACTTCCTTATACTTCCTTACTCGGATTTATCCTCGCTCTGCAAGCCGTCGAGTCGAGCCTGCAACCCCTCCAAGTTTTAAAAATAATTATCTAATAGGGTTTAACTCATCAAACCCCTGCTCTAAGTAATAGCTACTACTATATCGATTCACCTACACACCTATCTATTATGTCCATGACGGGAGAGAGAGGTCTAAAATTTATCGAGCCCCTGGAGGGTTTCATTAGCGATGACGAAGAGCCGAAAACGCCATCGATGGGCGGCGAATCTCTTTTCGACTATTTTCCCTTTGAGGAGATTGAAGCTCCCCCGCTCGTCAACCTGTCAGCTGCTACAGAACCTGAAAATCTTATCCTGCCGCTTAAACTTCAATGGAAGAATCCCAGCCAAGCGGGACTTAAAAGTCTTCCTCAAGTGCACCGGATCGTTGACTGGATCATGGGCCGAAACGTAATAATACAAGAAGATCAACCATCGGCCAAATGGTTATCCGCAGCTGGCAATGTGGGTAAGAATAGTTTGAGGGAGGCAGGCGAGGTGCATTTCAACGGAAAGCGATTAATCGAAGAGGATTTTTTTGACATCTCCGATGTCAAGGATATCTGCCCCGCCTGCACGACACCATACTGTCAGGCTCTCGACTCCCTGCCGTTTAAAAGCAGTCTGAAGCTCGGATATAACGACCCAGAGACGCATACTTGGCTCATCGGCGACAAGTATGTTATGACCGAGGAAATAGACGACGAATGGTCAGAAGAAGCAGACGTTACTCTAACCCTAGCGACGGAGCTTATCAGGAAAGCGACAAGAGTGCCCGTGCCGAGCATAATAGCTGGTTGGAAGGAGAACCGGAAGGTAATCACCATCACCGAGAGGGTTCCTGGTCAGCGGCTTTATGATATCTGGTGGGACTTACGAGACGATCAAAAGGAAACGATTGCAAAAGAGGTTGGACGGCACATGGATCAATGGAGACGAATGACATCAGACAGGATTTCGACTCTTGGCGGTGGTCCTGTGAGACGCCATGGTCATCTTTTCGGTCCGTCGCAGGAAGGATTTGGACCGTTCAGGTCTGATGAACAAGTATGGAGTGCCGTTAATAGACGACTGGAGAGCAAAAACGTTAGCGAGGACTTGATTCAGATTTTGAAAGACTATATGCCAGAATCAGCACCTTGCGTCTTTACCCATGGTGATTTGTCCACTGCCAACATTCTGATTCACAACGGGAGAGTTTCCGCTATTCTAGGGTTTGATAATGCTGCATGCCTCCCAATTTGGGCCGAGTACGTGGCGATACATTTCTGTTATTGCAAAGAAGATGAGCAATGGAAGGCGATGCTTAGGAAGCACATGAAGAGCTATGCCAGGGCGAAGGATTGGTGGGCGCTGTGGACTGCAGTTGAGAAGAACGCATCTGAGAAACACATAGCCGCGCTGGTGGTTCGCTGCCAACGCTGGCAAAGACCTCCACAGAACAAACGAACGTTCGATCCGAAATTACCCAGCGATCAGAAACAACAAGATGTTTCTGACTTAAACCTCATGCCAGAGTCACACCTGCAGCCACCCGCCCAGAACCGTCCTCACAAAACTTATAGTCCGTATAGAGCGGCACTCAGCAAAAAACTGCTGAAGGGAAGACATTTCTCAGAATTGCTGAATGATGTAAACTGGGAGTCAGCTATCCACGTGGGATCAGAAGAGGGTGACATGGTGAGAGTGAACAAGGATAATTTTTCAGCAGTAGCAGAGGCACAGATACAAGGCATCATTGGAGTGGAAGAAGATTTGGGGAGATCCGCCAAGGGAAATAGCGAGGATGAAGCACATGAAGCCAAGCGTGTAGGCATTGAAAGATGGCTCTCGGAGAGTGAGAGAGGGAGGAAGTACTTTCACAGACCGTTACTCGTCCAACGCATATCGAATGATAACCAGGATACAACTCCGCAAATGAGCCCGGTGAAAGATCCCCCTTGGAGGGAGAGGCTGAGGTCATTCGAGAGACGAGATAACGATTCAAAAGGCCTAAGGCCATTCAGTTTACCTCTGTCCCTCTTAACAGAAAATGCCAAGCATGGCTTGCAAGAAGTTGACAAGAAAGAAGAGGATGACAACGAGAGCGACACCCGTGAGCAATCTATCGAGAAAACCCTTCATTCTCTGGAGTCTAGTCCGGTAGATCCCATCGTCGATGATATTACTATAGCTTGTATACCGCAGCAAGGTAAAGAAGAGGCTGAAGGTAGCGTAGATGCCGAGAAGAAGCGGTCTTCAATTTTCCGAGAGAAAACTTCTCCGGGATTGCTATATTTAACACTTGCAAATGCGGCGGCCGAGGGAAAAGGGAAAAAGTAAACGACAAAGAAAAAGTCTCTCCGAGGAGCAAATATCGTTTGACGAAGGCTATCCTGCCGACAAATGGTCTTGATGACTGAGTTATCCTAGGCTTAATAGTTTGGTTTGATACACGAAGCTGAGAATAGCTTGAGACACATCCCGATGAAATGCTATATCGGGAGTACTACTTATATAGTACTACTTATATAATAAATGATAATAAGTATTAACCTAGTTAAGTTAATAGTCAAACAATTGATTCAATAGGAAGCTTCACTAGCCTAAAGGTACCTAAGGTATCTAATCGGTACCTACATTATTTTGAAGATATGTATCTTATCGAATTCCCATTTGGGTTCTCTTATGGTTGATGGTTGGTTCTGCGTTGCGGTTGCCAAACGTTAGACTACCTAATGTAGGTACCTCCTGAACGAAGTTAAACATCCATGGATCTTCTATGGTGGAGCTGAATTTAGAGGGGTTCTTAGTGACATATAACATTGAATTTGCACTGTAGGCTCCCGTATCGTTCATGCCTTTTATACCGATAAGAGGCTTATCGTATGTTGCAAACGCGCTACTATTCACGCGTTGTCCAGCAACGCTTAGGCCTTCAGCGCCTTAGAAATAGCATTTACGTCACTGCCGGCACAACTTTTACAACTTTTATTCACACAACTATTTCATTTCGCTTCTTAATCTTTATGGGTTGGCACCTATTCTACGTGGTTCGCCCTCAACGATAAGGCACGTTTCAAGGGATCGCATCTACCTAGCCCTAATTCTCTCCTTTTTGTTTTGTCTTCTTCACTGCGCTTTCCGTCGTCGTGAATATTTGTGCCTTTTTCTTCTTCTCTTAATTCGAGAGATCACTGGATGAGACAACTATCCGACTTCAAGCCTGGTTTATTTGGCCAAGAAAGGACGCAAGCAAATGTTCAAGGCGTGATACGTTTGATCAGGCTAACTATTTGTACCGGTTTCAAGAGTCTTGAAGCCAGCAAAGAATACTGCGGTAACACATAGAGTGTTCAATACCCTCTTCTTCAACTCTCTTGACCTTCTATGTGATGCGTTCTCGTTTTATGGTGGTGAATCACTCGTATTATTATACAAGATGGGTCACTCATTAAAGCCAGATGGCTTGGATGATATGGATGAGTTAAGGCAGGCGTTCACAAAAAGAGTTATACCCCCTGCACTTGAAGAGAGACTTTTGAGTTCAGAGAAGCTACGACAAGATCTACTACAGGTGGCAACCCAAGATGAAGTCCATCTCTTTATCCGCAAAGCCCAGATGTCGTCCCAACTCCGTTCGCAACTTTTTGTCGAATCACCAGTTATACTGACAAACAAGACTACATCGACACTTACGCCTACAGCTAGCCGTGATGGCAAGCACAAGAGTCCCCAATCAAGTGGGCAATGTCACCTTACTGGATTGCCCGGGTCTACGGTGGCTTCTAAAGGTAGTAAAACTACCACAACACCAATGCAAATCGCGGACAAGCGTAAAGCACCTAGCCTATTGGTAAAAGACGAGCTTCCGACAAAGAGTTTAACCTCCATAGCCCCAGCTAAACGGGTATTCACCGCTAAGCGGACACTTCCTCCTCACTTGATTTCCAAACCCAATCCGACCCAAAAGTCATCAGAGCCATTCGGTAATAAGCCAGTAATCTCGGCCTCTCCCATCAGCCCTGAACCAACTAGGATTGTTAGCGATATTCTACAGACTCTTGAAGGAAATCACTTGCTGTCTGATGCTTCAAAACAAGGGGAAGATGCTAAGGAGCCCCCTATAATAAAATCTCAACTAAGACCACCCCTAGCAGCACCACAGACAATTCCTCAACTGGGCAATGGTCACCCACACGGTAAAGTTTAGACATAAGTGGGGGCATATTGGAAACTACTAACGAAAGACATAGGTCCTGGCATTTCCGACGAGCAAGAGAAAGGTCTTAAGAGGAAGCGAGATGATTCCCCTCCACCAGGTTAGACTTGAATAACCCACCTAGAAAGTTAAATCCAACTCACAATTAGCACGAAGGAGCCTCCCGGGATTCACACATTCAAAAGAGCCGCAAGGCTAACCCTACAAATACTCCTTCCGAAACGATTGACGCCGCGTCATCTAAGACGTATTCCGAGAAAGAACTGGTGCCTGCAAATCATGAACGCAGCATATTGAAAGGATCCCAGAAACGACGCTCAAAAGATGTTGTCAGACTTGGAGAATCTAGGTACACACAGCCATTCTAAAGACTCAACATACAATCCCACTAACTCTTCTAACAGCTTGTCGAATGATACTGATGTGGTCTCTAGTGTCAACCATAATCATTTAGCACGTCACCGGCGGCCACTAATTGATGAGGATAGAAATGAGACAGATGATGACATTCCACTTAGAAAACTTATCAACCCAGCCAAAGCAACTAAGACTGGTTGGGACTACCATATCTGGACCTGTAAGTTGTTTCGGTTGCCGCATAGTCTTTACAAAGACGTTAACTAGGTAATTTAACTAGTTCCATCTGGAGAAACCCAGGTCACTTCTGGTGCATTGCTGCCCCGGGGCTATGCACTTCATGATAATCCTGATGCTCCGTGGATATGCCCGATACGCTCGTGTCGCGTGCTGTTCTCAAAACTTGAAGGTCTTGGGGCCCACTTCAATGTGAGTACCCTAGATTGGGGGGCTAGCTTGATGAAGCTCACTTCGACTATAGCGTGGCCACAGAGCCTCACTCCTTAACGACAACGGGGACGGCACCTTATCTATCATTAGGAAATTGAAGGCAGTCGGTGTGGCTATGCCTGCTGAGGTAGTGTCTCACAAACCATTGGATCCCACCGAACCTCTGAAGGAACCCTCTCTCAATTCTTACCTGAAACTGTCCAAATCTGTTACTCCATCTTCTTCCCAATCGGATGATAATAGAGACGGACTTACAAAGGCCCGAAGGTCGAGTAGAACTCTATCTACCTTCAGCATGTTGGGCACGGAAGCTCCCACGAGAGAGGATAGCCCAAGGATAAATTCACGTAAGAAGAACTCGCAGCCGGAGGTTGGTCTCGAGGTTAGTCTCTTTTCATGCGACACTTGATGAAGCAGAACCAGGTCAGCTTGGATTAGCTAACAGTAAGAAGCAGTTGGAGAAACCAGCAACGCGTACTTTTCCAAAGGAGAAAAGTGTTACACCGCGCGGCTCTCCGCGATCCGACTCTCCCCGTCAACCTAACATTGTTGCAAATGCCCAAAATGGAGACCATACTGCGAGCCGAGCACATACAAGTACCATGAATCCAGCACAAGCCCTTGAACTAGAGACGTGGGAGATTGCACCAGGTCGAATTCGTGACGAGCAGAGTGAAGCGGTCGATAGTATGTCACTAAACATCTCCATCCTAGAGTAGCCAATCTCGAGGGCTCGTGTTATATTTTAGGTACATTGCTAACTAGCCCCCAGATTTTGCGTTTTCGAATTCGTACTTGACCCAAAACCAAGCCGTCCGGATTGGCCGCGATATTTCTTTCCAGGTCATTACCATCAAGCCTGGGACAGTTCACTTTTGGGGTTCTAGCGCCAATAAGCTCCGACTATGTTCGGTAGCGTCAGGCAAACTGCAGATATCTATTCACGGCCAAGACTTTTCGATGGGCCCTAATGGTATGATCAGAATCAGGCCAGGTGCTGAGTGTACTGCTACGAACAGGCTATACACCGATGCTACTGTTCACGTTACAATAGTACCTGGAGATTTATGTGGATAAGTTTGAAGGTTTGAGATTTCACGAAGTTAGGACTAGCTCATTGATATCAGCTATCGGTCGAGTTGATATTATGTCCACTGAGTTTCGAGGAGTTACAGGTACTGAATGCATGCCGTTGCACAAACGTCTACCATGATGACAGACGAAACTATGGCTAGAACAGGGGCTCATGCCGTAAAGATGTACATAGCTATTGCATAGTACACCACAGAGGAGAAACTTCGTAGATGCTTAGTCGTACATTCAATTGATAAGTTTTATAGTAGCAAAAAAGGGACTAGGTATTTATTATTAATTGCTAATGCTGTAAAGTTGAACAGTACCATTCCCTAAGATTTCCTCTTCAAAGCAACCCCCTTATTAGCTCTGAGCAGATGAAGATCTATATGTAGCCTGAGCGTGTCTATGCTTATATATACTCTATCAAGAAAAGTGATCCGACGAAACAAGCAGGAATTAATTCTCGACGCCTCAACTGGGCTTTGACTTTAAGAGACGTTGGTGATGACGAAGTCGGGCTCGCCGCGGTAGAAGGTAGCTACGGTGGAGCCGAAGTTCTCCAAGGGGAACTCGGTAGCAGGCCACTCGTGGAAGCCGGCGACCTTCTTGGGGCTGTCGTAGGCGTAGGTCACGAGGACGCGGTAGCGGCCCTCGGTTCCAGGCTGCGACGGGTCCTGGTGGAACTGCCACTCGAAGGCCGGGTCATCACAAGCTCGGAGAGATACCGAAGGGAGCTTCGAGACGGATGATTGGTCCGAGTACCCGCAAGTCGTGGAGACGGAGGTGTTGGGGATGGCGACATCGAAGGAGATGCTGGTGGGAGTGTTAGTATTGGTGTTGTAGGTGGTTTATAAGGGGTTGAAAAGGGGGCTTACAAGGCTCCGGTGCCGTGGGGCAAGGTGTTGGCGCTGAACTTGGTGATGTCGAACTCAGTCGGAGCTTCGACTTGTCTCTCGGTCACGGGAGCTCCAAAGACGGAGGCGGCTCCAAGGAGGAGAGATGAGAGAACAGAGACAGACTTCATGTTTGCTTTTGATTGGTTGGTGATGGCGCTTATAGTGTACGTGAGTGGGTACCTAAGTTATTAAGAGTGATGAAGAAGAAGATTGTGTGTCTCTGATATTGTTGTTAGTTGGTAGATTGATGGAATTATTTCCTCGACAAGAACAGCAATGAACCCTATTATTATATATACGTCTACCTCACCGCACCTCTCGTGGCAGTGCTGCTATATCTTACAGTGCCTCACAATGCCTCACAATCCCTTATTCGCTGACTGGCTTACGATGCTTATTCCTTGGCTTGGCGGCGTAGTGAGACTGTGGAATGAAGTCATGCCACATAGCACAAGCGCCGCAATTCTGATCCTACGGCCATTCTGGGGTTCCGCACGGGTAGCTTTAGGTTATGATTCTGTGTCTAATTCCCATGTTGTCGGCGCCGGAACTGCTGCTGCGAATTTCGCTTTGATATTAAGCTCGGTGAGGAGCAGGATATTTGACGATACTGGATAGACAAGAGTGTGGTCTTTACCTAGGTTAGGTACCTAGTTTTACTCCCTTACTTCGTTCAAGTTTTCCTAAACGTAGCAAACAATCCCTCTACCAGTTCAGCAGTGACTCGTAAAGTCATCCAACTAAATAACCTTGTGATGTCCATACCGATGGCATCAGCAGTTTGCTCGAGAAGAAATGAATTTACGTACGTAAGGTGAAGGGAGCTGTTAGGTACACGTAGTTTAGCTAAGACTTAACTAGGTTAGGGGACTTTAGTTAGGGTAGTTCCTGTAGGGCTGCAGCACGTGGAATTGGAGTCGGCAGTAGCGCAGCTCAGCCGGGGCTACAGCACCAATGAAACGCCCTAAAACGTCCCCTCATCTTCTCTTTAGCACTGCTAAAAATAAGGCATCTCGTGTTGATACCCCCTTGCTTGTTACTAAGCATTGCCTAGACCAATCAATCACCTTATTATTTTATTACGAGTAGGAATCACGAGTTTTGGGATTGAATTGATGGCGCCGGCATTTGCCTCTACGTCGTATATTCTCATCAATCAGATCTTGTCTTCTGGTTTGCATAACATGATGATTGTTTACTTGATGTAATGGCAAGTTTTATACGACTTTTATTCTCGAACTCATTTATTTAGATGTCTATGTAAATTCGCCCTTGTTTCTTTTCGCATCTTCTTTTTATCGTTCGAAAACCATAGTCACTTCTGACTTGCTTAATTTCCGCCTAAGATTGCGTCTTTAGTTGGTTTACTCTCGAAGATACATGCGATATGTACCTAGGTAATCAAAGAGGCAAAACGAACCTGCCTACCTACCTACCTACATATGTACCTATGTATTGAAGTATTACCAGGTAGTATCAGCTTTGTCTCTACCTAGGTACCATTACTAACAATATGTGGCGTCCGCTAAATTGCTGTCTATACGAGGCGATCGCGTGGCTGACTGACTAGTGTCCTTACAATTTCACATTACTAAGCTCCATAGATGATCGGTTAGCTTTCTACCACGACAAGAAAGAGACTTCGTTGCGAGAAACTTGAGGCCGTCGTCTCGTACATTTCGGAGCCGCAATACAACCCCTGTGGGGAAAAGAGATGATCGTTGCATCGATCACTAGGTTGTTAGCTTCACTTGTTAGCTCAACGCTACTGCTCGAGATGTCACTAGGGAACGGTTGATAGCCGGTAGCTTCGAGCTCAAATAAGCCTCAACTTTTTCGTCTCGGCCGAAATATTATCTGCCGAGTTTAGACTGTAGTCTACGCCCCTTTTGATTAGTCCTCCCTGGCTTACCTGGCTTACCTGGCTTATCTGGCTTTCGAGATGATTACTTGCTCCAATCCGAATATGGGCCACGAATATTCTTTGCCATTATCTTTGTGTCTCCCCCGCAACACCTATGCGAGAATGTGGCACGGTACCCGCCCATTGGTAGTCCCTATTCGGAGATACTAATGAGATTCCATGCTCCGACTAGCCCGAGCTTCTTACCCTTTGTGGTGGTATTGCTGTGTGATATGATTTCGAACGTCCAACACAAAGCGCTTACGTTACACGGATCTAGATTCTCGGTCCTATGGAGAGCTTCAGCAGCCGTGGGGAGCCGTCTGCTACGTAGAAAATGCCCTAATATGGTGGGATGTCTTTGATTTTTCTGGTCACGATGGCGAGGCTTTCCCCGCGTTGGGCAATACTTCCCCGGCCTGTTTAATCTGTTTGGCTTGTATGGATTATATCGAGCTTACTGCTATCCTTTGTTCTCCAGACCTAGACTAGTGCTTACAAGAGTGTCCTCATCCCCATACCCCATATCTGACCCCATATCTAACCCCATATCTGCCCCCAGCACGCATCGAAGGCCTCTCCAATCCTTCTTCTATACTCCACTCCCCACTTGGAACTTTTCTCCACCTGGCTATTTCGTCTCAAGGAGCTTAGCTATTCGCAATGGCCACCGAAAACACTCATAGCGACTTGGAGAAGAACAACGGCCCCGAGGCCAAGGAGATCGAAGAGGGACACTTGAAGGATGTAAGTAGCAAGCAAATAAACAAACAAGCAAACAGATAAACCCCAGTTATACTACACAGTTTCTCACAGCCACTAGGAGGTAGCTAATACCGCCCTCGCTTCTTCCGCCCCCGAGCGAAATTTGCTATGGAGGCAAGACAAGCGCATCGTGCCCCTGGCCGCGGGTATCTACTTCCTCTGCTATTTAGACCGTTCCAACATCGGCAACGCCAAAGTCCTCAATTCAGCGAGCCATAATGATATGCAGTCCGAGACTGATACTTCGAATTACGAGTTCAACATCGCGCTCATGATCTTCCTGATCGGCTACTTCTTATTCGAAGTCCCGTCAAATATTCTACTCAAGAAGCTTCGCCCGTCTAGATGGCTTGCCTTCCTTATGTGTTCTTGGGGTGTTATTACCATTGGCATGGGCGGTGTCCACAACTATGCCCAGATGACCGGCGTCCGTTTCCTACTAGGCGCCTTCGAAGCCGGTCTTTTCCCCGGGCTAGTGTATTATTTAACATTTTGGGTACGTTCTCACCAGAACCCCTAAGACAGGATGAAAATCACGAACAGCTTTTCTTCCTTAAGTGTGTATAATCAGTTTTCAGATGCAATTACTAACTTCAAGCTTCCTTATAGTATAAGAGCGACGAGCGTAGTGTTCGAGTAGCTTTCATCCTCGCAAGCGCCACTCTTGCCGGTGCCTTCGGCGGAGCAATCGCTTATGGAGTCGGCCACATGAACCAGACGCGCGGCTTGTCTGCTTGGAGGTGGCTTTTTATGCTCGAAGGTATCCCTTCATGTCTATCAGGAATTCTCGTATGGTTCTTCCTACCAGACTACCCGGAGAGAGCTTCCTGGCTCTCAGAAACCGAGAAGGATTTGGCCGCGCAGCGATTGTATCTTGAAGGCGCTAAAGGCTCAGCTTCTTCTATGACATGGAGCGATGTCAAAGACACGCTTACAGACTGGCGGCTATGCGGGCACTACGCTATCTACTTCGCGGTCTCATTGCCATTTAGTTCTCTCTCATTATTCTCACCTTCGATCGTCGCTGGTCTAGGCTTCCACGATCTAGAGGCTCAATTAATGACAGTGCCTCCATGGGCCGCTGCTTATGGTAAGTCTCCTATGTGAGACATGTAAAAGTGCTCGATGCTAACCAAGCAGTATTCCAAATTCTCCTCTCATGGTCGGCGGATCATTTTAACGCTAGAGGTTATCATTGTGCTATTGCCTCATTAATCGGTGCAGCGGGCTTCCTGGCTTCTGCTGTGCTACCGCCCGATGCTTACACTCATCGATATGGCTGCTTGATCGTCGGGACCGCTGGAGCGTTCGGATGCATTCCGCCGATGCTTGGCTGGCTGACCTCGAACATGTGGAGCACGGCGTCCATTGGATTAGCCGTGGCGCTCAATGTCAGTATTGGCGCGGGTCTCGGACAGATTCCAGGAGTATGGATATACAAGGCCGAGGAAGCATCGAAAGGCTACCCAACTGGTCATGGTGTGAACTGTGCCATGCTTTTCTTCGTAGCTTTTGGTGCTCTCGGATTGAGATACTACTACGGGCGAAAGAATCGCACTCTACTAAATGGAGCCGCTGAGGGCGTAACTCCCAGACTATACAAGTTGTGATGTGCGCTTATGAAATACTGTTAGCTGTTTATTTCATTTTGAACGTTAGTGGTAGCTCTCAGATTAGTATGAGGGAGTATATTTATATCATTTTTAATCGTAGGAACCTTGCACCAAGAGAATATATAGGCATCTAAATTAATTTCCTCAGAAAATCTAGACCATAAGCTACCTTGGGTACCTATACTTTATCAACATCAGTCTCCTCGAGCTAAATAGGGTCTATCATGCCAAGCCACTTTCCAAACTAGCGACAATATTTACGACATCCAGCTACACAAGCTACATTGCTTTTTGCTTCTTAACAAGCTTTTCTGGCCTGGCCAATCGTCGGAAATTATGGGGAATCCCGCGAAGGGTTATGCTAGACATACCTATGATGACAGACGCCATGTCTAGCTGGGACCTGCATTCGGAAACGCCCGGTTAGTAGCTCGGAGTTAAGCAAATACCCTGGTAAATACTGAGATTCTAGCCGGGGTTGGAATGCAATCTTTATTGTTCCCGCGGGTAAGAAACCCCGCACTTGACAATAGATACAAATATGCAAGCAAGGGCACGAGGTCATAAGCGACTTGGAGAAACAGCCCTGTCTAGCCAGGGCCAGGTAAACTAGACCATTCCACTACTATATTCCCCGGGGGGTATACCGTTCGGGCGGATATAGATCTCTAAGTCTACCCAGTCTACCCCAGATAATATCTCGCTAGGTCGGGACTTGCGGCACCAGTGATATGGTCAGTTATATGATCACACAGGGATGCCACGCTGAGCCAAGGTCTTATATATATGACTTGTACCCCCAACCTCCCTTGCACAGCTTCTTTCATGCCAAGGTGGCCCATGAGCTTGGTCATGCGTGGCCAGCAGGTGTACGAAGACGAGTATATAGGTACATAGGTAGGTAGACAACGCATATTGATAGGTGTGTGTTCCCAGTGGCACATATATTATCTCAACCTGAGCCTGAAGTAGCACGCCTAATCGCTCGCTCCCCAAACGAGCAGTTTTTATTGCAAATCAGTGTGGAAACATGGTATGCTCGCGATGATGTGCTCGGGCCTTCTCCAATTCTCTGTTAGAACCCTTGCGGTGACCGCTTTAGCTGCTACTCTCGCTTCTTCCACGTTAGCGAGGAGTGATGCTGACAGCAATAATAACGACAACGGCCGTAGGCAGGTTAGCGGCGTGAACTGCAACGTCGCGGCCTTCGCTAATTTGCTTCCGATCGCGACCAAAGTAGAGAAGGTCGAGTACGTCAGCGCCGGAGGCACATTCGGCGAGCCTTTGACGGATCTCATGTACCCGATCCCGCCAACAAACTTACCAGAATTATGCGCTGTTATCATATCCGTCGTTTCCTCGCCGGTTTCATCATATAGATTCGGAATATTCCTACCGGCAGAGTGGAATGGTCGTTTCCTCACTGTCGGAAATGGAGGATTCGGAGGCGGTATCAACTGGCTGGATATGGGCGCCGGTGTCAGGTATGGCTTTGCCGTTGTGTCAACGGATACGGGCCATAACTCAACGACTGGCGATATCTACTGGGCCCTCAATAACCCCGAGATGAAGGAAGATTGGGGCTGGCGTTCCCTGCATGGTACCGTTCTATTAGGCAAAAACCTCGTCACAGCCTACTACGCAAAGCCCATCGGCCATTCATACTATAGCGGGTGCTCGACGGGCGGTCGACAAGGGCTCAAGGAGGTACAGATTTCCCCCGGTAGCTTTGACGGAGTACTTGTTGGTGCTCCGGCTTGGTACACAAGCCACCTCAATACTTGGATTGGCAAGATTGCTACATATAACTGGCCCGCCGACGACCCTAAGCATATCGACTGGGAAACGCTACCGCCTATCGGTGCCGAGGTCGTACGCCAGTGTGATGACATCGACGGAGTCTCCGACGGCATCATCAGCCTACCAGAACAGTGTAACGTAAACTACGACGCCCTGCGATGCAGCAATGGCATCAGTACCGCCGCATCCAACTTTGCCAATTCCGACAACTGTCTGAACGACGCGCAGATCGACACGTTGAAACAATTGTACACGGGATTTACACTCGACTCGACCGGCGAGCGCGTGATGCCCGGGCTACTCCCCGGGTCTGAGAACCAGATGTACACGGTACTCAACTACTCGGACGCAAGCCCGTACGGCCTAGGATATATCCGATACTTCCTCTTAGATAACCCGCTGTGGGAAGCATCGCAGTACAACGACTCGATACTCCAGCTAGCCGAGCTGTTGGATCCAGGTAATGCCACGGCCAACAACTACAACCTAACAACGTTCCGCGACCGCGGCGGCAAGATGCTGATATACCACGGAGCCTCGGACGGCCTGGTCCCCACCACAGCCGGAAGCTTGTACTACAAACGCGCGGTAGACACGACGAGCGGCGGCGACGTAAACGCCGCGCGCGAATTCTTCCGCCGCCTCGAGATCCCGGGGATGCAACACTGCGGGTTAACAGAGGTCGACGCGCCGTGGGCTTTCGGCGGCGCTAGCCAGGCTGCTTCGCTGGGAAACGACACGTACTCGGTGCCTGGGTTCGCGGACTCGCAACACGACGTCTTGCTCGCGCTTGTAGACTGGGTTGAGAATGGGAATCCGGTTGATCAGGTTATTGCTACGACGTGGAATAGCCAGAAGGAGCCGTCGTCGGGAGTGCTGAGGCAGCGGCCGATTTGTGCGTATCCCGATACGGCGCAGTGGGATGGGACGGGGAATATAGACGAGGCTGCGAGCTGGAGTTGTGGGTTAGTGGTTTTCTTGGTGTTCTTTCTTCTTTATTTTCTCTCTCCCTCTCTCTCCCCTTCATGCCTTTTCACTCCCCTCTAGCTCTGTTTGCTAACTATACCTCTAGTGGTGATAACTCTAGCCACGTAGCGAACAGCGCGGGTTCGCTAGCATATACGAACCCCTTTTCGGTCATCGTAGATATGTTACTCGGGGACTGAACTTTGAGGTCATAATTACACGTTTAGTTAGTCTAAATCCAGTGAGGATGCTATGGTCTGATTGCATATAGGCGACATAAAGATGTATGTAGCTTAGGTACTTAGAGGATGAGCATTTGCAGTAAGTAACATGTCATAGCTTGGTCATACTCGTAGCCCTTATTCACGGACTGGTCTGTCTCTTGTTGCTTGAATATACTCGTGAAGGATGTGTTAGACCAGTTGCCCATATTTGTGGTAAGTTTACCTTGCGTTACCTACATATATCGAATTGTCCAATGAGATACACACCTACCTACATATAAGACATGTTTGGTATGGCCGTAGGTGTAAGCAGAAGGATCAAACGCTATTCGAAACATCATTAGGGGCCTCAAAAATCAATGTGTAGATAAATGTGGCGTATCAGATCTTAGGTTCTATATGCCAGGAGTTTTACTTAGCATTAAGTCCCTGTCGAGGGTATCTTTGAGGGTATATATAATAAATACAAGAAAATAGATAGAAACCGAATATAGACCATATTATAATACGAAACGAATCCAGCGCTACCACCCATCCCATCAGCCCGTTTAGACGCCCATTACTAGATACTTTCCCTAGTAGTTAATTCCCTAAACCCTGACGACTCATTGTCTAATCACGAAGAACCAATTCGGGGACTCCTGCGGTGAGCCCAACTTTCCCTTCATCCAACAGACATAATGTCCATTGTAGTTACCCCAGCCTGCGCCGGCACAAGTCGAGTTTCCCGCGCACATATCAATACAGTCCTCGACGGAACTTGTCTCTTCGTTGCCAATGTCTGTTGTTCCGCTGCCTTCCCAGTTGCCGTTGTAGTCCACGTTGCAGAGAACTAGGAACGGGTCGTTACCGGCCCCTTCGTATGTCGTCCCGTTTGACTGCGGACACGCGATTGACGCCGATCCGGTCGTGCTTGAGGGGTGTGACGATGTAGGAGTTGCGCTGCTTGCGTATTAGTACAAGTATCATAATATCATGATATTATGAAGGGATTGATCGGTATCGCTTACTCAGAATTCGAACTCGAATTGTGTGAAGTAGCCAATCCCACACCTAAGCCGACTGCCAGACCAATAATAATGATGGCAATGAGCGGGCCAACTATCAACCAGAAAGTCTTCACTCTTAATCCACATATTCTTTTACTACTCGATGCTATAGGAAGAGTCCTGTCGGTGAGGTATGTCCCATCTTGAGAACCTCCCCAGTGTGGCTGACCCTGGCTATGAATAGGATACCCTTGGGAGGAATATAGCCCGTTCGAGTAGGCATTCTGCTGAGCCATACCCTGAAAACCCGGTATTTGCTGATCGTACACATACTGAGTGCCGTGGTGTGGCTTTTCTATGATAGTCGGTCCTTCCACTACATATGGCAAATCTGACACTGGAGCAACTTCTAAACCAGCAGGTTCGTCTTGGATATTGTTGGGCGACATCATGCCCTCTAGCTTATGATGATATAGATGACTCTGTATCTACCTCACCGGTGGAAGTTGGTTAACATATAGTTGACATTTGAGGAGAGCACAAACGGAAATATACAGGAAAAAGAAAAGGTATGAAGGATCCGCTCTGCTGTTTGTGTCACATCAGATGTGTGTAGACTTACTGTTTTCGCTCCTGAATTCCCTAATTGAGAATTCGATACCACAGCAGCCCCTGTCATCGGGCCCCCAATCTTCAAACTAGAAAACCAAAGCCCATAACCCCAGGTTCCTAGGCAGCCGAGGACTTATCGGCACTGGCTTCTCTTGTAAAGGCTTGCTCATCTCATTGGGCGTACTGTAGGTAATCTGTCCGCAGATTTTGAAGATCCCGCTGTTTGGGTCACCTGCGGTTCTATACGGAAGAATCCTTCGACCTGTTTCAGGGGTTAATCAAAATACATGATGGTCGAACAGAATCCTTCGGCCTATTTTCCGAGACAGCTCGTCAGCTCTGTGTGGCGTCCACTAGTTATGTAAGGGCCTGAAAAATACAAGTCACTTGATGTTACCGAGATTTGAAACATAGGTGCCTCGCTCATGTAGCCGTCTTGAGATATCTTTAATACTACCTAACCTACTTAGCCTGTTCACGATCCAAGGAGCCACGATCGAGTCATGATTTACTCAACCAATATAGCTCCGGCTCAGCTCCCTAGGCATGTAAGCCTAGGGCGTGTAAGGCTGTAGGCCCGTGGTCAATGCTTCCGTAGATAGCAATCATTAATACTACATTACGAGATGTCCGCCGCCACAGGCTGCAACTATTTCATGCATGTCTTGGATGAATAAGTTTTTACTCAATCGCAAAAGGGCTTTGTGTTACCCAAGCGTACAGAAAGCCCCAACAAGGCCTAGCATTTTCTAACCGGGGTCTTGAAGGAATGGTGTAGGTAAGTTGGATTTGCTTTGCTATTAACCTGGAAGGTCAGATAGATGCGGATTGAGGGGCGGCAGACTTACTTCGTACTTCATTCTTATCAGATTACCTAATCAGCCATACCAGGTAACTGTCAGATTAGTCAGCCATGTCAGGTAACCTGAAAATCCTTAGTCTCATGTAAAATAACGGTATAACATGCGTTCCCACGATTTTACCTTAATAAATTAAATTATTAAAAAGAATAGTTTTAATTAATATTAAATTCTTTATAAACCTTTTTATTTTAATATAATATTAAAAAGTCTTTAAGATATTTTAAATTTTATATATAAAAATTTTAATTTAATTTTATTTTAATAAAATTAATTGTATAAATAATTATAAATTAAATATATTATTTTTTAATAGTTAAAAAGTTAATTTTAAAAATAAAATTTTTTTAAAAGTAATATATAAAAATTTAATATAATAATATAAAATTTTTTTTATAAAAATAATTAAATTATTAATTAAAAAAATTATTTTAAAAAGTAATTAATAAAAATAATTATAAATATAAATGAAAAGAATTTTATTTAATAAATTAATTAAAGCGGTAAAAGCGGTTAATATTAACGGTAATATAATATAATATTTATCGATTTAATTTTTATAAAATTTATTATAAAATTTAAAAATAAAAGTATAATTATAAAATAATGTATTCTAAAATAAATATAACGTGTATTAATAATGTTTAAAAGTTGAAATTATAAGGTTTTTATTAAAATATAAAAAATAATTAATTATATAATTTAGTCACGTGTTACCACGTGCGTGGGGTTAAGTTTAAAAAGGTTTATATTATATAATATATAAAACGTAATTATTTAAAAACGATTACGGCGTTATTTTTAACTTTAACAATTATAAGCTTAATAAATATAATAAAAACGTTTATAATTCTTTATATTTAACAATTACGTTAAATTTAAACAAAAAGCTTTAAAATTAAATTAATATTAACAGTAAACCGTAAAGTTTAAATTAAATTAAAAATATTATATAATACCACGCATTTTAATAAATTAAAAAAAACCATCGTAATAAATTAATATAATGCTACATCGTTAAAAGCAAGGGTATTATTATGTAATCTTAAATCATAAGTTATATAAAAGTTTAATATTCGTTATATTTTTTTAATTAAATAACCACAATTATTATCATTTAATTATGCATTTAATATAAATATATTCGTTATTTTTTTATATTTATAACTTATGGTTTTATTTTACATATTTATTATATATATCTTATCCGATTAATAAATCTTTATAATTCTTTTAAAATATAATATTATTATCAGCTGTTTAAAGCTTTTTACAAGGATTTAAACGTTAAAGTAATATGTTATACTTTATAAAAAATACCAACTCTTGTTTAACAATAAATAAAAATACGTTTAATTAATAACTAATAATTATTTACAATTAAATTTTATTTAAAAACTAATAAGATTAAAATAAACTAATATTATAAAAAAACTTTAAAAATGTTAAATATTACGATTTAAGTAATTTTATTATATGTTTATTTAAAAAGTATGTTATATAATATATAAAAGGTAATTATTTAAAATTAATTACGGCGTTGTTTTTAACTTTAATAATTTATGAATAATTATATAATGATTTATAAAAACTTTTATTTTTATTATTAAAAAAAATATGTGTATATAAATAAATTATATTTTTAATATATTGTTTTAATAATATTAATTTTTTAATTATTATTTTATTATTTATTTTATTATATATATGTATTTATTAATATTAATTAATAAAATTTAAAAGATTATTATTATAATAATTTAAAAATTTTTATTATAATAATATATTATTGTATAATGTATAAGTTTTATAATTATAAATATAATATAATTGTTATATTAATTATCAGTAATTAAAGCGTTAATTATTTTTATTATATAAATATTAATTATAAAAAAAATGTATAAAATATATTTCATATTAAAAAAATAAATTTTTTAATAATATTTAAATTATTATATATATTTAAATAATATAAATAATTATTTAATAATTATAAACTTAATTTACATTTAAGCTTTATTATAATTATATAAATAACAAATATAAATATTTATTTTATTTTTTCTTTTATTATAAAATTATTAAAATAATTATTCCATTTTTATATTATTATAATAAATTTATACGGCAAAGATTCATTTAAAACCATCTTTTTAACTTTTATAATCCTTTTAAATATTAAGTATAATTACTTATATTAAATATTAAAAATAAAATAAAATAAATACATTTAAACAAATTAAAGTTATTTACCAAAATAATAATATATTTCTTAAAAATATTTAAAATTTTAATATTATAATCTTAAATATTACCGCATTAAATAAAAATTTTAATAAAGTTTTAAAATAATATATAATTATTTAAATAAAAAGAATAGTTAACACTTTAATAATAAATTAAATAATATAATATATTTAAAAAATAATTAAAAAAGAAATTATTATATTTATTAAAATAAAATATATTAATAATAATTTTATTTTAATAATTAATATTTTATATAAAATTAAAATGTATTTTTAATTTATTAATTTATTAATTATTATAAGATTATAAGAAAATTATTATTATTATTTTTAATAAATATATATTAAAAAATAAAATTAATTAAATAATCTTTTTAATAATAAATATTATATAAAAATAAATATATTTATAAAATTTTAAAAATTAAAAAAAATATTATAATTTTAAATTTTTTAAAAATAATTTAAATATAATAAATCATTAATTAAATAATTAAATGAATTAAAAATTTTATAATTATAAAATAAATAAAAAAAATCCTTAAATTATTAAAAAAAATCTTTTATAATTTTAAAATTAATTTAATAAATTAAAAATATATTTTATAAATATATCTTAAAAAGTTATTAATATTGTTTAAATATATATAATAACTTAAGTATTATTAAAAGGTTTATTTTTTTAATATAAAATGTAAGAAATATATTCTTTTTATAGTTAATATTTATATAATAAAAATGGTTAACGCTTTAATTGTTTATAGCCGATATAACGGTTACGTTATATTTATAATTATAAAGTTTATATATCATACGATATACCTTTTAAGTAAGGATAATATCTTATATTTCCGTATTTACCTTTTACAAGGTAGTTTATGCGTTGGTATTATGATATTATTATATTATAAAGGTATTTATACCCACAACTTATAAGTTTATGTATTTTAGAATATAAATTTATACTTATGTTAAAAATGGGGCCGTACCTTCCGACTTATATAAAAAATCGTATATATATAAAAAAAGTGGGTTTGTTTATATTTTTAAAATTTATTTACGTTAATATCTCGATAATATATTAAATTTTTTAATTTATTATAAATAATATTTATATTGCCGTAAAAATAATTTCGTTATTATTTAATTTAAATATTTATATAAATATAAAGTTTTTTTTTAAAATTTTTTTTATAATTTTTTTTTATAACTTTTTTTTATATTTAATTTTATATTTAATTTTGTTTTTTTATTTTAATTATTTTTTTATATTTTAATTATTTTTTATAATATTTTATTATAATAAAATCTTATAATTTTAATTTTTAAATATTATTAATATGTGTTATATTTATTTTAAATTATATTATTTTATGGTTATATTTTTATTTTTAAGTTTTATAATAGGTTTTAATAGTAATATTAAATAATTAATTAATGTTTTAATTTTTTAAGTTAAAATTATTAATTAAGTTATTAATTTATAATATTAAAGGTTTAAATTTTAATATATTATTAGTTATTAGATTTTTATTTTAAAATTTAAAATGTTATGTTAATAATAAATTTTATAAGGTTTAAGTTAATAAATGTTATATTATATTATTATTAATATTAATTATTTTTATTATTTTAATTAATTTATTAAGTAAGTTTTTATTATATTTATAATTATAATTATTTTTATTAATTATTTTTTAAAATAAAGTGTTTTTTAATTAATGGTTTAATTAATTTTATAAAAACTATTTTATATTATTATATTAAATTTTAAAATATTATTTATAAAGGTAAAATATATTTTTATTATTTTTAAAATTAGTTTTTTAATTATTAAAAAAGTTTTAATTATAATAATTATAATAAAATTTTATTTAAATATTATATTTATATATTTAATAATTATAAATATTAATTT